TCGTGAAAGTTCGAATATGTAACCACTAATATATAAGTGAATGTCATTTTCTATTGAGCTAAACTCCGTGAACATAAATACAATATTTTTTATTGAGAGGATATTGAGGACGGTATGGGATTTCAGTGAGAGTAGGGTCCCTTGCTTGAGTTAGCCGAATTATTAAGGACCTCTTGTATGGCCAGAATTCCAAAATTAATGAAGGTGTCTCGCAAGTAGATCAGACCCCGACAATTGGTAGGTCCTGAATAAATTGATGAGAAAAATTAACACATCAAAGGCATTTTCTACGATTTTATTCTGCTTGGGTTAATTGATGATAAAATTACTGTTATTTTTATTTTTTATATTTTAAAAACTTCATAAGTCAATTGATTTGAATCCATGTCTGTGTGCACGTGATCGGATTAACAGTTTGATTGAAGAATTTCAAATACATTATACATGGATTCTTTTCTAAATATTCTAATTACAGTGTACTAAATTGTATTAATTTTGATGTTAGATTGCTCCGTTATTGTAATGAGTATTTTTGATTAGTTTGTATTAGCCTTTTATAGCTAGTGACTTTTTTAGCTGAATTATAAATACAGTTCCAGAGTTTTTAAAAACAAAAAAAAATCTAACTACAGTATATATTTGGTAATAAGAGCTGGGGCCTCAGCTGGTTCCATTTTTAATTCAATGCCTAGTTTGGGAATATATTTATGTGTATTCTAGCTAGGAATAAAATTTCTTCAAACAGATTGTGTTGGAAGCTCGAATGGATGAGGATCCAACTCATTTGGATTTGGAAGAAAAAATTAAAATCGTGATTAGAGTAGTGCTATATTAATCGAAATTTGTTACGGTACGAAACTATATTTAATGTAAAATTACGTGGTTGAAAAATTGATGAGTTCATTATAATTGTAAATTTACGCGGTTGTAAAAGTTAAATTGACGATTTCACTACAATTAATTGAATTGTGTTGTGATTAAATAAGAATGACATTGGTTTAATGAAAATTTAAAGGAAAATATCTATACTTATGGAGAAAAACTTACATGTAATACTATGACGGTCGGTATCCAAATCTATCACATATTGCCATATTAGAAAGTTGGTATCCCATTACATGTAAGTTATTCTCCTATTTGTGGTAGATACAATAACTTAACTTGGTGAAATGTAGAAGAACATCTAGAAAGTCGGCTGAGATCTTTTTCTTTTCCTTCTCATTTCAAAGGAAATACTCACGTTCTATAAAATAAGGGTTATTTACTCAAATGGTCATTAAATTTATTCATGAGTTGCATTTTGGTCCCTCAACTAAATTATTTGTTTAAATGGTCCACCAACTCTTTATTAATAGACAAATTGGTCATACCGTTACATTTTTTTGTTAAATTTAGTCATGTGAGCAGCACATACTACATTTGTGGGAGTAAATAAGACTTTTGACAACTAAAAAACAATATACTGTTAAAAATTAATACAAAATTTTCTTTATTTTTAAAATCAAATTATAAAAATAAAAAAAAAAAACACAAAAAAAAAAACAAAAAAAAAAAAAAAAAAAAAAAAAAAAAAAAAAAAAACCAAACCTCTTTCTTTTTATGTCCTTCTCTTCCTTGCTCTACTCTCTGCCTTCAATTTCCTAAATAGAGCATTTACAGTCAACATCTCTATCAAAACCGTCGTTGGGAAAACCACCATAGCAAGTCGACCCGATGAAATCTTGAAATCGTGGGTCTACAACATCCTCTTAGTCGTCTTTGCAGGCCTTTAAGTGGGTAATTTCGGGCATGTAACTCCATCACCATACCACCAAGAAGGCACACAATCAAGTTCACTCAATTCGTGATTTTTTTTCTTTTGATTTTTAGTTTTTAATTTATTTAGTATTTTATTTAACTGGACTGTTTTATCCCTATATTTGATGGTAATATTGACAGAATGTAACGGTAGGACCAATTCGCCGATTAATATAGAGTTGGTGGACTGTTTGAGCGAATAATTTAGTTGAGAATCAAAATACAACTCGAGTATAAATTTGATGACCATTTGAGTAAATAACCCTATAAAATAATTAACACCGACTGTGGCAAAAATGTTATTTTCCATATCCACAAAGGGCAAAGCATAAGTAGAAAATTAAAAATAAGACTCACAAAAAATAAATAAAAAGGGTGGTGGTGGGGTGGGTGAAAGATAGATAATGTCACATATCCCCCTTCCCATACAACTAAAATTAAATTAAATTATTTTTATTGAATTTAATTAAATTTTGAGTGAAAGAGCAGCATGCCAACAACAACAACAACAGCTTGGGGGGTTTTGAGTTGAATGATATTCTCTTCTCTTCCTTTCATAATCCAAATCTATGGGCTTGCTCTCTCCTCTCACTCTCAGCAGGAGAGGGGAGAGAGAGAGAGTGATGGTGGTGGGGAAGGGGAAGGGGAAGGGAAAGGGAAAGGGGGAAAAGCGATAGGTGTCAAGTAAAGCAACAGCTCACCTCTTAGATTTGTGGGTCCCACGCAATTTCTCTCTCTAGATTTCCTCGTTTTCCCTTTTTGACGCGACGTGATTGGAATGGGCTCCTCCTTCCCACGCGCCACTCCACTCGCGCGTGTCTACACTTGCTCATAATAATTCATCATGATTCATCATAATCTGTTATCTATCTATTCCCTTTCCTTCCCTACCTTATTAAATTCTCCAAAATATGTAGAAATTAGGTTTTTTTATTTATTTTTCTTTTATGATATTAGTTATTAGGGGAGGAGAATTGAAGCTAAAATTTAATCTCACATTTCTTCTACACCATTCAAAATTATTAGTATCACACACTTTTTGTGTGCATGCAATTTGGAAATGGGTCTTGACTGAGGAGACCCATTGCTCTAAGAAATGCTATGAGATGAGATAGCTCAACTTCAAGCCCAAACATTTGTTGTGCTTGCACAAGCTACAAGGGGATTGGTGAAATAAGTTTAACTTTGACGACAAAAAAAAAAACGATAGTTTAAACTATTATAACAAGAGAGGGGGAATTGAACTTGAGTGTAAGGAGCATGCGCACTGTCTTGCCAATTGTCATGACTAATATGAGGCTACGTATTTATTATTTGTGTCGAAATGTCATATCATTTATGAGTTCACATCAAGTACCGGTCAATATTATTCCACTAAATCAAGTCATATTGAGTTTGGCCGTGATTTTTGAAATTTATAACGCTCTAATCAACATGTAGAGGCATGTATGCCTCTAATTGGGCGCGGTGGAAACAAGACAAGACACAATTGAACTTGCATGCATAATCAACTAAACAGATGTAGAATGTGGAAAGTCCCTAATGACACCAAACGGACAGGCACGACTAATGATAGATGATTAGCGTGGAGCCCATTTGTTAATCATGATTGTGGGTTGCTTAAACACGACTAATTAACGAAAAAGAAAGGTCGAAAGGGCACTTAAATTAATGATGACAATTAACATAATTAAAAAGATTAGGCACTAATGTGACTAGTGACCGGCCCTCCTCAAAATGAGCCACATCCAAAGAGCATACAATGCTGGAAAGACACAAACACAGAATCAAACATAGTTGACCAGATGTTTCTACCTCAGCTGTTATATGTGATTCTTCAAACCCAAAAAGGAAAAAAAAATGGTGGTGAGAGAGAAGGGGGGGGGAGGGGGGCAAGGCAAGAAAGCAAGCCAGCATTGCTTTAGATTTTTTCTTGACCATGTTTTGGGTGACAGCACAACCAAAATCCCTCATTAGTAAAATTTTGTTGTGATTAGTTGTGATGTTTTGCTGCCAACATCTCTAATCATTTCTGTATCATCTGTATTAGCCCGCCAATAATTAATTTGTTTAATTTCAAGTCAAACTCTCTATCAGCCACAGTAATCAAAATTTGTCCCAATTAGAAAACCCCAAATGATAATGTCTTCTTTTAAGGGATAAATGTCTGCACAAAAGGGTGTTTGGTTTATACTCAATTGAATTATGGACCACATTGTTTTATTTTATAATGCAATTTTAAATGGGTCCACTTCATAAATCCATCAAATTTGGCCCCTAAAAAGCACGATTTGTACTAATTAATTTATTTTAAAGCTTTAATTTCGGCTTTTCATATTGGTGGCTGAACCTAAAACAGAATAATGGTCTCAAAATGATTATTATATTAAGGTATAATGACAACTTAAGTATAGTATGAATACTAATGTGAAGCAGGAACAGGATAATATAAACAAAAGCACTTTTGATTTAAGATCTTGCATAGGCATCAGATAGATAGTGTAGGCCAGGAGAGAGGGAAAAATAAATTAAGGTTTGCTAAACACCTGGGCATTTTAATTAGCAAATACTTAATGTGCCCTGGAAGTCACTAAGCTCCAAAAAGAAAGTCCGCTGATTTTTCAAATTTTTCAAAAAGTGGGAAAATTTGCTTACATAAGAGAATCTTACCTGAGGCCCAAAAACCCAAAAAAGCTTTTTCTCTCATCATTTTGCTCTTTGTTTATTATTGGATGTGAAGATTTTTTTTTTTTTTTTTTTTTTTTTTTTTTTTTTTTGGTTTTTTTTTTTTTTTTTTCTGACACATTTCAAGGTATCAAAATTCTATATTGATTCTGGGATTGACCAAAAAGAGAAAAACTGATTTAAGGAAGGTCCACTTGAACGTGGGCCTTTAGATCTTCCAAGGCCCACCTTTACATTTGGTCTAAGAAAGCAATTTTCCCTGGCAAGCAATTTTCAATTGTCAAACAAACATGGTGACGATGGTGTTCTCGCACACCAATATAAAAAAAAAAAAAAATAATGCCATGCAGATTAATTTTGTTAAAAAATGACTAAGTCAGGTCAATAACTTTACCTTCTGTTTCATTCATGTAAATAAGTTCCAGTTTTACTGCTGGGTTACATAATAATGCATGCACCTACTTCATCGCCTATTTCTTTGTGAATCTCAACAAACCAAAATCTTCCAAAGAATATATTTACACTTCTTCCTCAAAGTCCATCAGAAAATCTGTCAAGTTCTCTGAATCGTCTACAGCCTCTTCCAAAGACAAGGCGTCCTTTTTGGGTTTACCCTGCGAGATTTGGAGAAAAATACATTAAAATGCATTGCTTAAAATGGATAAGAAATGGTGAGCATGTGGACGTTATAGGTGATGCAGTTTTAACTATGAACAAATACAACTTTTTTCTAATGAAGATTTAGATATACTGCGACGTTTAGATATTAGTGTGCCATATACAGGTTTTTAATTGCAACGGATTTTTTTCTTTTCATGTCCATAAATGAGGATATATGAAACAATTGAATGTTACGAATGAAGACATGCCGCAAAACTGAGAAATGAGAATCACCTTTGACTTGGTAAGCCCAGGAGTAGTTTTCAAAATACTCCAATTGCGTGTGATTTTCTCTCCTTGTTCATCAACCTCGGCCTCACTATCTTCTCCTTCATCCTATTATAAACAGTGCCAAATAAGATTTTATACATAACAATTCTAAGTGGATTAGCAGTATGCTGGACAACTGCATCCAAGGCACATCATTGTCGGCGTAGTAACATACAATTATGGAACTAATGTATGTGAAGCAATCCAACTTACATCTTCACCAATGTCAACAGCTTGTGCCATAGCTTCATCCATATCAGGTGCCTGCTTTCATAGAATTATAAAACAAGGAACAGCTAGATTAGATGCTTTGTTCCCAAACATTCTGTCACGATTCAAATGCACCCACCACACCACATACAGTTTTGTACATTTTATTTAGGGTTGCAACTTTGAAACCATAATATGCAGCATCTCTGTGATAATAATTTGACAGAGTTCCATAGATAAGCTGTTCTTTTCCCCATAGTGGTTAGATACTATAGTGGTTGACACTAATCAGGAAAAGCATTATTAGGACTCAGGATCGGTATATAATGGATGCTAAACTTTTAATTCCATCCAAGAATGTGCCTAAGAGCCTCAGAATTTATTTTTTATGAATGTGTGCTTGAGCCTTTGTTTGTCTGGTACACTCTGCATTTGGAACTCTTGGACAGCCCTTTCCTGGGAGGTTGCTGTCCAGGCATTATATAGATAGACAAGATAATCCATCCAACTAATTAAAGTTAAAACTTTCAATTGATTACCTGAAGCTCTTCGGTCTTCTCTTTTGACAGAATTTTCTCAATCTCCTCCCTTGATATGATTTTTCCATGCTGATCAGAGAGCAGGGAAGTAAAAACTTGAGTAAAAAAATGATACAGCAGATGCTAGAAAAAAATCCAGCAAGTCAAATAATAAAAAAAGATTAAAAAAGGTGTTAAATTTAGCATGTGAGATGAAAAAATTCACGATAACTGTGAATGAGCAAACAATGAAGAACAATGACTTAACCTGACCATAAAACTCTTCATAATGTTCCAGAAAAGAAAAAGGTAGGGGGATTTGAAAAGTACTGACCTCCTTCAGAAAAGACAGCATATTTGGTGTCGGTTCATGAAAATCTGGGCCTCTGTAATCAATCACTTCATCTGGATCTTGAATATAGTTCACAGTTGGGTAAACAGGATCTCCGCCCCATACTGCAAAGGCCAAATAAGTTAGTCAACAAACTAAAATGGACTTCTTGCCTTACGAAAACAACATCACATATTCAAGATCCGACAGTTATAAATGGGAAAAAATGAGATTCAGATTGATGTTATTTAATCAAGATCATTAAACATGTTTAATGAAACTATTGGATGCCTGGTGAATAACAGATGACAATCTAAAGTACTGCCGTGATTAATAGATGAAAGGCATAATGTTGGAATATGTTGACAAAATATTTCCCGATATTGTGAATACATAATTTGCAATAGAGCCCATAAGATGCCATGAAAGTGAATGTTCTTAATAATGACTTATGGCTTACTAGCAGCAACACAAAAGCTCAAAAGAAACAAAGAAAGAAAGTGGCACACATGTACACATAAACATAAGTCCAGAAATATGGAAGCGTTAATCCATCTTCCCCCTCTTTTCTTGGAGGTTGGAAAAGATTAATATATTGGGTCAATAAAGGGAATATGCAATCATTGTTTTGACCAACTACAACTGCACAAGAATGCATCACTTATCCAATCAAAATAAACTGAATTGAAAACCTTTTCTAAATGAACTGAACTGTTTCAGGGGTTGAAATGATTAAAAAATGATATGAAGAATGAAAGACATGAAAATAACGCACAAAATTATCAGCTTTGGAGTGAGTACTTTGCTTTATTTGATCCTCTCGCATACGCATCGCTAAGGGGTCCCTACGTATACGGATATCAGTCCCCATCATTATACGATACTCTCGATCAGTTTGTTGAGAAAACATTTCAATTAGTTGGGTTGTTTCATTTTCACCAGTCTCTTCAAAATGTTTCTGAACAGCTTCTCGAGAAGTGTCTCTTTTCCACGCCTTAACCCATTCTGAATAGTATGCAAGTGGACCTATTCTATCCAACTTCTCTTGTTCTGCTTGAAGCCTACAAAATCAGCAGTCACTTGAAAATTCCACATAAAAACAAAACTCCATAGAAGTTCTTAATCAATATTTTGAGGTTGCAAGGCAATCATTACTTGCAAACAAAATAAGAAATAGAGAAGCAGGTGCAAGGAAAAAAGCCTAACCTAAATAAAACCTAAACTAAGACACAAATCATTCTAAGTTGACAATGCAAAGTCCCAAGAGAGACTTCCATAAGCAAACAAATCCAAAATCAAGAGTTGAGCACTGGGACAATCCTTTCATCTCCTTTAATTTGTTTAAAGGGTGCTGCAGCAATGTTTCTTAATTGTTATCACTCTCCTTAGTACTGACAGAATGACAAAACCAACCATCAATTTTCACCACATCCTTGTATAAATTCTTAGTAATGTCATACATAATTCTAAACTACATATGTATGTCTTCCAATATATTATATATGTACTGAAGATTACAAAATTAATCATCAATTATACCTCTCTTCCTTGAAAAGATGTCGTCTTGCTCTGTAAAGTGAAGTTTCAGTCAATGTTGGATGTTCACCATAAAGCTTTACTTGCCCAGTCTCTGCCATTGCTTTGAGAAAAACCTGAAGAAGTTGAAAGACAATATCCAAGTCAAAGCAGGAGACCATTTTCCTTCTGATGTTCCTGTTAGTTTATGGATTGATTACATGGGCGCTCTAACAAGAAGTGAGCTTATATTGATTTCATTAATACATGTAATATAAGTGGCATTGCTTGTTTGTGAGAACCTCATGTAAACAAGACCCAAAATCTTGCAATTTCCAAAAAAAAAGGAGTAGGGTGGACCGGTGAATAAATTCCGACACGGTCTTTCACTCCAAAACCAAATATGATTAGTAATTCTTGACAACAAAGCTTTTAATTTTGTAATATTTAAAAAGTCACATGGTTCAAATCACCTAGACATTCAAAAAAATTGGTTTAAAGATCCCTTGGCTTATACGTTCTGTGAGCCTTACATCACAATCCCAAAATTACATACAGCATTGTCATTTTGTCTCTATTAAATATGCACTAACCGTTTCAAGATCTGGTCGTCTCCTTTGCCATCTGGACCATTGTTCCTTGTCTGGTTTTTTCCAGTTCCACCATAGTTCATCACTCGTAAGTGGCTCCTCTAGTGGCTTCTTTGTTTCTGGATCAATAAAGGGATGAGGACGTCCAAGTTTCTTGTCTAGTTCAAATCCTGTTTCTTCTTCTTTTTCAGGTTCATTCTGATAGACAACATATTCAGATGGGAAATCTTTAGGATCCTCTAGTGTGTCCTCTGAAGTCTCTGGTTCCAGTTCCACTGCCACTGTATCACTTGATTCTACACTTGGTTCAGAAGATTCACCAGCAGCAACTGATGTTTTATTCTTCCTCCTCCTACTTCCAGGATTTCTACCATAAGATGGAGATCCAACTGATTTACCAGTGGGCTCAGGAGCCCTGGCAGCCCTAACTCGACTTGCAGTGCCTTCAGGCCAATAATCCTGCCCTGGAATGCTGGCACGAGCACCTGATGCAGGTTCAAGCTGCCCAGATGTTGAGTCCATATAGCTATCATAGGGTGGACGCTCAATAGAGAAATCTTTGGAGGAATCATCCTTCTTCTCGCACTTTATAGAAGGAAGTAAAGGTGCCCTCTTTGGTGATAAATTCGAGCCAACTCTAACTTGGAATAATCCAACTGGAAATGAACTTACAGTTGATGCCTGTGCTATTCACATAAAATTAGCAAACAGTAAACGGTTAAAAAAAAAGAAAAAGAAAGGTGACGAAGAAAAATATGTATTTTGGAACCTGCCATTTGAAACATCTTAACAGAGCCAGATATTAGAAATTAGGTCAACACATAGAGTAATACAAAAAATACAAGCACTAAAATGACATAAAGACATTGGTTCCCAGTAGCATGGCTGTGTGCGTGCAGGGAGGCAATTGATTCTGGAAGATTACAAGCCTACAAGGCACGCTTTAATGCATAGGTTCAAACAAAATCAGCCCAAGCTCAAACACTTTCCTCATGCAACGAAAAAGTTATGCTCCCAAGTAGCATTTGCAAAACAAGTTTATAAAATTCCCCAACTAAAAGTTCTAATCTCAACTTAGCTGGATGGCCAGTTTAGTCCCAGCGTTGTTAGCACAATCAAACAAAACTTCAACCAAACAAATCGCCCATGTTTAATTACTAAAGAAATCACTTCACAAGGAAATAGTTACTTGAATAAAGGACGCCTAAAACTAAAGCAACACAATTAGTAAAAAACAAAAGAAATTCCACAGTGACCAATATGCAATGTTATGCAGAGAGAGAGAGAGAGAGAGAGAGAGAGAGTCATACAAACATGCATATATGTATATGTGTGTGTGTGTGTGTGTGTAAGAGTGAATTTATTGGAGAGAATACAAACCTTGAAATGATTGAAACATGGGTTCCCAGTAGCATGGCTCTGTACTAAGACTGCACCCTTCAATCCTCTATCTGCCAGAAGCACACCAAAAGCTTGGAAAAAGAAAAGAAAAGAAAACTTGTATATGAAATTATTTTCAGCATTAAATAAGATAATAAGACCACATATACACACCTTGATACAGCCAAGTTCCTGATATAGATGCCATTTCACTTTAACCGCAGCATAAATATCACCAAAATCTGGAAAACCGAACCAGACTTTATTTAAAGAAAAAAGAAAACGATTTGGGTACCAAGTGAATATATATTACTAACTATTTTAATTCTATTTGGGCATTCACAGAGAGTATCTAATAACAAAGAAACTGAAAGTTTTAATCTTGCACTGCAATTCAATTTGTAACCCAAAGAGCTGTAATGTGGGAAAAGAATAGAACTGGAGTTTGAAGGCATAAAACGTACCGCTATATTGCAAGATTTGAAGAGGGAGTTATTGAGCTGGTTCAGCTGCTGAATTCTGGGTATAGATGAAGGTATGAATCGTTGCTGGGGATTTAAAGTTAGGAGCTTTTGGGCTCAACCCGCTGTGTAAGTAGACTCGAGAGTGGAAGTGAGGGGTAGCTCAGGGTTTTGGAAAATTGGATAAGGGCTTTGCATTTTTGTTTCCCTTAATAGTCCAACTTGCTCATAAAATAAAATTAAGGAAAAAACAAACATGAAAAATTGAATTCCGGTTAAACTGTGTTAAGGTATAAAAAAGAGTTTAACCAAAAAACATATAAAAATTAGAAATTCATGAATTGTGAGACCTTAAGCGAATCTAATGGAGTAGTATGTACAATCATACTTCCTATTTTTTAATTAAATTTTAATTAAAAATACACAAAAACTATTTTAGGAGCTCTTTATAAAATTTAAACTTCAATTATACTCTCTAATTTAAGGAGTCATAAATACTATATTGTTTTTTAGTTCAATATAATTGGTCCATTTTTATTTTAAAATTTTAAAAAAAAATTGTTAGCATTAATTAAAAATTAAAAATATGTACAAAACAAAGCAAAGTTAAATTATAGAGAGCCATTAAGAGTTATTTCTCTATCCTAAGATTTAGGAGTTCCTAGAAGTCTCTTTATTTTAGGAGGTGCATAAAGCATATAGTTGGAGTTGTATTTTTTCAAGTTCTTCCTAAAATTTGTTTAAGGAATCCATTGTAGATGCTATTAGGGGTAATGAAATGCACACGTTTATCTTCACCGTAACATGAGACACACAAGTGTACCTTTACACATAGTTATAAATGGCCAAAGAAATTCCAATATAAAAATTACAGGCTTGCAAACCTCAAATATAGACAAAACGCACTTCAACATACAAACTACAATCTTCAAACTCTCACAAGTAAAGAAATCTTTTCTTTTTTTTTGGGTTGTTGTAAGATTGTAAACAAGTCTTAACTGATTGAAAAAACCGAAACTTCCTTGTTAAGTCCAATTTGATCAAATTAAAAGAAGAAAAAAGAAAAAGAAAGAAAAGAAAATTATATTTTAGGTGCCGGCACCTGACCCTTCTTTACGGAATGGGGGGCAAAAGAAAATAAAAAAACCCAAAAGAATGGCAACGAAATCTACTTAGCATCAGTTATTCTCTCGTTGAGTAAAATATCTTTCCTTTTATCTCAGAATAAATTTTCCTCCTTTTTGTACCAACATTCCTCTACTTCTCCCTCCTCAATCTAATCCCATGTGCATTTTCACTGTACGGTCTCTTCTGGGTCGAGATCAAACTGTGTGCAGAATACCGGTGAGGCTTTGATGATAGTAAGCTTTGCTGTGTTGAATTTTGTTGATGCGTTTTCTTGCATTGTGATGCTGAATTGTTGACATTGCTTGATTCTTGAACTCGATCCCTCTGAACCTATTACGGTGTTCGAGTTCTCTCAGTGTTTGCTTGCGTTTCTTGCCACTATTGATTCGGTATTGAATATCGGATAGGGGTTTGTCTTGAGGATTTGGGAAAGCTTTACTTTGCGTGTTTTTCTTGGGTTTAGAGTTGGAGCTTGTATTGGGTTTCTCTTTGGTCATCGAAGAAATGGGCATCGGAACTTTTTGGTTGAAGAGGCTGAAAATTGAACCTTCTGTTGCTAGGAGGTTCAAATTGCAGCATTTATTGTTTGCTTTAGCGGCGTTGTACTTGGTCTTCATATCCGTTAAGTTTCCCCAGTTTCTAGAGATAGCAAAGGCGATGAGTGGTGATGATGGCTATGTTGGATTGGACCTGGCCAAAGTACAGGACTCTCAAGATGGGGATTTGAGTAAACCATTATTTAGTTCCGTTTATAAGGATACATTTCACAGGAAATTGGAAGACCAGAGCCAAGATGCGCCTGTGAGGCCTAGCAAGGAACCTTTGGAAGAGAAGAAAAGTGAGTCTAAGCCTATAAGGCCACTACAGCATCGATATGGTCGGATAACTGGTGAGATTCTGAGGCAAAGGAATAGAACTAACGAACTTTCAGTGCTTGAGAGGATGGCAGATGAGGCTTGGACATTAGGGTTAAATGCTTGGGAAGAAGTGGATAAACATGATGGGAAGGTGACAGGAGAGAGTTCTATAGTTGAGGGAAAACCTGAGTCATGTCCTTCATGGCTATCGATGAGTGGGGAAGAATTGGCAATGGGAGATAAGTTGATGTTCCTTCCTTGTGGGCTTGCTGCAGGCTCTTCTGTTACGGTGGTGGGAACATCCCATTATGCTCATCAGGAGTATGTGCCCCAGCTGGCAAAGTTGAGGAGGGGTGATGGAATAGTTATGGTCTCGCAATTCATGGTTGAGTTGCAAGGATTGAAGTCAGTGGATGGGGAGGACCCACCGAAGATATTGCACTTGAATCCACGATTAAAGGGAGATTGGAGTCATCGGCCAGTCATTGAGCACAACACCTGTTATAGGATGCAATGGGGATCAGCTCAAAGGTGTGATGGTTTACCATCTAAGAACAATGAAGACATGCTAGGTAACAATGTTTCATTGATTTGGAAGATAAGTTCTTTCCTTGTATTTCTGCATCACAAGCCATGGTATTTGTAAATGGGCATAAAGATTCATGAGCAAACACAATTTTTTATATAAAAAACATGAGTATACCCATGTATGAATGGAGTTAATGCTTTTTATGAGGGTATGTCCCTTAACAAGAAAAAGTTTGAATATAGCTTGAAATAGGAAGATTATACGAGGATAAAGGATGTTGAACATTTGTTTGCATTTCAGATTGTAAAAACCATTCCCCCCTTCTTTCTATCTTGTAGCTGTTCATTATGTAGATTATATATATATAAAGCATTCGACTGAGCTGCATACCATGTGGGTTGCGTATTCTTGCTGGTTCCTCCTTAACAATCCTGACCATCCTACAGTCACACTGTTATTTCAAAGGATGGGGAACTTCTTTTGTGCTTCTCAGAATGTAGACTCCAATATCCACCTTCTTTCTATTGTCTAGCTGTTCTTTATGTAGATTATATATATAGATTGTTATAAGCCATGTGGGTTGTAACATGACTTTATGTGGCAGTTGATGGATATGGGAGATGTGAAAAGTGGATGCGGAATGATATGGTAGACTCAAAGGAGTCCAAGACCAAGACTACCTCATGGTTTAAGCGATTCATAGGGCGTGAGCAGAAGCCAGAAGTTACCTGGCCATTTCCCTTTACAGAGGGTAGACTGTTTATCCTGACCATACGTGCTGGTGTGGATGGATTCCATATTAGTGTTGGGGGCAGGCATGTGACTTCATTTCCATATCGGACGGTATGTTGCATAACTGTTTAACTTACCTACATTGCTTATGTTTGCCTCTGAGATTTGCATGGTGCAAAATTGCAAATTTGGTGCACATAGTGCTGCTAGTTCTGCCGTACAGCTCTTGTTGTTGGGAAAAGAAATCCTGTTCAATTGTTTGCATTTTAAAGTGATTTTACATATCCTCTCAGATTTTGTTGTTGGTTTCCTTTCCCCCTTGTCTCCACACACTTTCTGAATTCCATTTGACATTATGTGTTTAGTTACCTTTTTTCTTTGTGTGATTTAGAGAAATTGCGCGAATATGCCAAGGCCATAATTATGATTAATGATTTTATGTGTTTTGAGCTGTCTGGTCTGGTTATATCTTTTCAGTTTTATTCCTTGTCTGTTTCCCATGTTTTCCCTATCATTAATGCAATGTACTTTTTTCTAATTATTTTTATGCTTTAACTTTAGGGTTTTACACTTGAAGATGCAACCGGATTAGCAATTAAAGGAGATGTTGATGTACATTCTGTTTATGCTACTTCTCTTCCCACGTCTCATCCAAGTTTCTCACCTCAAAGAGTACTGGAGATGTCAGAGAAGTGGAAAGCTCGTCCTTTACCTAAGAGTCCTATTCGGTTATTTATTGGGGTTCTTTCTGCTACGAATCACTTTGCAGAGCGCATGGCAGTGAGAAAAACTTGGATGCAATCATCTGTAATCAAGTCCTCAAACGTAGTAGTCCGTTTCTTTGTTGCATTGGTAAGTTTCTTGCATTCAGCTTCTGAATAATTGATCTGATATTAAGAGTTGAGTAGTCAGGTCTCATGATCAACTGGTGTTGGTAACCATTTATAAGGCTGGAGAACAAGTATTACATTTGTCTTTTTCTCTTTATATGTATATTGTCCTTGAGTAGTTACATCTCATCATGCAGTGTAAATATAAGTGTGTCTCTAACTGGTTGAGCATGCAGTTCAGTCTTTCAAGTTTTCTGTTTGTTATCTAATTTGAAGTTTTGGCGTTTGTTTGTGTTAGATGAATCTTTAACTGAAAGAGGAAAGCTGCATTACATCTGTTTTAACATGTCAGACAGGCCAGATTGATGTTTGAATTTCATTGCCTGGAAGCTGATCTAGATATGGTTTTTGAATTGTATGGGGGTTCATTTATGTAATATGGAATGCACTTGTTCAAATTGTTTTGATGAAATTAAAAAGTACTCTCTGTAAATGGATTCCAACTTGTCGGAATGACTGGGTTTAAGTTCAAATTCTATTCTTGGATCATTTTGCACTATCTGTCATCAATAAACTGAATTGTGCCTTTAGGGTCATAACCTTTGAAATCTTTCTCGCAATAAAAACAGAAGAACTTGAATAATATAACACAAGGACTTGTAGATGATTGAGGTTGCTACATAAAATGGGTTTATTGGGATATGAGGTCAAAGCTTATATTGAATAAAACTGTTCCATATTCATGCTTTCCTTCAATAATTGGTACTAATTATTAAGTTCTGCAGAATCCAAGGAAGGAGGTAAATGCAGTGTTGAAGAAAGAGGCTGCTTACTTCGGTGACATTGTGATTTTGCCCTTTATGGATCGCTATGAGCTTGTCGTTCTGAAAACCATCTCTATTTGTGAGTTTGGGGTGAGTTCGGTTTATCCTCCTGTATTCCTTCATTGAGTGTACATATCTAGGTGTGTGAGTTTACATACATATATATATATTTATTTATTATACATATATATGTATATTGTTCGATCAGATGTTCATATTTGTGTCTGTAGTTTGGAAAACCATTCAACTGGGCCTTTCTCCTGAGTTTGTGTTTTTTAAAAGATTCAACACCTTGATGCAGGTCCAGAACGTGACAGCTGCATACATCATGAAATGTGACGATGACACATTTGTTAGAGTGGACACGGTATTAAAGGAAATTGAAGGCATCTCTTCTAAAAAATCCCTTTATATGGGCAATCTTAACCTCTTGCATCGCCCTCTTAGAAGTGGAAAATGGGCTGTAACCTATGAGGTATGCAAGTTGGCGTGAATCTCAACTTGTTTAAGTCATCCATTTATCTGCTTTTGTTCAATAGTTGTATTTGGAGTTGTCTTGTGGGTTTTCGGAATGTCTTGACCTATCTGTTTAGTAGAAGCTACTTTTCTTAATCAGATATTCTGAAAATTGAATATAGTGGAATGGTGGATTGGGTTGCTAGCAAGTAAATGCACACAGGTTTTACTCCATGGTACCAGGAGAATAATATGAATGGACAAGAAAATAATTTCCCTGTATACGGCATCCTAAATTCCCTATTGTTATTGCTGTTATCTAAATTTAATTCGTCTAGTGGACTGAAAATTTTCAAAGAGGATGCATGTTAAGTTCCCTTTCTGTGTGTGGTTTTCTCATTTACTTTCTCTTTTTTCCCCCTCTATATATCTGAAGGATTATTGTCTATTGTGACAGGAGTGGCCAGAAGAAGTTTATCCTCCATATGCCAATGGCCCTGGATATATAATTTCCATTGATATTGCTAAGTTTGTCATTTCTCAGCATGGGAGTCGAAGCCTAAGGGTTAGTTACTAATTGTCTGACTTATTTCCTCTCTGAAGATGATTTCCTTCTTTTTCCATCTTTGTGTGTTGCAAATTTTGAAAGTTACATGTTGGCCAAAAGAAAAAGAAAGTAATACATAGTACATGGTTACATTTGTAGCCACCTACCAAGTTCTGTCGAGTCTCATCGTATTGTTACTAAACATAATGAGTGTTTGGTTGCAGCTTTTCAAGATGGAGGATGTGAGCATGGGAATGTGGGTTGAGCAGTTCAACAGTTCCATGGCGACCGTCCAGTACTCCCATAACTGGAAGTTTTGTCAGTATGGATGCATGGAGAACTATTACACTGCACATTACCAATCCCCAAGGCAAATGATCTGTCTTTGGGACAAGTTGGCTCGTGGTCGAGCGCAATGCTGTAACTTCAGATGACACCGAGCATTGTGCTTCACATGAGTAGATTGCGAAACTCCTCACCCTCTTTCTGGAAGCCACTGACTCATGCCGATTTAGTTTGGATTAAATGTACAAACTCCTAACAATGAATTGTGAGAAATGGTTTTGTCAAAATGAATCATCCAAGACTTCCAAATGTAGATTGTGTTGTAAAATGGGGCTGCTCGACGGGTTCACCCCACTACATTGTATATTATGGTCATGATTTAACATCCAGCGATTGATAGCATCATCAATACTAACATGCAGCGTTTGGCTTTGTTGTGAAGGGGTTTTTTTTATCAAACTTTTCAGTAAAATTGCTTGATGGCTTTAAAGTTATTTATGTTAATTAAATCAACATGTGAATTTGGTTATTTATCTTCAAATTCAGGGATATAAGAGAGCATTAATCAAAGGGATTAACTAGGTCCAGCTTTAGTTTTGGTCCGGAAATTAATGTCCACCGCGGGAGAAAGTCTTGCCTTATCCATCAGTTACACAGAGGAATTGACCTTTCCTTCAATCTTGGCTGGAGTTATGCAAGAAGTCAACAGTTTTTATAAATGGTGCCCAAGATCCAAGTTAAGCAAGGCTAGCTACAACAAGAACCCAAAAACACAAACATGGAAAACCAGAGAAGTCTTGAAAATATTATCTCAGCTAGGAGTTTGATAAATTTCATTCCCATCCAAATGACCCTAAAAGCTGCAATTGAGCTAAATGTCTTCAGCATCATAGCCAAGTCAGGGCCTGCATCTCATCTCACAGCAAAAGAAATTGCCTCACAAATTCCAACTTCAAATCCAAATGCAGCTGGGAATTTGGAGAGAATTCTGAGACTGCTGGCTGCCCATTCCCTCCTATCCACAACCCTAAAACCATGCCCAAATGATGAGACATTGCAAGAAAGGGCTTATGGCCTCACAAATGAGACACTCTGCTTGGTTCCAGATGAAAATGGAGTTTCATTGGCGCCATTTATAATTTTGAACTCTGAACTTGAGATTGTGAAGAGCTTGTACATGCTCAAGGACACAGTGCTTGAACCAGACTGCTTGCCCTTCTGCAAGGCCCATGGAATTACCATTTATGAGTACATGTCCAAGAAACCTGAGATGAGCCAATTGTTTAACAAGTCTATGGCTGAAATTTCTAACCTAAATTTTAGTGAGGTGTTAAAGGTTTACAAAGGGTTTGAGGAGGTGAAGGAGTTGATGGATGTAGGGGGTGGCATTGGAACTTCCATGTCAAAAGTAGTTTCCATGTATCCCCACATCCATGGAATTAACTTTGATTTGCCCAATGTTGTTGCCCAAGCTCCTACGTACCAAGGTTAGTAACTTAGTATCATCAAAATTAGAAGACAAATTAAAAGTCAAAATAAGCAGAGGATTCGAATCCAATTTTGGTCAAATCTCATGTACACTTTTTTACTTCATTTCTTATGAATTTGACCCATTGTTTGGTTATATTAATCTTAACCAACATGTAAACTTATTACATGCAGGTGTGAATCATGTTGGTGGAAATATGTTTGAGACGATACCAGATGCACAATCGATTATGTTGAAGGTTAGTTTGCTTATTTCTTAATTCTTAGATGCTAGCATCAGTCGTGTATGAATGCGTGATTGAATATCGGTCATTAATCTATGCATGAGTCATGACCCCACAAACAAACGTAGCTAACTAAATCTACATGGCTTGCAGTGGGTGCTCCATAACTGGGGAGATGATCAATGCAAGAAAGTATTGAGAAATTGTTGGGAGGCATTGCCAAAAAGTGGGAAGTTGATAGTTGTGGAATTTGCAATACCTGAAGAATTTGAGAGGACAAAAGCGGTGTTGAACATAGTAACCTTGGACATCACAATGATGGCATGTCCTGGCGGTAAGGAACGAACAACAACTGAGTTTGCTAACTTAGCAAAACATGTAGGTTTTGTCGAAACTAAATTTTTTCCAATCTCATATGGGATTTATGTTTTGGAGTTTCTCAAGATAGAAGAAGCAAGAGATTAGTAGCATATCATTATGATCCTACATATTTTTCTTATTTCCTTTGATTTGCAAAGAGACCCATAGATTTTTTTTTCTCCCTCATTCAAAACGAAAATTATAAAAACAAGTTCGTGTTTTCCACCGGGACTTGTCTCCTTCTCTGGGAGGAGATACATTAGTAAAAAATACAAATAGAAAAACTTATACACATGTTATACTACCATTGCCAGGAACGGAAGAGTTCCTACTTACGAGTTGGTTGCGAGTGTACCACACTATTACATTTATGTATTTAGTTTAACTTTTTGTGATTGGCCACTTTCCTGGCATGTCATTTGAGCATTACTGAAAGAAAGATATGAAGCAATCATCCATAAAACCACTGTTCATGGATTTTTGTCGGAATAATAATTAGAAAGCTGTATTCTGATTGCTCATCACTCAAGGAAACACTACTCATTGTTCTTATTGAATCTTTACCATACAATAAATCAACCGAATAGTGAATATCAAAGGACTTAAGGTTTATCAAAAAGCTTACTCTATCAAGCATCTCTCGAGAACAGAAAAATGGATATTACTGTTTTGCTATTCCTAACTGCAATCAGAATAACGATGACATACTGTGATTGACCAAGTATATCAAAATATTGATATCTCCATTTCACACAAGTGTTTTTCCATCCAATTCTAAACAAGCCCTAAACATATCGTGGATTAAATTTCAAATTTTGAAACGCATTCTTTAAAAAAAAAAAATCAGAAACGCTTTTTTTTTGGTGGCCACACAAGCGCAATCTTTTTTTCTCCTTTATCAGGATCAGGAAGAATTGGGTACCCATTTTTGAATTTTATCCACAGCTTCTTTCGGTATCGATAAGATTAATTGGGCACAGGTGGCAGTGCCATGTGGATCGCATCGATTCAGTCCAGTCCTTCTCACGCAACTGCCATTCCCAACCTCCAGGCTGCCCCCACGTGTCCTGGGCCACGAGTCTTCCCCTGTACCACGTGCCACCCAATCACGAGCTCTCCAATAGGACAAGCCTATACGCGAAAACAACAGTGACTCGCGGCAGCGGCCCACGAGTCTTCCCCTGTACCACGTGCCACCCAATCACAAGCTCTCCAATAGGACAAGCCAATACGCGAAAACAACACTGACTCGCAGGGCAGCAGCGGCCCCCCTAAAAATAAAGAGCTAACTCTTATCGGAAAGTGGGTCCCGATTTGGACCGTATGGAAACGGTCGAAAAAGCACGTACACTGATATCTGTCGGCAGCACACGATGCTGCCACGTTTCCGACGCCATCAGTGTTTTGCTCTTTTAAGCTGGCAAAGTGGCTAGGCATCTCCACTCGCTCGAGTTGGTGAAGTTAGTCTTACTCGATTTATAAGCTCCCGATGCGACGTCGTACGACGGACTTTGGGCGGACGTGTCCTTTCCGGGTGGAGAGCGTGTGAAAAATCTGATCAGCCCATTTGTACCCAACCACCCACAAACCGTAACTTCCGCAACAAGACAGAATTAACCTTTCGGGGCCCAAGTGTGAACCGCAGCTTTCTAGGACTCAAATAGTACAAATATGTCAAATATTTAATATTTCTCTTTCCAGTAATATTTTCAAGTCCACAGTCAACGGAGTTGGTCTTGACTTGCATATTAATGATTTCAGATTTGGTTGTAGTTTAAACTAACGTTTATACTAAAAAATCGTTATAAATAAGATCAATCACATTCCAATAATGTCGTACTACGTGACAATTTGACGATCACATTATATTTGCATTTACTCCGAAAAAGAGGATAAGAGATGTTTAAGGAGTGTAGATAACACCATATTGAATTTGATAAGGTAGATTAGAGCAAACAACTGATATTTTTTTTTTTTTTTTTTTTTTTTTGAGAGAGGACACAATTATACTTGTCTTAAATAATTTTGTGCAAGTCTTTGCAAATTCCATGCTTTTCTTGCCTTGCTTCTCTTCTTGCATATTATATTCTTTTATTCAGATTATTCTGAGCTAAGAGTTCCATAGCAGAATGCTCTAAATTTGGTTTTAACCATAACTCCAAGCTGCTGACCAAATCCCTCTAAGAACCAAAACATGCATGGCTAAAAGCTGTTTTACTTAATTTAATCGCATAAATGTATGGTATTAGTGATAAGGCCACAATTTTTTTTTAATTTTCTTTAGTGTGAATGTCTTAAAATAGCAAACTTTGATTAAAATAAATCATCAGCTATAATTCTTAATGGCCATACAGAATCACATAAAATTGTTTTTTAAGTCAAAAGCACTTGATAGAAGCCACTCACCAAACGCCATCTCATCTGTAATCTCTTTCACGTAAAGCTATGAAATCAAAAGTTGCCCTAAAGCTTAAAATGACGATTCAAGGCATGCCAAGTTGTAAGTGCACAGTTTTGTAACTGTAAAATTCTTGTTTATTTGCTTCCTTCAATGGACGCTTTAATCTCCCCAACGTTACAAAACGTCTATATTTAAAGGGATCACATGGGAATTTTTTTTATTTTTACACATTTATGTTTTCTGCAAGCAAACTTGTCATCTTTGGGAATAACGATTCTCAAATTATGAAACATTATTTTACACCTTTAAAAAAACATTAAATTTGACATATTTTTACGTTCATATTGAGGATTGAGCCACAACAGATTATAATTTTTTTTTAATACAAATATTGTAGTTTAGAAACTGATACTAAAGTGTCATAGGAGTTCGAACTTGAAGTCACTAGTTTGTAAGATAAAATTTTTTTCCACTGAGTTGGACTCCGTTGGTAACGAACTTTATTTTTCGTTTTTGTATTTTGGGATGTTTTACACAGTGACTGTGAGGAGGGAGGGCAGCCTATTTTTGTCCTTTTAACTAAAGCACTCCAACTTCTTGTCCCCCAAAAATAAAATTGCCAACCCAACAGGGGCCACAACGAGCTAATCACACTCGAGATATTTTCGTTTGCTCATTCATTTTGGCTATGGCCTTTTATGGACTGTAACATCACAACCACCTAAAGCTATCAACCTCCTCAGCCTTTCCTCTTCTTTCACAACGGTTACTTTCCCTTCCTTCAATTCAATGCCCCTATAACGGCTCTGTTTCTCTCTGTTTCTCTTATTTCATTTCCTTTCTTATCTTATTTTCAAGTGTTTTTGTGCATATACATATATGGTCACCTGAACTGTCATTCCAAAAGTGCGTAGGGGAAGAGAAAGTTTGAGTCTTTTGGTGTTTAGAGAGAAACCCAGATGGATCTCACTTCGTTCTTGACGTCCTTAGGGACGTCTTTTGCCATTTTCGTCATTTTGATGTTTCTCTTCGCATGGCTTTCAAGGAAGCCTGGGAACACTGTGATTTACTATCCCAATCGGATCTTAAGAGGCTTGGATCCATGGGAGGGCGGGTCCAAGACCCGAAACCCGTTTGCTTGGATCAAAGAGGCTTTAACTTCCACAGAACAGGAAGTTATCTCCATGTCAGGGGTTGACACTGCTGTGTACTTTGTGTTCTTGAGCACTGGTTTGTCTCTGCCTCTTGCCTGTTTGACAAGTTTAAAAATTACTGTTTTCTCTTTTGTTTGTACCTGACACTTTCTGGGTTTTGTTCATTTGCTGAAAGCCTGAAATTATTAGAGCTTTGTTGTTGATTTGGTAGGATGGACTAATTTGTGAAGGCTACTCTCAGATTTCTATTGTTGCTATTTATGTGAATAGTTAAGGGTTAAGCCTGTTTCTTGTAGCCCTCTTCTCGTCTTTTCTGCATTTCATAAACTAGCTTATCAATGAGTAGTGTTCTACCAGATTGTTTATACCCAAAACCTTACTTATTTTAAAGGTTAAGTCTATTTCTTGTAGCCCTGTTCACCTCCTTTGCATTAATGCATGAGTAGCGTGTTTCCAGTTGGCCTTTACTTTTAAAACTATGGATTTGTGTAAAAATGAATGGAATTTTATGTTAGGATACTGTGCCTTGCAAGGTGAACAAGATATTTATGTCATGGGTGAACTTGAACACAGTAGTTGTTACAGGAGAAGCTGTATGCAACGTGGTTATTTTGTTTCCGTGTTTGGGTAAAAACTGTATGCAATGCTTGACCTAAACATGTTAATTTTTGTTTGTTTATAAAGTGCAAAATTTTGAAGTTCTAACTTTCCTATTGATGCGCCAGTGTTGGGAATATTGGTTTTATCCAGCCTTATTCTGCTACCAGTCCTTCTGCCGGTTGCTGCCACTGACGTTGGAAGCAAGTTATCCATCAATGCCACAAGCAATGGCACTTTTAGTGACCTTGACAAGTTATCCATGGGACATCTCCAGGTAAGCTATACAAATTTTCATGAATGTCTCGGTCTTTTTCTTCTTTTCCCATGGGATGAAACAACCATTTTTAATTGTGGTAGCTCTGGGTTTTCTTATAATCTTTTCGAATGATGTCATTCGGGTTCCTGAGTTGGGCGCTTTTAGTTTTTTAACTGTTTATGTTAGTGCTAACATGATGAACATGAACTCATACTAACTTCGTTTATGTATGTCTTTTTGGGTGTACAGGAGAAGAGTCCTAGGTTGTGGGCATTTCTGATAGGCGTCTACTGGGTTTCTTTTGTTACATATTTCTTGTTGTGGAAGGCATATAAACATGTCTCCGCCCTTAGAGCCAATGCTTTAATGTCTCCTCAAGTGAAGCCTGAACAATTTGCAATTCTTGTTAGAGACATACCTGCGGCTCCTGCAGGTCAACTTAGAAAGGAACAGGTCGATTCTTATTTTAAGACTGTCTACCCCGATACATTTTACAGATCATTGGTGGTCACAAATAATAAAAAGGTATGGTTCTCGATTTGCCTTTTCCTAAGCATTTTGTGCCTTTGTTCTCTGTTATGGGTGTGAACATCTCTGATTGGGTTTGGCTATTCCAGGTTTCTGTTAGGATAGGACTTTTATCACAATTGATCGTTCTTCCTTAACATTAAATTTTATTATCTATTTGGGCGTCTGGAATCTTTTTTTGGGTCAGATAAATTCCACTTTTATTTAGAGCATGTAAAAATTCAAGATGCCTAGAGAAAGTACAGTAGATCAGATGATTATGCTTTTTCAATGACTGTTGATGGTGTGCTTCCTATTTTAGTTCCATTCATGCTAATTTTATTCTTATGTAGGTCAACAAAATCTGGGAAGAGTTAGAAAAGTATAAGAAGAAGCTTGCACGCGCTGAATCAATTTATGCAGCATCGAAAAATACTGGCAATGCAGAAGGAAAAAGACCCACTAACAAAACTGGCTTCCTTGGTCTTTGTGGGAATAAGGTGGACAGTATAGATTACTACACTGAGAAGATCAATGAATTAATCCCAAAACTGGAGACTGAACAAAAAGCTACTCTCCGAGAGAAGCAGGAAAATGCTGCTCTAGTTTTTTTCACCAATAGGGTGACTGCAGCTTCTGCAGCTCAGACTCTACATGCCCAAATTGTTGACACATGGACAGTCACTGAGGCTCCTGAGCCTCGTCAAGTCCTTTGGCCTAATCTTAAAATTAAGTTTTTCCAGAGGCAAGTACGGCAGTATGTTGTGTACATCATCGTGGCTCTGACCGTTGTGTTTTATATGATTCCAATTGCATTTATCTCTGCATTCACAACATTGGACAATCTCAAGAAACTTCTCCCATTTCTAAAGCCAGTTGTGAATCAAGCTGCAATTAAGACAGTGCTAGAGGCTTATCTACCTCAAATTGCACTTATAATCTTTCTAGCTTTGTTGCCCAAGTTCCTTTTCTTTTTGTCTAAGGCTGAGGGAATCCCTTCTCAGAGCCATGCTATAAGGGCTGCTTCTGGGAAATATTTTTATTTCACTATCTTCAATGTTTTTCTTGGAGTTACAATAGGGGGAACCTTATTCAGTACATTCAAGACCATCGAGAAGGATCCTAACTCTATTGTCACCTTACTAGCAACTAGCCTACCCGGCAATGCAACTTACTTCCTCACCTTTGTGGCTCTGAAGTAAGTAACAGTTTACACCTTCTAGCTATTCTTTTTCAGTATCAGAAACTGAAACGAGATTGCAAAGTATCTAATTGTTGGACACTAACGCTTCTTTTAACTGCTATTTGGGGTGAATATAAAGGAGCTTTCATTCTTACTTGTCCACAACAATCATGCCTTTAATAGTGAACTGATTTTCATAACTTCCATTGATGACAGGTTTTTCGTTGGCTATGGTCTTGAACTGTCCCGAATAGTTCCTCTAATCATTTTCCATATAAAGAGGAAGTATCTTTGTAAGACCGAAGCTGAGTTGAAAGCAGCGTGGCTTCCCAGTGATCTTGGTTATGGGACTAGAGTGCCTGGTGATATGCTCATCATTACAATTGTCCTCTGCTACTCTGTTATTGCCCCACTGATTGTTCCATTCGGTGTTCTGTACTTTGGCATTGGATGGCTTGTCCTTCGGAATCAGGTATACTTCTGTCTTCTATGGATTGCCAGTTTCCAGTTTTCAGTTGAAAAACTCTTTATCATTTGTCTATTAGTTTAGGCACAGCCCATGATATATGCTATCGAAAACTAAAGCTTATTCTTTGATTGTGCAGGCACTCAAAGTTTATGTTCCCGCATACGAAAGCTATGGAAGGATGTGGCCTCACATGCACGTTCGAGTTCTTGCATCTCTGATATTGTACCAAGTTACCATGTTTGGTTACTTTGGTGTGAAAAAATTCGTCTTTGCACCATTCCTAATCGTACTGCCCATCCTGTCCTTGCTCTTTGGTTTCATCTGCCGCAAGAAATTCTACCGGGCTTTCCAAGACGTTGCTCTTGAAGTTGCTGCTCATGAACTAAAGGAACTTCCTAACATGGAGCAAGTTTACAGAGCTTTCATCCCACCAAGCCTGGGATCTGAGAAGATAGATGATGATCAATTCGAAGACGCTCAATCTCATGTTTCAAGAGCAGGATCATTTGCCTAGTGTATAATAGTCAGTCGTGTCGTTTAGAAGTGATTTTGTTTGATTTTACTGAAACTAGTTTGGATTTGGATGATTTGTCAGTTGTTTATAACATGTGATTAGGAACCCCTCAGCATTGCGTTTGTAGCATATATATTCCTTGTAATGTTTGTCTGGTGGAATTTCTTTTAGAGTCATGTTTGATGTGAATATGGGTCTCTTCTGTTTTTGCACCAGGAATGTTTTATGGTGGCATTATTGATGATTCATCTCGTCCTTTAGATTTCATGATTTAGTTTGTTACTTTGTTGTTTCCTCTGATTTACAATTTGCAAACAAATTATGTTCCTGTTGATTAAAGCAATCTTGATTCTTATTAAAAAAGATAAAAAAAAGCGCAGACGGATTAGGCTAATTGATTAGGGCAGCGTTCTTCCTTGCACTCAAGTTTGAATTTCGTTTTATAGATTAGATTAATTTAAAATAATTTATATAATTAAAAAAGAAATAGAAATAAATACAACTTTTTTTTATATAAAAAAAATAGAAAAAATAAAACCATCAATTAGACCAAGCTACACTCATAGTTGGCGCCCCTCAGCAGGGCCAAAAACCTCAAACGCCACCATAAAACTCTCCATGAAAGATTTCAAAGCCACAACACAAAACCCATTTGTCTGAACCTCCAAAAACCCACACAAAACCCTTTGAAAACCAATGGCTTCATCTTCGCCACCAGGCATGGTGGTCCACAACCGCTTCTTAGGGTTCCTCATATGGCAATCTATCCCCTCCACTGTCATCTTCTTCATCTTCAAAACCCTCTCATCAACCATCTCTTCCACTTCTCACTCCACCGCCAAACCCCCATTCCCCTTTGCCCCGTATGTTTTTTCCTTTATTACATTCTTGACCTTCCACCTTTCACAACTTCTTTTCTCCTTCTCACTCTCCCTCATCTCCTCACCCCACCCCCACCGCCTAGTCTCTCCTCTTCAGCTCGCTCTCGGCCTCATACGCTTCCTTTTCGTTCCCGGTGGCTCCGATTTATCAGAGTCTCCCGAGTCTCGGGTTCGGGCTAAGTTATCGGTCGGGTTCCTGCTGTTTTTGGCAGCGGTGGCGGTTTCGGGGTTCGTTGCGGTGGTTTCGGTGTGTGTGAAATTTGGTGATGGGGTTGGGCTGATTGGGGCAGTGGGGTTTAGGGGTTTTGTGATGGGTTTGCTTTATGGCTTGTATTATGTCTATTACCGCAGATGGGTCTTCGAGTTTCCCATTATTCAGGTCAGCTTTCAGCTACTTATGTACATCTTTTGAATCTGTCTCTGTTTTCTTCTTTGTCCTAAAAGAAAAATTATGTTATACTCTTTGCTGCTATAGTGTGTTATAGTTTTTGGTGCTATAGCTTTGGTTGCTGGGAAACCTGGAAGTAGCAGAAGTAAAATGCATGGCTGGTTCAAAGTGTGCAGGCTGTGTAAAATAATGTTTCATTCTGTGTTTGTTTTAGTGGAGTAAAGAGCATCTGGGTTTGGATAAAATGGTAGATTACTATGATTAGATGTTCAAATACCCTGGTCAGTTGATTGAAAGTGAGTTTCTAGTTGCACACACAACTAATCATATTTCGATAAATTGCGTTCATACCTTAGATATCTAGGATGATTACAGTAGTTTCATGTTTTATGATGTAGAGCTCAAAAGGAGGGGGGAGCAAAAGAAAGAAACAATCCAAGTTTTGCTATAAATTGCCAAATCATGTTAAATATGATGAGATGCTATCTGTCATTGGGTTCTCTGAGTAATTAAGGGTTTTCCCATTTTTAGATATTTTTAATTTTCTTGTTTATGAGCTGCAATACGCGTTGGATGTAGAAGCATGTTAAATTTACCGGTTGAGAGTTGAGACTGTTTGAGTTGCACTCAGATTTACTAAGTTTTCAGTCTCAATTAATTGTTAGCCTGTTTAAATATCCTCATGTTGCCTTTTGCTTTCTCCTCACACAAGTCATGGCTCTTACTCTAATTGCTTATGTCAACAGCGTCCTCCTTTTTTCAGCTTCAAGATGGGACTCCCTTCAGCTATCACACGATCCTTGAAGCTATCCTGCTTGGCATCCCTATTTTCAGCTTTTCTGGTGGTGTTTCTGCCCCACCAGCTTCAGAACCAAGCTACAATCGGAAAGGTCATTGTTGAGCAGATTATATTTTACATTGGGAGTTTCTTAGTGTTTCTCTGCTGGGAAATAAGTCACCATTTACATCAGGTTTGGTTCTTCAAACATATTAACATGGTTGCTAATTTTCATTAATGTCAATACTACTGCACATGGTTGACAAAAACATTGCTGTAGCAGATAAACTAAAATATATATTTTGATGTTTGTTCTGCTGCAAGTTCTTGTTTTTTTTTTCTTTTCAAATATCCACTTCTTTGGTTTGTATGAGATTAGGTGTATGATTCCTTGAATATAGAAGTACCAGGGTATATGAAAATTTCTTGCGTGTTGTATTACCCCCTTCCAATGCTTCATTAGTTCCCATCCCTGTACAATTATAAAAATGAATGTGACATAAAAGTAACAGAAGTCATGAGTGCAATAAACTAGAGCTTCATGCAGCATAGACCTGTTCAATTGGTTGTCTATTTTTGTTTCTTTCTTATATTATATTTTTCAATTTTTTTATCTCTGATGTCATATTATGGATTTAAGCTATTTTTTACATTGTCAAGTAAATAATTGACTGGTTTCTTCTTCTATGCCTTTTTATGGCTTTTCATATTGGTGGATAAACAATATTTTAAGCCTTTTCTTGGTGCCAATTTGGATTCTTAAATTAAATGCTATCGAGAATTATCTCAATGCTGTGCTACTTTAATATGACTGTATCTCATATGATTGCAATAGGGTCCTTATGGGTATGGTGTTGGCCTTGAACCTCTAGACTTCATTCTCCTTGGACATTTATTTGACAATTCTGAGATATTTCTTCTTTCATTCACTAACACTTCGTAAAGCTCTTAACTCCTAAATGCCTGTGCCCTATGTCTGTGTCCATGCTTCACAGCTATGTTATTTATTTAAAATTTCCTTTGGCGCAAATTTAAGAAATGTTCTTATGTGCCCTGTATAATTCAGTTTAATACGTATATCCTTGTTTCTTCCTAATGTAAGAACCCGTCAAAGAAACTTCATTTATAATTTGAACCTAAGCTAAATCAAGTGTTTGGTGTCAGTAGCTTTAGATGGAATTTTTATATGAACTTAGCAACTTTTCTAGGATGTGAACTTAAGCTGCCCAGTGACACTAGAAAACTTGCTATATGGGAAACTTTATAAATCATACAGCTTGATCTCTTATACTTTTTATTCTTTTTTGGTTAAAGAATTTGTGTACATGGGTGCTATTATGTCTGCTATTACAAATTGTCTGGATTAATTGAATCAGCAGTTTTCATGTTCATGTTGTATACTGCCCTTCCTTTGATAGTAAACCATGTCTGTCTTCTAATATCAATCTATATTTTTTGAAATCGTGTTGGAATCTAGGTTCTTCATACAAAGAGGTTTGTATTTGCACCACCTAAAGGATCAGCAGCAGCAGAAACAAATCCAAGTGAGCATCTCCTTTCAGCTCTGGAAGAAAGCAGTCCTAATTCTCTTCTCCAGTATCTTGCATATCTTGATATCTATATGGTTTGTGAGAATAATGTTGATACTTGGCGACGAGCTGCATTTTTTGAAGAAAGTGGTGAAACTTACAAAAGAGTTATATATGTATGCTTGCGGCCTCTGGAGCAGCTTGCATCAAAGTTGGGCGAAGGCTTGGAAAGTTCTGTTGAAAAAAGCTCCCAAATATCGAATCAGTTACTGTCGCCAACTGACCAGCGACTAGACCCAAAATACTCTGAGCCATTGAACAACTTCCAGGTAAACAGATACTTTCTTGATTACACTTGTGGATACGTGCCTACAAGTGTGTGCATTATTTTTTTTAGTATGTCATACCTCATTTACTCAAACTGTGAACTAACATCATGCATGGAGTTATCCATACATATTTTATGATAAAACAACATGGTACAGGTACTTTGCCTCCTTTCCTTCTGGGCATTGTTAATTAGTATTTGTAGGAGCCAATTCCTCACAAAAGGATGGTCATTGTGCTCATTGGCTGGTCGCAACTTGGAGTTAATGCATGTGAAGAACAATGCTCCAATCTTCAGCATTCTTTATCATGAGGCTAAATAGTGTTATTGAATATTAAAAATATTGTCAATTGTTTTTGCTAGGTATTAGTTGGTCCATGTATGGAGATGTGTGGAGATATATGAGCCTCTAGGCACAAAATTACTGAAATGAATGTGCATAGAGATTCTTGATGATATGTTGATGATTTTATACAGAAAAAGTGGGAAAAGAAATGGGTAAACTAAACAGACAATATCTTTGATTTCTCATCAACGAAAAAGTCTAATAGTTATATATATATATATATTTCCTCTTATGCAGCTATATGCGTGGTGTGCCTGGACGGCTGCCTCACTGACTACATGCTCACACAGAGAGGACAGATTTGGGGTTGCCCAGCTTTCTGGCAGTAATGCTGCTGTGATATCAACACTGATTTCTTGTCTTCTTGCTGTTGAATCATACATGGGGAAGAAGACCAATTTGCAATCTGCACAGCATTTTATGGGGTCGACTGGTTTTAAATTGAGAACCTCGAGTGCGGGGAATATTGGCATGGGTAAAAAGAGAGCTGGCCCCCTTCATTCAAAAGCATATTCGATTGCTGATGTTCTTAGGAACTCAATCTACCATATTGTGTCTACTTTCCATGATCAGATGGCAAGCAGTGCTAAGAAGGGTCTTCTTGAGAAGGATTGGATCAGCAGTGACAAGCCTCCTTTTGGAACACGCGAGCTTCTAGTGCAGAAATTGCATCTTTTCCTGGACTTTCGAGCTAGCTAATTGCTTGTCAATTTGCGGGGATTCAAAACCTCTTCTTGCCTATTGAATCATTGGACTTGGGGCGGCATACATATGAAGAGCTGGTTTGTTTCTTAACCTAAGTTAGTGGTGGGTGGAAAGCTGAAGGAGATAGCATCATATTTATTACAAAGTAAAACCAAATGGATCCTATGAATTAAGCTGTATGGTTGATAGAAGGCACTTGCATCAACTGTTATACCGAAATCAAAGGTTTTTCCCATCCCGTTTTCTTTGTGTTATAGCCGGGTTCGAATTAATTTTGCTTTATGGTTAACAACTGAATGAAGTATTGTCAATTGAAAGACTTTTTTTCGTTTCTTGTTTTGGTTGCTTGTTTTTGGTGATATATGTATGGGTGGAAGAACCAGAACAAAAAGGTTAGGCTAGGTTAGGTATGAGCCGAGAGCTTCCCAGTTGCCTCTGTTGCCATGGATTGAGGCTTTTTGTGGGTCAACTTTGATTAAGTATATTATTAGTGATCTTCATTTTATTATTGTTCAAAATATCATAAAATGCCCTTGATTAATTCAAACATTAAGAATTAAAATTATTAATTAAATGAGGATAATATGATAAATTCACATTTTTCATATTAAAAAAAATTAAAATTAGAAACAAAATCATATAATATGTCTTATTTTTATGGAACATTACTATCCATTATTTTTTTTAATTCTAAAATAAAATAAAATAAAATATTTTTAAAAAAAGCCTCTCGTAGACGCAAAAGCGCATGTGGAGAGGCCAAGGAGTATAAAATTGCACTTATAGGTTGCAATTCGATGCTTATGTTTCTAATTAAACTGTAATTATACACGGAAGAACGTGATTAAATGAGTATGGTGTGAAAAGAAGGGAATGGATTCCGTGACTTCGTGTTGAAAGTCAAAGTCATTTGTTAGGTACATTTTCTAATGGGTATTTATCTTTTCTTTGTTCTATATGTTGCCCCTTTGCCTTGAAGTTGCCGTGGTCTGTCTGCCTATGCATTGCCCTCATTGTTTCAAAATATTACCAACGCCATTATATAGCTTTTCTAAGTGGTAGTCTTGGTAATTTCCTCTATGATCAGGGTCAAACCTTTAGAGCTTGGGTTGTTAGGCTGGGTAGATTGGGATTTACACATGTGACCATGTCTACATCAACCAGAACAAGTCCAAATTAAATACAAATGGTCAATCAACACACAAATATTTCTATATCTTGAGTCTTTCAAACCACGCGTGACACATTCATTATTTAAATCCCATTTTCTTGACATGATTGTTGAGTCTTCTATCCTTACCTCTGTATATAAATTGATCCCTTTGTTCCCCATTCTCTCATTTCCAACCTCAATTCCTTCATCTTCTAAGCTTAATTTTCAATCCGTAGGACCTCGTAACTCTAGTGGTAGAGCACTTAATCTCCACATCCACCACAAGAGTTCGAGTCCTAATTTTCCGGCCTGTGTGCTTTGAAATTTGAGCAGCATCAACAAAGTCAACCATGGCACTTTCAAGTATGATGTACACCCATCTTCCGGTCACTCAAGCTGCCTCTGGCCCAACCCGGTTTTCCTTAATCCGTTCTAGTCATCATCAAGAAGCTGTTCTTGATCACCAGCAAACAAAGACATCAAACAAAGCCAATCGTCTAGCTGAATCACTAGCCCATCTCCTTCACCTTCATATCGATACCCCTCCAAGAACCAACACTCACTCTACTAATTGGAATTTGTTTACTGAAGAGAAAATTTCAACTCCCACAACTTCCCCAAAGGACAGCATATCAGAAAAATGGCGTGAAATTCATGGCTCAAATGATTGGGAGGGTCTTTTGGACCCTCTGCACCCTTGGCTAAGAAGAGAGATTGTCAAATATGGTGAATTTGCACAAGCAACGTATGATGCTTTTGATTTCGATTCATTCTCAGAGTACTGTGGGAGCTGCAGGTACAACCACAAAAAGCTTTTTGATGTGTTGGGTCTAAGCAAAAATGGCTACACAGTGAGCAAATACATTTATGCAATGTCTCACATCGACATGCCGAGTTGGCTGGAGAGGTCTCACTTGGCTGACACTTGGAGCAAACACTCAAACTGGATGGGATTTGTTGCTGTCAGTGATGATTTGGAGACAAGAAGGATTGGAAGGAGGGATATTGTGGTGGCTTGGCGAGGGACGGTGGCGCCATCTGAGTGGTATGAGGATTTTCAGAGGAAACTGGAGCCAATTGGGCATGGAGAGGCCAAAGTTGAACATGGGTTCCATGGGATTTACACTGCCAAGTGTGAGACTACAAGGTACAACAAGTCCAGTGCCTCAGAGCAAGTCATGAAAGAAGTGACAAGGCTGGTGGAATTTTATAGAGCACAAGGTGAAGAAGTGAGCCTTACAATTACAGGACACAGCTTGGGTGGTGCCTTGGCTTTGCTCAATGCTTATGAAGCTGCAGAAACAATTCCTGGCCTTCCCATCAGTGTGGTTTCCTTTGGTGCACCTAGAGTTGGCAATATTGCCTTCAAAGATGAGCTCAACCAAATGGGGGTTAAGACCTTGAGGGTTGTGGTTAAGCAGGACATGGTGCCTAAAATGCCAGGGCTTGTTTTGAACGAGGGTCTGCAGAAATTTGATGACATAACAGGCACATTGGACTGGGTTTACACACATGTTGGAGCTGAGCTGAAGCTCGAGGTTGGTTCGTCGCCTTACCTCAAGCATGGCGGGTTCAATTTGCCGGGGTTTCATAGCCTTGAGACCTACCTTCATCTTGTGGATGGTTTTCTAAGCACAGAAACTACTTTTAGGTCAAATGCTAGGAGGGACTTTGCCTTGGTGAACAAGGGATGTGACATGTTGGTGGATGATCTTAGAATCCCACAATGTTGGTACCAATTGCCACATAAAGGGCTAGTTTGTAATGCTCATGGGAGATGGGTAAAACCCAAAAGAGACCCTGAAGACATACCTTCACCTACAAGAGAAGCACAAGCACAAGCACATGCTCTTCAAGTAGAGATGATGGAATCAGATTATGCACTTAGTTTTTAAACTTGTAAACTTTGACAGTTGACAACTTGAAATGTCTCCACATTTTGTTACCATTTATTGGCTCTTTCATAATGGATCTCTCACAAGGTTTAAGAAATATGATGAACTTATTATAAAGTTTATCATGGAGAGCATCAACAAACACCCAAAACACAAGTTGCTGATGCCAATTAGAACATCTGCCAAAAGAAATCTTTGCAAAATTATCATTTTTTTTAAACAGACATAGTTTCATATAATTTAAAATCACAATTATGCATCAACTAATGGGTGCAGTCTTAGAGTCTTAGAGTAAAAACCATTGTATGTCCTTATTGCAACTTGTGGGTCGGTTGTAATTTAGTTGGGCAAAAGTGGCACCCTGTTGTTTGATGAAATGCCCCAGGTAAATTAATTTGTGCGGACCGTCCTTGTCAAACAAGTTAGGCGCAGTTTGTGGTTGAGATTTGCTGTTTAATAAAGAAATAATGAAGATATTCAAATAGCATTCATAACTAATAGGGAAAAAGATGCATGAAATCAAAGAGTTTCAATTCGTTTTCAATGATTCGCCTCAAGGAGAAAAATGGGGATATAAAAAATTAATTCAATGTATAAGAAAGACTCATCATTTAAAACCTATTTAGACTTAAAATTGAAAAAAAATAAATACCACCTAACAGCCAATTTCTAGCCACCAAAGAAGTAGATACGCATCTGGTCGATAACGAAATAGGACGAAAACAACAAAAACACGACACATAGCACATTGTGCAACTAAGCATAAATGCAGCCATACAAGAATTAGGGCGACTGGAATTAAACTGCTGTTTTGTGTGGGATCACACACCTGCTATAGATTTGCCTACTATGTACTATGTATCTGCCTTCAACCTGACCCTGGAGAGAATTGGACTACATAACAACTAGTTATTATGAGTTGGGATTAACTGTTATGGCGGACACTAATTTATGCGAAGTACCCAAACCCTAACGCATTTAGCCAAACTGGGTTCTACACGCGGATAAATTGTCTGCTATGATACCGGCCATGCTAAAATTAGGCATTCAACCTAAACTTATTAGTCAGCAATACATAGAGAAGTTGAAGATCTCCTGTAATCGAAATATAAGGCTTAGAATTCTCCACCTGGGATTTTATATTCTACAAAACCCCTTTATATATAACCATGCTGATTTCACTAAGTGGAACTCAAGTACTCAATAACAATTCTTATTTCACTCTTCCAATCCCAGCCCTCGTTGTGTGTTTCTCATTTCCAATCTTACATCCAAATGGCCAGCCTCGTATTCGAGCATCGACAAGAAAACAATTCTGCCTACATGACCACTAGCCCTCTAGACCCTGAGGAATTCAGAAGGCAAGGCCACATGGTCATAGACTTCATTGCTGATTATTACAAAACAATTGAAAAATACCCAGTTCTTACCCAAGTCCAACCGGGCTATCTCAAAAAACGCTTGCCAGAATCTGCCCCATACGACCCTGAACCTATTGAAACCATCCTCCAAGACGTTCAGGACCACATTATCCCTGGCCTAACACATTGGCAAAGCCCTAACCACTTTGCCTACTTCCCTGCAACTATCAGCACCGCAGGGTTCCTCAGCGAAATGCTCACCACTGGTTTCAATGTTGTGGGGTTCAATTGGATTGCATCCCCAGCTGCAACTGAGCTCGAAACCATTGTCATGGATTGGCTTGGAGATATGCTCAAACTTCCCAACTCTTTCCTCTTCTCTGGCAACGGGGGCGGTGTATTGCAAGGCACTACTTGTGAGGCCATTGTTTGTACCATGGCAGCCGCCAGGGATCAAATGCTAAGCCAAATTGGTAGAGAGAATATTGGGAAGTTAGTTGTGTATGGATCAGATCAAACACATAGCACGCTTCAAAAAGCCTCCCAAATTGTTGGGATTCACCCAAAGAATTTCAGGGCCATAGAGACCACAAAATCAACATCATTTGCACTTTCACCTGAGGTGCTAAAGTCGACTGTTTGTTCAGACATAGAAGCTGGGCTTGTCCCATTGTTTCTTTGTGCCACAATTGGAACAACTGCAGTAACAGACGTTGATCCATTGGGGCCACTCTGCGACGTGGCAAAAGAACACGGCATGTGGGTTCATGTGGACGCTGCATATGCTGGAAGTGCATTTGTCCTGAGTTTCGACCTTTTATCGATGGCGTTGAGGGTGTAGATTCATTCAGCCTCAATCCGCACAAATGGCTCTTCGTAAACCTCGACTGTTGTTGTCTCTGGGTTAAGAATCCAAGGGCTTTGGTGAGCTCACTTTCGACGAATCCAGAGTTTTTGAGGAACAAAGCCACGGATTTGAAGCAAGTTGTGGACTACAAAGACTGGCAAATAGCTTTGAGCCGGAGATTCCGGGCCATCAAACTTTGGCTTGCGCTTAGAAGCTATGGGGTGAACAACCTTAGGAACTTCATCAGGAGCGATGTGAAATTAGCTAAGTTGTTTGAAGGGCTTGTGGGGATGGACAAAAGGTTTGAGGTTGTGGCCCCTAGGAAGTTCTCTTTGGTGTGTTTTAGGGTTTCACCATCAGCAATTAGTAAGGCTAATCCAAGCCCAAGTGATCATGATGAGTTGTTAAACGGTGGAAAATGTGTAGTTAACGAGGTGAATTGCAAGTTGCTGGAGGCGATTAATGGGTCAGGTCGGGTGCACATGAGCCATGCTGTGGTTGGAGGGATGTATGTATTACGTTGCGGAATTGGAGCAAGTCTCACTGAGGAAAAGCATATAGCCATGGCTTGGAAGGTGGTGCAAGAACATGCAGATGCCATCCTCGCCACCACGGATTGATGATGCAAACAAAACCCCAAGCCTGAGGTCCTGAGAATACTTGTAGGCGAAGCAATTTGAATCATGGGGTGTTCAAACTATATACACATATAGATAGTAGGCAATAACGTTCCTTGGAACAATTTGTTTTGCAGATGGCCAAAGCTCTATCCACAATATATTTCCAATATACTAGAACATGTTCTTAAATTTTACAATAATAAACATGGACCAGGGAGTAACCAATAACAACCGTAGTCTGTAGGTATAAATATCAAGGCCAACCACCGCAAGAACAACGAAAAAAAATTGGAAAAGGAGCCTATTGGGACACACAAGGCTCTAAATTGTTCCCAGGTCTTGTCTTGCGTAATCTTAGATACTGTTTGTAAGAAAATGAAAGAGGATACAAGCAAATAGAAAAGTGTTGCTCGACGATTAATTAGCATATAATTTAGTTTTCAATCAGATTTCCAGAGTTTAGAGTAGTCTTTCTTTAACTTGAAAGCCTACGCACGCTCTCACATCTTCATCAAATCTCATACATGGATTTCTCTTTCATTTTCAATTACAATACACATAGTTGTAAACTTTCTGTATAGCAAATTCATATAGTTTTCATGGCTCAAATGATTGGGAAGGTCTTTTGGACCCTCTGCAAATTCATATAGAAAGATACTAAAAAAAAACTATAACAGTGCAAAAGAAAAGATCGATGCATGAAATCGAAGAGTTTCAATTTTTTGTTACATGATTCCACACCCCAAGCATAAAAATAAAAATTCAATGTAAAGAAAGAGACTCAATTAAAACATGTTTAGACTTAAAATTAAAAATAGATAAAGATCACCTAACTGCCAATTTCAAACCAAATTAATAGGACAAAAGCAACAAAACCTCAACATAGAGAGCAGGCATATACAAGAACTAAAATGTTGTTTGGTGTGGGATTATTATTGTTGTGAGATCGCATCAATTAAAATGAATGGATGGGAATTATGCTATAAACAAACAAATGTCCACTAAGACCCTTTAGAGAATTGGACTACATAACAACTAATTTGGGCAAAATACCCCAACCCTAAGACAAAAGGACAAAATCCGATACTCCTAACATTCAACTCAAAACTAATTAGCAATAAGGGATTTAGCCAAACTGGGTTCTACACGCGGATAAATTGTCCGTTATGATACCATGCTAAAGTTAGGGCATTCAACCTAAACTTAGTTGGCAATAAATAGAGAAGTTGCAGATCTCCTTTAATCTAAGTATAAGGCTTAGAAGTCTCCACCTGGGATTTTATATTCTACAAAACCCCTATATATATATATAACCATTCTGATTTCACTAAGTGGAAAGAACTCAATAGTACTCTTATTTCACTCTTCCAAATCCCAATCCCAGCCCTTGCTGTGTGTTTCTCATTTCCAATATTACATCCAAATGGGTAGCCTAAATTTCGACCATCCGCAAGAAAACAACTCTGCCCACATGTCTGGCCCTCTGGACCTTGTGGAGTTGAGAAGACAAGGCCACATGATGATAGATTTCATTACGGATTATTACCAAAACATAGAGAAGCACCCAGTTCTTAGCCAAGTCCAACCAGGCTATCTCAAACAACGCTTGCCAGAATCTGCCCCATACAACCCTGAACCCATTGAAACCATCCTCCGAGACGTGCAGGATCACATTGTCCCTGGCCTAACACATTGGCAAAGCCCTAACCACTTTGCCTACTTCCCTGCAACTATCAGCACCGCAGGGTTTCTCGGCGAAATGCTCACCACTTGCTTCAATGTTGTGGGGTTCAACTGGATGGCATCCCCAGCTGCAACTGAACTCGAAACCATTGTCATGGATTGGCTTGGAGATATGCTCAAACTTCCCAACTCTTTCCTCTTCTCCGGCACCGGCGGCGGTGTGTTGCATGGAAGTACTCATGAGTCTGTCGTTTGCACCATGGCAGCTGCCAGGGACCAAATCCTGAGCCGAATTGGTGAAGAGAATATAGGGAAACTTGTGGTGTACGGCTCTGATCAAACACATAGCGTGATTCAAAAAGTGTCCCAAATTGTTGGGATCTCATCAAAGAACTTCCGGGCCATCGAGACCACAATATCATCATCCTTTGCACTGTCCCCTGAAACCCTACGGTTGACTGTTTGTTCAGACATGGAAGCTGGGTTGGTTCCATTCTATCTATGTGCCACCGTGGGAACAACCGCAACCACAGCCGTCGATCCGCTGGGGCCACTCTGCGACGTGGCAAAAGATTACGGCATGTGGGTTCATGTGGACGCTGCATATGCCGGAAGTGCTTGCATTTGCCCCGAGTTTCGGCAGTATATCGATGGCATTGAGGGTGCAAATTCGTTCAGCTTCAATGCGCAGAAATGGTTCTTTACAGCTCTCGACTGTTGTTGCCTTTGGGTTAAGAATCCGAGTGCGTTGACAAAATCAATGTCAACGGATCTTGAGGTGTTGAGGAACAAGGCCAGCGAGTCGAAGCGAGTGGTGGACTTCAAAGACTGGCAAATAGCCCTAACCCGGAGGTTCCGGGCCATCAAGCTATGGCTTGTGCTCAGGAGCTACGGGGTGGCTAATCTTAGGAACTTCCTTGGAAGCCATGTGAAAATGGCGAAGCGTTTCGAAGGGCTTGTGAGGACGGACGAAAGGTTTGAGGTTGTGGTGCCTAGGAATTTTGCTTTGGTGTGTTTTAGGATTTCACCTTCCGCAATTAGTAAGGCTAATCCAACTCCAAGCGATGAGAAATGTGTAAACGAAGTGAATTGCAAGTTGCTTGAGGCGATCAATGGGTCGGGTAGGGTGTACATGTCTCATGCTGTAGTTGGAGGGATGTATGTGTTGCGTTGCGCCATTGGAGCAAGTCTCACTGAGGAAAAGCACGTAGCCATGGCTTGGAAGGTGGTGCAAGAACATGTAGATGCCATCCTCTCCCTCACCATGTATTAACACATGCTGAGGGAGAGGATGACATTTGTACATAGTGAGGGAGGTAACTTTCAAAATCCTTCAAAACTTTTCAAGGATTTTGAATTATGGGGTTCAAATGATTAGTAGGCGATAATGTTCCTTGTAACATTTTGCTTTGAAGATGGCCAAAACTCTATCCACAATATATTCAAATAAATTAGAACAACAACGAAAATATATAAATTGGAAAAAGAAAAAAAGAGCCTATTGAGACACATAAGGCTCTAAAGAGTTCCCAGGTCTCGAGTAATCTTAAATATGGCTGTACGAAAATGAAAGAGGATACAAAAGGAATAGAAAAGTGTTTGCTCAACGATTAGCATAAACTTTACTTTTCAATCACATCACCAGAGATAGAGTAGTCTTCTTTTAACTCGAAAGCCTACACTCTCAAATCTTCATTAAATCTCATACATGGATTTCTCTATTTCATTATGTATCTTCATCCGTGTACGTAAATTAAACTGCAAAGAAAGGAGGAAACATAGGAAAAATTTGTTAAATTGGTTGCGATAACGTTAAGTTTTGTACAGAAAATTCATATAGTTTCATGCAATCAGTTACATAGAGCTCCAATTTTCCCACAGGCCATCTTTTTTTCTTCTTTAATTATTCCTTTAATCGCATATGCCATAAGAATAAAACTAGATGCACCAAATGTAACAAGAGAGACTGTTAATGTCGAAGAAGGGGGGCCAGCATCAAAAGGGTGCAAGAGTATAAATAGACATCAAAATAGTGGTGTATGTTTGAGAAACTTGGCCAAGTGAGTATCGGCTTTCCGATTATGAATGTTTGAGAGAAAGTTGAGAGCATCTAGATCATGACACAAATTAGATCTGATAAGTTATCATGATTGGTTTTGTGTTCCTGTTCATAACATATATCAGAGACTGCTAATTTATATATTCACAAAATGAAAAAAACCCAATTACAACTTTATTCATTGACAAATTCAAAACACAGAATTCAGCAATATACTTTGTGAGTTCAGAAACTAACTGTAGACCACAATAATACCAAGAAAGAGAGACTCTTCTCTCAGAAAAAGTAAATAGAAGAGGTATTTAAAGAACTTATTTCACACATGCAATCAATAAAATCCATACAGAAATGGTGCATATATACCTTCAAATAAATGAGAAAGGAGAGAAACTTTAGCACACTAGGGATCATGAATCCAAATCACTTAATACAATTAGCAAAACCAGAAGAGAAACATCAAAATAAGTTAGAAACTAGCGTTCTACATACCAAGGATGGGAACTCCTTTATTGAAGAAGGCAGGCAGGTGATACTCAACTCTCCTCTCCTTGAGGAACAACATACGGGAGATGCTTGGACCACAACTTGACATCCACGCCTGCTTGGGCTTGTAGGGAAATGTACTTCAAAGGCTAGGCCCCCAGGGAGGTCAGCCAGACAACCATCGCAACGAGGATCGTGAAGAAAGACGCTCAGCTGTCCACTATCAGAGGAGCAATCAAGAAAGGCTAGGTCCCCAGGGTGGTCAACTGGATAATCCTCACAATGAGGACCACGAGGAAAGACGCTCCGCTGCTCACTCTCGAAGAGGCGGTTCTCGTCGACAAGCTACAGGGAATCTCTCGCAGGCGCAGTCCACCAACACGCCGCCTAGGCAGAACAGACGAGAAGGTCGACCCTCGCAGACCAACGAGGAGGTCAATCAGCGTCGCCAACGAGACCGACCAGCAATGTGTGTGGAGGACATAGAGAAGTTTATGAATGACCGACTTCGAGACTTGAAGACCGGTGGGAATTTCAAAGATATACTACGTAAGGAGATCGACCAGGCAAACTCCACGCCTTTCACGGCCAAAATCGAGCAGGCTACTCCCTCGAAGCGGTTCTCAACGCCTTCGTTTACACACTTCAAAGGGGATTCCGATCCCGAGAGCCACCTAAAACACTTTAAAAGTGTCATGATCCTCCACAAGGCCGACGACGCGCTGATGTGCAAGGTATTTGTAATGACCTTGCGAGGAGCAACCCAAGATTGGTTCCACACCCTGCCATCCGGGTCGATCAGCAGCTTCAAGGAGCTGACATACGTCTTCACCAAAGAATACACCTCTTACCAAACAAGAAGAACCCTGACTATCTGTACAACTTGCGCAAGAAGTCCGACGAATACCTTTGAGATTACATCAAGAGATTCAAAGCAGAAAATGCCAACATTGTAGGATGTGATGACCGAATCGCGTCATCTGCCTTCAAGAAAAGTCTTCCAGCTGAACACGACATGTACCGCGAGCTGACTATCACTCTCAGCCAGACTTTGGCAGAGGTCTACGCTACCGCGAAACGCTAAGCGCTCTGGGATGATGATCGAATCACCGCAAAAAAGTCTACTAAGCAGGAAGATCAACCGACTAAGCGAGTAGGCCAAAGAAGCGATGGATTTAGTAACAAGAACGAGGACAAGGGCAGGTTACACCCACAAGGGGACTCTAAGGCAGGAGATGACTACACAAAGTTCACCATCCTCATACATCAAATCTTTGCCCAAGTGAAAGACAAACCTTGGGTAAAAAGGCCGCCACCCTTGAAAGGAGATCCGGACAAGAGAGATACTAGCAAATACTGTGCCTTCCACGGGACGCACGGACACACTACGAACAACTGCTTCGCTTGGAAAGCACACCTTGAAGAACTCGTGAGAGAACGTCACTGCATGGAATTCATCGCGAAGTAGGCCATCCAGCGGACTGAAAATTGAGACATCGCCAATGAGCCGCCCAGAAGGTCATAAGGATTAACACAATCCTAGCCGACACCAAGGAGTCAGAGCTGACCAGTAAGGAAAAAAATAGGAAGATCAAACATGCCACCATGATCTCCCAAGTCTCAACTGACCTTCCATCAGCAAAAGACGATCCTGTAATCGGCTTTCCAAAGAAAGGTCTGATCAGTCTCGACATGCCACATAATGACGCCCTTGTCATCAGCATTCAAATCGCTTAGGCCATGGTCAACAGAATCCATGCAGACGAGGGCAGCGCAGCTAATATCCTACAACTGGCGGTCATCCAGCAGATGGGCCTAAAGACAAAGATCAACAAATCAGCAAGACCGCTGATCGGCTTTAATGGTGCAACAACGGTTACTGTGGGCACGATAAACCTCGACGTCTACTCCCCGCCTGTAGTCAGCTTGCAAACATTCATGGTCATTGATGAAGTCTCACCATACAACGGCATTCTAGGCAGACAATGGATCGGTAAGATCAACGCTATCACCTCTGCCACACATCAGAAAATCTGATACCCAATCCATGGGGGCGGTGTCGGCCAAATCAACAGCGATCAGGCAATGGCGAGGAAGTGCTCCGCCCAAGGGCTGAAGAAAAGCAAACAAGCGTAGTTCCTCCCTGTGAGCCAGGCAGATCTGAAGGAGGTTGAACAACCGAATCTTGCTCTTTTCTAGCAATCAAAGCGTTAGGACCAAGCTGAGGAAATCTGTTCAGAAGTCTTTCCTGAAAAAGGATGGAAGCCCGAGGAAGACGTCGAGTTAATACCCTCGGATCCTGACTCGCCAGACAAGAAAGTGCGGATCGGCTCGCGCCTAAGCCCATAAGAGAAGGTGGAGCTGACCACCTTCCTCCAAAAACATTGACTGTGATTTTTTTTCGAAGATAAAACAAAACCTGAAAAGAGGAAAATAAAATAATTCATTGGAAAAATAAATAAACAGAGGCGATGGTGTAAAAGATGGACATGCAAAGCTTTGATCGAATAGAGAAGCACTGCATTCCTATCATCATCTCTGAGGTTTTCTTCAAACAAAAACAGAAACAGATGGGATATATAGCCTTGTGGTTGTGGACAAACAAAATATCTTGAGTCTTCGGAAGCCTTTTTTCTTCTCCATTTGGTTTGAAAAGAGGGACGTTCAACAATTATATATTATAGATAATACCCCGTCTAGTAGACTGTATTGTTGACTTGATAGGTAATATTGGGGCCTTGGCCTCTCAAAACATCGTTGAAGACCGGAGATTGACCCAGGACGTTGAGGTCATTTTGGGCTCCGGCAACTCCAAAGAAGGCATGCCAAACCCATGTGTCGAAGCCAGCAACGGCTTCCAGGATGATACTCTTTTGGCCTTTTCTATTTCCGTAATCACCTTGCAAGGCAGTTGGGCAATTCTTCCATTGCCAATGCATGCAGTCAATGCTACCAATCATTCTTGGAAATCCTCGAGCTTCGGCTTTTTGTAGAAGCCGTTGGAGGTCCCTGGGAGTAGGTCTACGCAGGTAGTCCCTAGTGTGCAGATTTTCAACTGCATCACAAAATCTTACCAAAGCCTCCAACGTAGTGGACTTCCCCATTCGGGCAACCTCATCCACCTGATCAGCAGATGCTCCATATGCCAACATTCGTATAACAGCTGTAAGCTTTTGCTCCGGAAGAAGCCCCAAAACCCCAGCAGCATTACACTTTTGAACAAAGTATGCATCATAATTGCAAATATCATGCATGACTTTATTGAACAAATGGGGTTGCATTCTAAATCGCCTTCGAAAATCAACATCAAAGTACAAAGCAGTTTGGATAAAATAATCTTCCAAAAGATTCTTACCCCGAGAATGCCTATGTCTGTCCACATTGAGGCGACGGCCGACTTGTGAACCACGGCGGCGACCTTGGTTCTCTTCCTCTTCCATTGCCACTGCTATGAGAACTTGTTCATCGACTTGTCTCTGTAACTCATTGATTTCATCGGCTCTACGGTTTCTCTCCTTTCTTTCTCTCTCATGCCTCTCCAAGCATCTCCTATATTCTTCCATTAAGAATGAATGAAGTATGAATTCTAAACTCTAAGAAATGAAAATATAGAAAGATGTGGTGTGAGAGGTATGAACTGAGCCTCTGGTTTTATAGAAAAATTTGGCAAGATAGAGATGTCACGTGGCTTGATTTGATTGAATGAAAATCTTACCTGAAATTTGAAATTCATCCGAAATTTGAACCCAAATTTATCTTAATTTTGAATTTTGAAATTCATCCGAAATTTGAACTCAAAAATTTATCTGAATTTTGAATTTTGAACCCAAAAATCTTATTCGGAAATTTTATCCGATTATGAATAGTCTTGACACGTAGGAACCCGAAAATCTTCTCCAAAAATATTATCCAAATTAATTATTGAGGTAAAAAAATTTGTGAATAAAACAAAAAAATGAATAGTAACTGCCCTTAGCAAGGGCAACAGGTGGAAACACAAAATACTATTTGCAAGGGCAACCACTATTCACGTGAATAGTGGCTGCCCTAGCTCCCCCCCTTGCCATGGCTAAGGGCAAATGGGTGGAGTTGCTCTAAAGAGCACAAATAATATGGGTGCCTAAAGCCTGATATTGTAGTAGTGAAACAAAACTTTAACCACTCTAAACAACTCGAGCATTGTCATTCTTTTGTAATTTGATTTCGAATCGATTTATGATCTTGGCTAATTAAACAAAATTAAATAGGTGGTTTGTACTATTTTAGCTACCATTCATCAATCTAGTCAGCTAGACAAATTAATACGTCAAAGTAAAGAAAAGCTCTCTAAACCCTAAAGAAACCCTTCGTTTCTCTCTCGTCTCAGACCCTCCCTTCTCCTTTCTCTCAAGCACGGCGTGATAAGGGTAAAGAAACCTTTACCAACGCTCTATAGATAATTAATAAATCTCAATTTCTAGAATATTTTGTTTAATACATAACAGCCACAATTTATTTCAGAAAATTAAAACCACCACAAGAAAAATGACAATAGTACTGATAAAAAATTAAAAACAAGTAAATAATCTAAGTTCGAACCACAATCTTGTTCAAGGTGCTCTTATTTAAAAAGTTACTATGTGGAACTCGAAATAGAGTTTGAGCATCTCCAACAACCTCTTCAACCAAAATTGCAACCCAATTTTGTCGCCAAAGACATTACTTGACATGGAATTGGCATCAATTAATTAATACATGGTGGATGGAGAATGGCATCTGCATGCTCTTGCACCACCTTCCAAGCCATGCCTACGTGCTTTTCCTCAGTCAGAGTTGTTCCAATTGCACACCGCAACACATAGATACCTCCAACCACAGCATGGGTCATGAACACCCGACCCGACCCATTGATCGCCTCCAGCAACTTGCAATTCACTTCGTTTACACATTTTTCATAATTTGCAGTTGGATAATTAACCTTACTAATTGCTGATGGCGAAACCCTAAAACACACCAAAGAGAACTTCCTAGGCACCACAACCTCAAATCTTTTGTCCATCTCCACAAGCCCTTCAAAAAACTTAGCCATTTTCACATCGCTCCTAATGAAGTTCCTAAGGTTGTTCACCCCATAGCTTCTAAGCACAAGCCATAGTTTGATGGCCCTGAACCTCCTGCTCAAGGCTATTTGCCAGTCCTTGTAGTCCACCACTTGCTTCGAATCTGTGGCCTTGTTCTTCAGATACTCCGGATTTGTCGAAAGTGAGCTTACCAAAGCACTTGGATTCTTAACCCAGAGGCAACAACAGTCGAGGTTTGCGAAGAGCCATTTGTGGGGATTGAGACTGAATGAATCTGCACCCTCAACGCCATCGATAAAAGGTCGAAACTCAGGACAAATGCAGGCACTTCCAGCATATGCCGCGTCCACATGAACCCACATGCCGTGTTCTTTTGCCACGTCGCAAAGTGGCCCCAATGGATCAACGGCTGTTACTGCAGTTGTTCCAATTGTGGCACAAAGAAACAATGGGACAAGCCCAGCTTCTATGTCTGAACAAACAGTCGACTTTAGCACCTCAGGTGAAAGTGCAAATGATGTTGATTTTGTGGTCTCTATGGCCCTAAAATTCTTTGGGTGAATCCCAACAATTTGGGAGGCTTTTTGAAGCGTGCTATGTGTTTGATCTGATCCATACACAACTAGCTTCCCAATATTCTCTCTACCAATTTGGCTTAGCATTTGATCCCTGGCGGCTGCCATGGTACAAACAATGGCCTCACAAGTAGTGCCTTGCAACACACCGCCCCCGTTGCCAGAGAAGAGGAAAGAGTTGGGAAGTTTGAGCATATCTCCAAGCCAATCCATGACAATGGTTTCGAGCTCAGTTGCAGCTGGGGATGCAATCCAATTGAACCCCACAACATTGAAACCAGTGGTGAGCATTTCGCCGAGGAACCCTGCTGTGCTGATAGTTGCAGGGAAGTAGGCAAAGTGGTTAGGGCTTTGCCAATGTGTTAGGCCAGGGACAATGTGATCTTGAACATCTTGGAGGATGGTATCAATGGGTTCAGGGTTGTATGGAGCAGATTCTGGCAAGCGTTCTTTGAGATAGCCAGGTTGGACTTGGCTTAGAACTGGGTGTTTCTCTATGTTTTGGTAATAATCAGCAATGAAATCTACCATCATGTGGCCTTGTCTTCTGAACTCCACAAGGTCCAGAGGGCCAGACGTGTCGGCAGAATTGTTTTCTTGTGGAGGCTCGAATTTGAGGCTTCCCATTTGGATGAAACTAGTTAACTGGGAAGAGTAGTGAAATTGAAAATGGTTGTTGATGAGTTGAGTTTTCCACTTGGAATCGAGGTTTTATATACGAGTGTTGTGTGGAATTCCTGTGTTGGTTTGGTGTGGTATTAATGCCTACTTGTGCCTTGTGGCACCAAAAGACGATACGTCGGTGCCACTAGTTGTTTTGCTTCACTGCTAGCCATTATGCAAAATCGTACCAATCATTAGTTGTTTTCTTATAGTCTGTCCTTTGTCATATTAAATTGGATACCGACCAGTCACTGCACGATTACATTGATGGCTCATTACTCTATACTTAGCTCAGAAGTTCCATAAGTTAAATACCAAGATTATAATCCACAACTAATGTGCTGAAGCAGTAGTTAATCCACCGTCACAAGTAATGGTTGTTGAGATGTCAATTTTCTCAGGGAAAACGTGACTCTCCACATGGGACATTGATTTCATTCTCTCCCTTCCTATCTCTCTTCACATATCTTCCTCGTGCCCAAATTACAGGATTCGGGCTTGATTACCAATTTAATAGGCCACATGTTCAAATTCCATTACCAATATGTGTCAAATCCCTTTGTCCTAAACTTTTAAGATTTAAGACGGATGCGAAGTGTCTCGTTTCCTCTCACTCAAACAGTGTCACTGTCTATTCTTGCTGGCCTTGTCTCCTCACCTTTCACATGTTGGAATTTTAAAAAGGTTTTAAAAATTTAACCGTTTTATTTACTTAATTATTTTGACTGTTTTATTTTATTTATTTTGGGGGTTATAAATATTTAATATTCAGGTTTTATTTCTATATTGAATGCCTTAATTTTCTGGTTGGTGACCTTTTCTGGTTGGTGAAGGTTACATGTTATATTGGATGCCTATAAAAGGCCACTCCTCCTTCACATTTGAACATTCACTATACACCATCAAAATATCACATACCACAATCACCACCACAAACTAATTCTCTCATTTTTCTACTTTTATATATATTATCTACTTTATATTATTATTTTGGCAATGGTTATGTGACTTGGATATCTATATCCGTCTATGAATGTGCTCATAGTGGATCTTAAGTTTGTGTACAATGGGTCGTATCTTGGAGTCTTGTAGATCGTCAGTACTTGCACATAGGGAGGCTACAAAGGCTTTAGAACATCGTCGTTGACGTGCTTCACCATACCAAACTTACCTTCTTACTTATTATTTATTTTGTTTTACTTACCTTATTTTGTTTTCTTCTATTTCATTGTACCTTAAAAGTTTCCAATTTGTTCATAAGTTATTTATAATATAAAGGTTTTTGTATTTGACTTTACGGAAAAGGAAAACCATATTTTTTATAGCAATCTAAAGCCTTTGTAGGTTAAAATTATTTTCTTTCCATACTGCTGTAATTCTTTGTAGTTTACAATTGTTACAATTGCATATCTATATTTATGTAAGCTTTTGACGGCAATGTGTTTGTTCCTGTTAAAATCTATTTAATTTTATTTATTAAAGGCATTTGGTAAGAGGCATGTCGGTTTGAAATTGCTAGCGTGATTATTTGAATACTAGTCTTACCACATTTTTTAATACCACATGATGTGGCGGCTGATGTGTACATACCACAACATGTAAAATACTAGTTTCTGTTTTTCTAATTTTATTTATTAAAATACACTTCATTCACTTAATTGATATGACATATGATATGGACATGCCACATCATGTGGTATTGAAATGTGGGATAATAATGTGGTAAGTGTAGCATTACTCTAATATTAAACTATTTGCCAAGTTGGTTTTCAAGTTTTGGAAGAGATTTAAATCTTTAATTGCTCAAAGGCAACCAACCAATTAATTACAAAATCATTTTAAAGTTAGATATTTGGTATGTCTGTTTTCTACACAAACCAAAGTCAATATCTTTAAATTGGTCTGCAAATTTTTTAAAATAAATTTTAGAATCTTAATAATGTTAATAGTATTCAAAAGCCAATTAATTACCATTGAAATAAAAACAAATTGAAGTGAGCTACGTTTTCCTAAGTTATTTTTTGTTTTAAATAGCTTGTATTGTTTCATTACCAATTACTCATTAATCAATTTACATGGAAACATCCAATGCTAAACAGTTGAAGTGTTTTAAAACCGAAACGTTGAAGTGTTTCAAAATCGTTGGTCTAATTTGTTTTAATTGAAATTTCAAAGCAAGTATATATATATATATATATATATATATATATTTTTTAGAACAAGTATATATATATATAAATTTCAGTTTTGGTATTAATTGTTTGAATATAAAATCTAATATTGCATCAGTTTTAGTATTCAATTGTTATATTGATTTTTTTATTTCATTTATAGCTATTATTTTTTGTGAAAACGGGCAGAGAGTTTATGCGATATTATTGCAAGTTTTATTGAGCCTAATTATTCTTTATTTTGATGGCTGTCATTACTCCTAAGCCAATAAATTGTCCGATATGATACCATGCTAAAGTAAGGGCATTCAACCTAAACTTGCAGATCTCCTTTAATCTAAATATAAGGCTTAGAAGTCTCCACCTGGGATTTTATATTCTACAAAACCCCTAATATATATAACCATTCTGATTTCACTAAGTGGAAGGAACTCAATAGTACTCTTATTTCCTACTCTTCCAAATTCCAATCTCAGTCCTTGCTGTGTGTTTCTCATTTCCAACATTACATCCAAATGGGCAGCCTAAATTTCGACCATCCGCAAGAAAACAACTCTGCCCGCATGTCTGGCCCTCTGGACCTTGTGGAGTTGAGAAGACAAGTGTTAGAGTTTGAGTGGGAAAAAAGTTTCCTACACTCTTTATAAGAGTAGGGATCTTTCACTATAATAAATACAATTGGGTTTTTCTGAAGTGGGCTTTGGACTTGTTGGCCTTATTTAAATTAAATATATATTTATATATTTAAGTTTGATAACTTCAGATAACTTCTGTTAGTTTGAAATTCAAAGTTCAGACATATCTGTTCAAACAAGGGGTGTCTTAGGCTTATTTAAATAGCCAAACGTACCGAGAACAAAACCAACTTTTGAAACCCAATACATCTCACACAACATTGAAAAACCATTGAGAGTATCCATACTGTAGTTCGCCAGATACCAAAATTCAAGTGCTGGAATTTTGGTTTTGATAATTGTATCCTGATGGACAGTCGTCTGCAGAACCACAAGCACAGAAGTGGGGGCGAAATACTGTCTAAGGACATAGCAAATCTGCTAGCCTCTATCATCTCTGCAAGTTAGTATTTCTGGTTTAATACAAACTCTTGTATATGTAATTTTTCTGTTGTTATATATTAATTCATTTAAAAGCCTTATATACATACATATATATATATATATATATTCTGTTATATTATACAAGTTACTGATTGTTTCCAACATTCTTAGACAGTATGAATATGGAACAATCAGGAAAGAACTCTCATTCTGAGAAGCCTCAAAAATTCAAGGGAGAGGATCTCAAATGTTGGCAGCAGAAAATGTTGTTTTATTTAACAACATTGAATTTGGCTAATGTTGTGACAAAGACTGTACCTAAGGCAGAGGGAGACAATATTCATGCAGAGACTTTGAATGCAATTTCGGCTTGGCAACACAATGATTTCCTCTGTAGAAATTACATTCTCAATGCCTTGGATGATTCACTGTATGATGTATATGCAGTCTTCACAACAGCCAAAGAACTGTAGGAGTCATTGGAGAAGAAATATAAAACAGAAGATGCTGGATCAAAGAAATGTGTTGTTGGCAAATTTCTAGACTTCAAAATGATGGACTCCAAGCCTGTTGTCAATCAAGTGGAAGACCTCCAAAAGATCATTCATGATATTCTTGCAGAAGGCATGAAAATAAGTGATTCTTTCCAAGTGGCATCTATTATAGAAAAACTTCCTCCATCTTAGAAAGACTTTAAGAGTTATCTCAAGCATAAAAGAAAGGAGATGACTCTTGAAGATCTGATTTTAAGGCTGCGGATTGAAGAGGATAACAGAATAAGTGAGAAGAAATGAGTGGTTTCAAATATGGAAGCCAAGGAAAATATAGGTGAGAGCAATCCTTCAAAGCAGAAATCTAATTCCTGGACAAATAAGAAGTTTACAAAGAAATTTGTACCAGCGGCTAAAGGGAAGGATTTCAATAGGATAAAAGGTAGTTGTTGGGTTTGTGGGAAACCAGGTCACAGAGCACAGGAATGTCGCCATAGAAGGGACCACAATCCTACAAATTCAAACAACTAGCCCAGGAACAATCACGCAAATGTTACAAAAGCATAAGATGCATTGGCTGCAGTAGTTTCTGAGACAAATATGGTCTCAAATTTTTCTGACTGGTGGATAGACACTGGAGCCACTCACCATATTTTTGGCGATAGAGCAATGTTCTCTACTTACCAGAAAATAGATGGTGATGAGCACTTATACATGGGAAATTCTTCTGCATCTGCAGTAATGGGAAAGGGCAAAGTGTTTCTGAAGTTTACCTTTGTAAAAGAACTAACCCTCCCAGATGTGCTACATGTGCCAGAAATTTGAAAGAATTTGGTTTCTGGTCCACTTCTTAGCAATAAGGGATTCAAACTAGTGTTTGAGTCTAACAAATTTGTAGGCAAAGACTATCTTGCTGATGGATTGTTTAAACTCAATGTATATGCCAATCTTATAAATAATAATATGAATAAGGCTTCTGTTTATATTGTTGACTCATCTAGTTTATGGCATGCTAGATTAGGTCATGTGAATTTTCGTTCTTTATATAGGATGTGTAATTTAGATTTGCTGCCCAAGTTTGGTTTTATTTCAAACAATAAATGTGAAACTTGTATAGAGTCAAAATTTGCAAGACAAACCTTTAACTCTGTACCTGAAAAGTCCAATAAGTTGTTGGGATTAATTCATAGTTATTTGTGTGATTTTAGATCAACTCCTACATGTGGTGGGAAAAACTATTACATAACATTTATAGACGATTGCAATAAATTCTGTTATGTGTACTTAATACATAGCAAGGATGAAGCCTTGGATATGTTTGAGACATATAAGGCAGAAGTTGAAAATCAACTTAACAGAAAAATAAAAATATTAAGGTCAGATAGAGGATGGGAATATGAATCCACTGCCTTTGCTAAATTCTGTGCATTACATGGAATTGTTCATCAAACAACAGCACCATACACACCACAACAGAATGGTGTTGCTGAAAGAAAAAATAGAACATATAAAGATATGATAAATTCCATGTTAAACAGTTCAGGGGCTCCACACAATCTATGGGGTGAAACCTTACTTACTGCAAATGTGATATTGAATCGAATCCCACAAAAGAAGACTAATAAGTGTACATATGAAGTTCGGAAAGGGAGATTGCCCACTTATAAAATTCTAAAAGTGTTGGGTTGCCTAGCAAAAGTACAAATCCCTTTGCCAAAACGAACCAAACTTGGACCAAAAACAATTTACTGTGTTTTTATTGGTTTAGCTTCTAATAGTGCTGCATATAGATTTTTAGTTTTTAAATCTAAGGTTTCAGACATACATGCAAACACTATCTTAGAATATGTTGATGCTGTATTTTATGAAGACATATATCCATATAAACAAGATAGGTCCTTTACAACAAAAAGGAGACCAAGTGATTACCATTCGAAAGAGAATGATGATGCTGTTAATCCAACTTCATCTAGTTTGTCTGCAAATGAGGCAGAGCCTAGAAGAAGTAAAAGAACTAAGGTTCCAAAGGATTATGGACCGGATTTCTTGACATTTATTACTGAAACTGAACCACAAACTTATAAAAAGGCTATGTCTAGTCCAGAAGCTCATTTTTGGAAGGAAGTAATTAACAATGAAGTTGAATCCATTTTACAAAATAATACATGGGAATCGGTGAACTTGCCACCTGGTAACAAACCAATTGGGTATAAGTGGATTTTCAAGAAGAAATTGAAACCTGATGGTACAATCGATAAATATAAAGCTCATTTAGTAGTAAAAGGTTACCATAAAAAAGAAGGGTTGGATTTCTTTGACACCTATTCTCCTGTAACAAGAATAACATCTATACGAATGTTGATTGCTATAGTTGACGTTTACAACATGGAAATACATCAAATTGATGTAAAAACTACATTTCTAAATGGAGACTTAGAAGAAGAAATATATATGGAGCAACCAGAAGGTTTTGTGGTTGAAGGTCAAGAAAATAAAGTATGTAGACTTGTCAAATCCTTGTATGGATTAAAACAAGCACCCAAGCAATGGCATAAAAAATTTGATCATAGGATGCTGAAACATGTTTTCTGTTGAGACCCAAAAAAAATATATGGTTGAGTCCGAATAAATTATCAGCCCAAAACGACGATTCATTAGGAAAAAGCGTAAAGCAGAGTGCACCGAAACCTACCACATGCGAATTACAGTTCACGTGTCACGCTAAATAAATAAATTCGCTCGGGGTTGAGATAAAATATATCGTGTTTACAAGCCCATGCAAAAATAAGCATCGCAGGACGATAAATTAAAACATGCCAAGCAATGAGCCATGCCAAGCACGAAATCATTATCGCACACCCAATCACGCTACAAGCCTAAGTGGGCCCAAGCCACTCAAAAAATCGGGGCTTGCTTGAGTGGATTGTGGTATGGACGGTAATAAATCAACATGAGATCCATTGATGGGCCGAGAAATGGAAAGTCTTGGGTTGCTTGGGAGCCTCGAGACTCAAGCCCATTTCTTAGGCCCAAATTTGTGGGTAAGCACAAGAGAGAAAAGTAGCCCAAAAGCCCAAGCAAAATAACCCAACCAAAAAAAATAAGCCCAATCAAGAGGCCCAATGTTTCACAAAAAGCCCATTTGCTTAAGAAATCACCTTGGCCCATATAAAATCCCAAAATAACCCACAAAAAGCCTCAGCTCTTTTGAAAAATAGAAAACACGTGAAGGAGGTTGGCAGACTCCTTAAGCAAAGCTGCTGGGAGCAAGTTCCAAGCCAAAGACGCCCAAAGAACCAAGGAATGCTGGCCTGCATGCTGTCAAAAGCACCCCTTGGACCAGCATATATTTTCACTTCCTTTCCTTCATCAAATTTAGCCAAGGCAGGGGGAAGGAAAGAAGAAAAAACAGTAACCAAGAAGGGAAGCTCCCACTGCGCAGCTGCAGGAAAGGGGGACATTGAGCTCCCAAATCTCCTGAATTCGTGCAAATAAACAGAATCAATTTTTGCCAAGATAGGGAAGTTAGAGAAGAGGAGGAGAAAGGAGGAAAAAGCTTAGCCAAAATAAGTAGAAACCATTAGGGTTTCTTGAAGAATGGTGATTTCCAACAGCTATAAATTGAGGCTTCCCCTATCCAACAGAGGCAACTTAAATTCAGGGAGCAAGCTTTCTCTCTAACTTGGAAAAATCTAACTACCTCGTGCACTGTTCACCTTCTTCTCCAATTTGTTTTTCTGGCAGCTGCCAGAGGAACTCTGCCTTTCTTTTTCCTTTTTCCCCAGTCAAAATTCCTCACAAAACACCTCATTCCTTACCTTAATACTTTCTTTTCTCATAAACCAAGCCTAATCTCTCTCTTAGTGCTAAACTTATGTTGGTTTTGCTCCCATGCCACATGCCACTCATGCTGAGCTAAAAGACTATCTGAAAGCATGCCAAAATCATCTGTAAGTCACCATTATTCTGATCAGTGAAGATAGCCAAAATATCTCCTAAGGTTTTGCTACCCTTTCGATGTATTTTGGGGCTTAATTTTCTAACCCAGGCAAAGGGAACAGTCTCCTTAGTCCGCCCTTTTACAGCAACCCAGCCCATTAGCTGCAGGAAGAAAAAGTCCCCTACAGTTTCAAAATAAATGAATGTGACAAATGTGTTTACATTAAAACACATAGCAATGCATGTGTCATAGTATGTCTGTATGTGGATGATATGCTCATCATGGGAACTAATAAGGATATAATTAATTCAACAAAGAAAATGTTAAATTCAAGCTTTGATATGAAAGACTTGGGTCTTGCTAATGTGATTCTTGGTATAAAAGTCAAGAGAAATTCAGATGGCTATATCCTTTCACAGTGTCACTATATAGAGACAACACTACGAAGGTTTGGTCAATGTGATTGCAAACATGCCGTTACGCCATTTGATGCCAACTGCAAACTAAAAAAACATGTTGGAGATACTATATTACAACGTGAATATTCCCAAGTTATTGGGAGTTTAATGTACATTATGAATTGTACAAGACCAGATATAGCATATTCAGTGAGTCGGCTAAGTAGGTATACTAGCAATCCTAGATGTGATCATTGGGATGCCTTAATTAGAGTGTTAAGGTATTTAAAATATACTTTGAGTCATGGATTGCATTATACTAAATATCCTCCGATATTGGAAGGATATAGTGATGCTAACTGGATCTCCGACAATACTGAAACTAAATCCACAAGTGGATATGTGTTTACATTATGAGGAGCAGCAGTGTCTTGGAAATCTTCTAAGCAAACATGCATAGCCCGATCGACGATGGAATCGGAATTCATTGCCTTAGACAAGGCAGGAGAAGAAGCAGAATGGCTGAGGAATTTTTTAGAAGATATTCCGATATGGCCTAAGCCTGTAACAGCAATTTGTATACATTGTGATAGTACAACAGCTCAATCAAGAGCTAAAAACAGTGTATACAATGGAAAGTCTAGGCATATTAGACGAAGGCATAATACAATAAAGCAATTGCTCTCTAGTGGAATAATTTCCATTGACTATATAAAGTCAAAAGAGAATCTTGCGGATCCGCTTACTAAAGGTTTATCAAGATAGCAAATAAAATTTACATCGAGGGGAATGGGGCTACAGCAAACAGAATAAATGATTTAGCCTGATGGAAACCTAACCTAACTGATTGGAGATCCCATGGTCTAGGTTCAATAGGCAAACTGGTTAGGTATAAATCAAGTTGTTGACACACTATATGCCGCATTCCTATGGTGGAAGAGTGTGTTGTCTGCTGAAGTTTTTTAGGGTACTTATGTTTAATGACACTAATTACTTGTATTTAAGGGGAATATGGCAGACTATTCCCAAGTTGGTGTCACCTATATGAGAGTAAATGTGGAGTCGCATTTATGAGAATTATATGGCTACATTCTCTAAAGCTCTCATGAATCCAGGATATGTTTAGGACCAAAATGAACAAAAATGTATGAATGCACAGTGTGTCTAGATGTGACATATGTGATACTTGTTGTCTTGTTATATTGGTTTGGTGAACAATTAAAGATTGGATATCCACTGTGTCACCTTGTATATCTGATAAGTATTCACTAAGGTAAGTTCAAGTCTAAAAGACACCTCTCCTGATGTATGTTACATCTAACGCGTATTCTCAGTGGTTACACATAGGCTTACTTTTCCCACTCAAATGTGGGGTATTGTTAGAGTTTGAGTGAGAAAAGAGTTTCCTACACTCTTTATAAGAGTATGGATCTTTCACTATAATAAACACAATTGGGTTTTTCTGAAGTGGGCTTTGGACTTGTTGGCCTTATTTAAATTAAATATATATATTTATATATTTAAGTTTGATAACTTCAGATAACTTCTGTTAGTTTGAAATTCAAAGTTCAGACATATCTGTTCAAACAGCCAAACGTACAGAGAACAAAACCAACTTTTGAAACCCAATACATCTCACACAACACTGAAAAACTATTGAGAGTATCCATATTGTAGTTCGCCAGATACCAAAATTCAAGTGCTAGAATTTTGGTTTTGATAGTTATATCATAGTGGACAGTCGTCTGCAGAACCACAAGCACCGGAGTGGGGGCGAAATATAGTCTAAGGACATAGCAAATCTGCTAGCCTCTATCATCCATGCAAGTTAGTATTTATGGTTTAATACAAACTCTTGTATCTGTAATTTTTCTATTGTTATATATTAATTCATTTAAAAGCCTTATATACACATATATATATATATTCTGTTATATTATACAAGTTACTGATTGTTTCCAACAGTTGAGAAGACAAGGCCACATGATGATAGATTTCATTACTGATTATTACCAAAACATAGAGAAACACCCAGTTCTTAGCCAAGTCCAACCAGGCTATCTCAAACAACGCTTGCCAGAATCTGCCCCATACAACCCTGAACCCATTGAAACCATCCTCCGAGACGTGCAGGATCACATTGTCCCTGGCCTAACACATTGGCAAAGCCCTAACCACTTTGCCTACTTCCCTGCAACTATCAGCACCGCAGGGTTTCTTGGATAAATGCTCACCACTTGCTTCAATGTTGTGGGGTTCAACTGGATGGCATCCCCAGCTGCAACTGAACTCGAAACCATTGTCATGGATTGGCTTGGAGATATGCTCAAACTTCCCAACTCTTTCCTCTTCTCCGGCACCGACGGCGGTGTGTTGCATGGAAGTACTCATGAGTCTGTCGTTTGCACCATGGCATCTGCCAGGGACCAAATCCTGAGCCGAATTGGTGAAGAGAATATAGGGAAACTTGTGGCGTACGGCTCTGATCAAACACATAGCGTGATTCAGAAAGTGTCCCAAATTGTTGGGATCCCATCAAAGAACTTCCGGGCCATCGAGACCACAATATCATCATCCTTTACACTGTCCCCTGAAACCCTACGGTTGACTGTTTGTTCAGACATGGAAGCTGGGTTGGTTCCATTCTATCTATGGGCCACCGTGGGAACAACCGCAACCACAGCCGCCGATCCGCTGGGGCCACTCTGCAACGTGGCAAAAGATTACGGCATGTGGGTTCATGTGGACGCTGCATATGCCGGAAGTGCTTGCATTTGCCCTGAGTTTCGGCAGTATATCGATGGCATTGAGGGTGCAAATTCGTTCACCCTCAATGCGCAGAAATGGTTCTTTACAGCTCTCGACTGTTGTCGCCTTTGGGTTAAGAATCCGAGTGCGTTGACAAAATCAATGTCAACGGATCTTGAGGTGTTGAGGAACAAGGCCAGCGAGTGGTGGACTTCAAAGATTGGCAAATAGCCCTAACCCAGAGGTTCCGGGCCATCAAGCTATGGCTTGTGATCAGGAGCTACGGGGTGGCTAATCTTAGGAACTTCCTCAGAAGCCATGTGAAGATGGCGAAGCGTTTCGAAGGGCTTGTGAGGACGGACGAAAGGTTTGAGGTTGTGGTGCCTAGGAATTTTGCTTTGGTGTGTTTTAGGATTTCACCTTCCGCAATTAGCAGGGCTAATCCAACTCCAAGTGATGAGAAATGTGTAAACGAAGTGAATTGCAAGTTGCTGGAGGTGATCAATGGGTGTGGTCGGGTGTACACGTCTCATGCTGTGGTTGGAGGGATGTATGTGTTGCTTTGCGCCATTGGAGCAAGTCTCACTGAGGAAAAGCACGTAGCCATGGCTTGGAAGGTGGTGCAAGAACATGTAGATGTCATCCTCTCCCTCACCATGTATTAACACATGCTGAGGGAGAGGATGACATTTGTACATAGTGAGGGAGATAACTTTCAAAATCTCCTTCAAAACTTTTCAAGGATTTTGAATTATGGGGTTCAAATTATTAGTAGGCGATAACGTTCCTTGTAACATTTTGTTTGAAGATGGCCAAAGCTCCATCCACAATATATTCAAATAAATTAGAACAATAACGAAAACATATAAATTGGAAAGAGGAAAAAAGAGCCTATTGAGACACATAAGGCTCTAAAGAGTTCCAAGGTCTCGAGTAAACTTAAATATGGCTGTACGAAAATGAAAGAGGATACAAAAGGAATAGAAAAGTGTTTGCTCAACGATTAATTAGGATAAACTTTACTTTTCAATCACATCACATCTTCATTAAATCTCATACATGGATTTCTCTCTTTCATTATGTATCTTCATCCGTGTACTGGACATACAAATTAAACTGCAAAGAAAGGAGGAAACATATAGGAAAAATTCGTTAAATTGGTTGCGATAGTGTTAAGTTATGTACAGAAAATTCATATAGTTTCATGCAATCAGTTATATAGAGCTCCAATTTTCCCACAGGCCATCTTTTTTTCTTCTTTAATTATTCCTTTAATCACGCGTATGCCATAAGAATGAAACTAGATGCACCAAATGTAACAAGAGAGACGGTTAATGTCGAAGAAGGGGGGCCAGCATCAAAAGGGTGCAAGAGTATAAATAGACATCAAAATAGTAGTGAATGTTTGAGAAACTTGGCCAAGAGAGTATCGGCTTTCCGATTATGAATGTTTGAGTGAAAGTTGAGAGCATCTAGATCATGACACAAACTAGATCTGATAAGTTATCATGATTGGTTTTGTGTTCCTGTTCACAACATATATCAAAGACTGCTAATTTATATATTCACAAAATGAAAAAAACCCAATTACAACTTTATTCATTGACAAATTCAAAACACAGAATTCAGCAATATACTTTGTGAGTTCAGAAACTAACTGTAGACCACAATAATACCAAGAAAGAGAGACTCTTCTCAGAAAAAGTAAATAGAAGAGGTATTTAAAGAACTTATTTCACACATGCAATCAATAAAATCCATACAGAAATGGTGCATATATACCTTCAAATAAATGAGAAAGGAGAGAAACTTTAGCACACACTAGGGATCATGAATCCAAATCACTTAATACAATTAGCAAAACCAGAAGAGAAACATCAAAATAAGTTAGAAACTAGCGTTCTACATACCAAGGATGGGAACTCCTTTATTGAAGAAGGCAGGCAGGTGATGCTCAACTCTCCTCCCCTTCCGATTTCAGCTGTGATTGCTGGGCCTGGTGTGGCTGGAGCATGAGTTGAGCCTGAAGCTGATAGTCAAGAGAATGCTGATGATGTGCAGCAGCAGCAGCTGCTTGCTGTGGTTGAATCTGGTGGTTATAAAGGTTATTGTCAAAGCCGCCACCCAAACCCAAAGAACCAGCTGACACCACACCATTAGTACCAGCAGCTGCATGCATCTGATTAAACCCATTACCAGTAACTGAATTCGCTGCCGCCGCATCCATCCCATTCACATTATACCTCACAAGCTCTTGCTGATGAGCCTCGAACAATTGTTGTTGTTGTTGCATCAGCTGTCCTCCGCTGCAACCATGTTGGGGCGGAGGACAATTGGAAATTCCCAACATGGGCATAGACGCATTTACATCTGTTTGTTGGGAAGGATGAAAAACTGGTATCATCAATGCCTGAGGGCCAATGTAGGCAGATAAGTCCTTCTTGGCATTGTAGAGATCAGTCTGGATTTGCTTGAGCTTGCCCTGGAGAATTGAGATGAAACCCACACAGCCGTACACTGGGTCCCTGAGGCGGGCCTCTGCCTCATAGGCCAGTGAAGTCACCGCGTCTTCGCGGTGGGCTGCGTTGAGTTCATTCAGGATCTTGGCGACGTTGCTCGCGCCATAAACCCGGTGGACGTTTGCGAATTTCTGAGGCTGGTCGGGTGGGAAATAGGGCGCGAACACGCATTCTTGCGTGCATTTTCGCCGTAGAAACTTGCACGCAGCACAAGGTGAGTGAGTGTTTGATGACATTTTTTTTGTTGGTCCTTAATTTTTCACGATAAACTGACATGAGAAATTAAAACAGGAATAAAAATGAGTTATCACTGTTCAAGAATTTACCACAGAAAAGATAAAATGGAAAATGCAAGAGAATTAATCAAAACCTAATTAACCCTGAATTTGATCCATTTCTTGATCCGTCATTCTTTACCGAATGATGAAAATAGTGTAGAGCACTAAAGAGAAATTCTGAGCGTTAATTTGAGAAAACCCTAACCCTAACCCTAGCTATGAAGCAGCAGAGAGGAATTAATAAATACCCTAATAGATAGATGGGCGAAGCGATCAGAAGGTCAGTGTGTCCACCATTTGAAACTTGCTTTGCCGTGTTGGTCTGGTTGGTCTTTGGATGAGAGGAAACTAACAGCAAATTTTATTAGAAGGGAGTGTTTAAAGGGAGTGAAGAGGGGAAGAGAGGCGAGAGAGAGAGAGTGTGTTTTTTTTTACTTAATTATTTACTTTTTGCTGTATCTGTGAAAATAAACATGGCTAATTATCTCAGTCTATATATATATATATATATATATATATAGGAAGTATGTAGGTGTGCAATGTATGGTATATTAATATAAGAGGCATATATACCATATATATTCCGAGGTCGACGAGAAGTGGTCAATATCATAGCATACTTAATAAGGTAACCCAAAGTCTTAAGTTTAAATAGTCTCTCCCTTTGAATTTATTCAAGTATTTAGATTCGCGTTATTAAAACGTCAAATGTGGGGAGAACATAAGTGAAAAGGACGCTTCTCTTTTCGATTCATAAAATGCATTTTGGAGTACGATGATGGGTTAAAGAGATAACTATATAAGAAACTATTTCAATAAACGTAATAGCAACTTAAAGCATGTAAAATTCCATAAATTATATATACACAGAGATAGAAATGAATTTTAATGCAATTATCAGTTGGTATTTTATTGGATGTTTCCGAAGGTACTTATACTAAGTTGTTGGATGAATATTACAAATAGGAACAGAGTGGCATTTAGCATTTAATACTAACGGATAATCGCGATGCACATAAGTCAGATATGTGTTTTTCTGTTCATTATTAAACCACATAAGTAAATCAACAAACTCTAACAGAAAGATTAACGAATTTAATCAGTCATAACAACATATTAAACAAAACTTTAACCACTCTTAACAACTCGAGCATTGTCATTCTTCTGTAATTTGATTTTGAATCGATTTATGGTCTTGGCTAATTAAACAAAATTAAATAAGTGGTTTGTACTAATCTAGCTACCATTCATCAATCTAGTCAGCTAGACAAATTAATACGTCAAAGTAAAGAAAAGCTCTCTGAACCCTAAAGAATCCCTTCGTTTCTCTCTCTCGTCTTAGACCCTCCCTTCTCCTTTCTCTTCAAGCACAGCGTTATAAGGGTAAAGAAACCTTCACCAACCCTCTATAGATAATTAATAAATCTCAATTTCTAGAATATTTTGTTTAACACATAACAGCAGCACAATTTATTTCAGAAAATTAAAACCACCACAAGAAAAATGACAATAGTACTGATAAAAAATTAAAAACTAGTAAATAATCTAAGTTTGAACCACAATCTCGTTCAAGATGCTCCTATTTAAAAGTTACTGTATGGAACTGAAAATAGAGTTAGAGCATCTCCAACAACCTCTTCAACCAAAACTGCAACCCAATTTTGTCGCCAAAGACATTACTAGACATGGAATTGGCATCAATTAATTAATACATGGTGGATGGAGAATGGCATCTGCATGCTCTTGCACCACCTTCCAAGCCATGCCTACGTGCTTTTCCTCAGTCAGAGTTGTTCCAATTGCACACCGCAACACATAGATGCCTCCAACCATAGCATGGGTCATGAACACCCGACCCAACCCATTGATCGCCTCCAGCAACTTGCAATTCACTTCGTTTACACATTTTTCATAATTTGCAGTTGGATAATTAGCCTTACTAATTGCTGATGGCGAAACCCTAAAACACACCGAAGAGAACTTCCTAGGCACCACAACCTCAAACCTTTTGTCCATCTCCACAAGCCCTTCAAAAAACTTAACCATTTTCACATCGCTCCTAATGAAGTTCCTAAGGTTGTTCACCCCATAGCTTCTAAGCACAAGCCATAGTTTGATGGCCCTGAACCTCCTGCTCAAGGCTATTTGCCAGTCCTTGTAGTCCACCACTTGCTTCTAATCCATGGCCTTGTTCCTCAGATACTCCGGATTTGTCGAAAGTGAGCTTACCAAAGCACTTGGATTCTTAACCCAGAGGCAACAACAGTCGAGGTTTGCGAAGAGCCATTTGTGCGGACTGAGGCTGAATGAATCTGCACCCTCAACGCCATCGATAAAAGGTCGAAACTCATGACAAATTCAGGCACTTCCAGTATATGCAGCGTCCACATGAACCCACATGCTGTGTTCTTTTGCCACGTCGCAAAGTGGCCCCAATGGATCAACGACTGTTACTGCAGTTGTTCCAATTGTGGCACAAAGAAACAATGGAGCAAGCCCAAGTTCTATGTCTGAACAAACAATCGACTTTAGCACCTCAGGTGAAAGTGCAAATGATGTTGATTTTGTGGTCTCTATGGCCCTGAAATTCTTTGGGTGAATCCCAACAATTTGGGAGGCTTTTTGAAGCGTGCTATGTGTTTGATCTGATCCATACACAACTAGCTTCCCAATATTCTCTCTACCAATTTGGCTTAGCATTTTATCCCTAGCGGCTGCCATGGTACAAACAATGGCCTCACAAGTAGTGCCTTGCAACACACCGCCCCTGTTGCCAGAGAAGAGGAAAGAGTTGGGAAGTTTGAGCATATCTCCAAGCCAATCCATGACAATGGTTTCAAGCCCAGTTGCAGCTGGGGATGCAATCCAATTGAACCCCACAACATTGAAACCAGTGGTGAGCATTTCGCCGAGGAACCCTGCGGTGCTGATAGTTGCAGGGAAGTAGGCAAAGTGGTTAGGGCTTTGCCAATGTGGTAGGCCAGGGACAATGTGAGCTTGAACATCTTGGAGGATGGTTTCAATGGGTTCAGGGTTGTATGGAGCAGATTCTGGCAAGCGTCCTTTAAGATAGCTGATGTGATTAATTGCAAGTAGACAATATCGCTCAAATTAATATAGTAGTAAGTAGAGTATCGTTCCAACAGGGATCAAGTAATCCATTAAATACTAGAGTGATTTATTTCTAATTATATTTGAATTAAACGGAAAGAAAATTATGATAATTAAAATCTAATTAAGCAAACAAAATAAAGTGAGATTAAGGAAATAATGTAAAAGATGAAAACAAATATGATAAAGCACTAGAGCACCGATTTCACCTAGCTAATCCCACCCAAATCCTTCTAGCTTGTTAATTCTAATTACCAAACATATTGATAATCGTTTTCCCTTACCTCACTAATACTCTCTTCCGAGTTATATTAGTTGTATTCATTACCATCAATCCACTCTATTCCTAATTATGGATTTAGATAGCTAAGAACCCATTAAGATTTGTGGAAAACAATAAATATTACACAAACCATAATCTAGTCTTACGAGTCGGCTATGTAATTTATGGTATTTGTTAATAGAAGTTTTTTATTAGGAATCTCTTTCCGGTCTCAACCTAATTCTTCCAATCATGCAATTAGTAGCCAATTAATTGAAAGCATTAAGAACGGTAACAAGCACTCAACATGTATAGATAAATAAAATTAACAATATCAAAGAATTTGAGTATTCATAACTAGGCTACATCGTAGCCCTAGTAAAAGAAATTAGTTCATGAAAGACTTATTGAGAATCATGATAGTTGATGAAGACATGATAGACATTGAATTCTCCAAGTAGAATATCAAGGTTGCGCAAGCTTTCTTCGTATTTTCCTTTGGATATTCCGGGTATGAGTATGAATATGTAGGATAATGGATGATGGAGGATGACGGGTAATGGATCCTTTGAACAATGACCTAAACTTCCTATTTATAAGACTCCTAGAAATCCTATCTAAGGTATAATTACAATTGTTCTAAAGGTAGGATTCCTTCTAAAATAGGGTCTTCTTTATTTCTCCTTGTTTGACTTGATAGGACTTGAAACATCTTGAACTATGAAATTTGACAACATTCCTTGCGACAAAAGGAATGACTTGGCTTCTTGACTTGATTAATTTCTAATCTTCATCTTCTTGCCCTTTTTAGCACACTTTCTCCTATTTCCACAATTCCTTCACAAATCTAACAAAACCAATTAAACAACCAATTTAACCCAAGGAAATTAACAAATAAATAAGTAAATGAGGCATAAAATATATATAAAATATAGGCTTATCAATAGCCAAGTTGGACGACTTGGCTTAGAACTGGGTGTTTCTCTATGTTTTGGTAATAATCAACAATGAAATCTACCATCATGTGGCCTTGTCTTCTGAACTCCGCAAGGTCCAGAGGGCCAAACGTGTCGGCATAATTGTTTTCTTGTGGAGGCTCGAATTTGAGGCTTCCCATTTGGATGAAACTAGTTAACTGGGAAGAGAGTATTTAAATTGCAAGAGTACCTGGCTCAGATACCATGTCAAACAAAGTATGGCAAATATTCAATTATGCTAATATTTGCTCATCTTTTATTCTTCTCCAATACAGAGGTATTTATACAAGTACAAAGATGTGTTAACCCTAAATAAAATATGAATTATATCTAAATTACAATAGGAAATAAATCTAAATTACAATAGAAAATAAATCTCTATTATAATATGACTAGACAAATAGGTAAGTAACCAAAATCTTAACATGACAAGGAACCAAAATTCTAACTAGATAAGGACTCGCCAACACTCTCCTTCAAGTTGGCGCAAAGATATTTTGCATATAGCATGCCCAACCTGACAAGCGAGTCATAGAACACCATACTTGAGACAACTAAATTATAGAGAAGGTCTTTTCGTCAACCACGAGTGGAACAACTAACAAACCAAAGCAAAGATCGCAACGGAAACAAAAGTGAAAACCCTAATAAATAGGGCACATAGCATAACACAGAAACTCTGTGAGTACGGCAGTAGATAAGGCAGAACACAGAAACCCTGTGAGGAGGGCAGGAGATGTTGGCAAGTCCTTATTTAATTAGGATTTTGATTCCTTACCATGTTATGATTTTGGTTACTTACCTATTTCTCTAGTCCTATTATAATAGAGATTTATTTTATATTGTAATTTAGATTTATTTCCTATTTTATTTAGGGTTCACGCATTTTTGTACTTGTATAAATACCTCCAAATTGGGGAAGAATAAAAATATTAGCATAATTGAATATTTTCCCTACTTTGTTTGACATTGTATAAGAGCTTAGGTTCTCTTGTGACCTATGCTTGTGTTATTTTTGAAATTTAAGTGCTCTCATCCCTTCTTCTTCAATGGGGGGAGGTGGGGTGAAAAGGGATATGTTTCTCTTTCTTATACCTTATCTCTCTCAAATGTGTTGCTTGCCCCATTACCTTGACGTATTCCTATGAAGAAAATGTTTATTTCTTAGCTCAGACAGCCCCTTCTCTTCAGGGGGAGAGGGGGAGTGAAGAGAAGTTGTATCTGTGTGAATTAGCTAAAGTTGATATAAAATAATTTTTCATTGTCGTTTTCTGCTACTATTGTTGTTGTCGTGGTCGCTGCTGCCGTCGTTGACGTTGCCTTTGCTTGCTTCGCTTTCGGTTGATGTGGTCATTGTCGTTATTGTTGTTGTGGCCTTGCCCTTTGCCTTTGCTTCTGCCTTATCTACTACAATGCTCACAGAGTTTCTGTGTTATGCCTTATCTAATGTCGTGCTCACAAGATTTCTGTATTCTACTTTTATGTGTCCTGTTATGTGCCTCATTGTTAGGGTTTTCTCTTGTGTTTTCGCTACGATATTTGCTTTGGTTTGTCAGTTGTTCCACTAGTGGTTGATGAAAAGACCTTTTCTACAATTTGTTTGTCTCAAGTATGGTGTTCTATGACTAGGTTGTCAAGTTGGGCATGCGAAATATTTTTGCCCTTACTTGAGGGGGAGTGTTGGCGAGTCCTTATTTACTTAGGATTTTGGTTTCTTATTTAGTTAGAATTTTACTTACTTACCCATTATTATTTAGTCATATTGTAATAGAGATTTATTTCCTATTGTAATTTAGATATATTTCTTATGTTATTTAGGGTTAACACATCTTTATACTTGTATAAATACCTCCATATTGTAGAAGAATAAAAGATGAGCAAATATGAGCATAACGGAATATTTGACATACTTTGTTTGACACACAAATTGCAGGACTCAAGCATGATTTTAGGCAAACTTTAAAGGTCGAATAGTTGTTGTCTTTTCTGATATACCCTGAACATGCAAAAATTTCCAACATGCTATTCGACCATGAGTATGCTGCCACGTACCAAAACATCATTGTCCTAAGCTACAACAAGCTTCAAGCCCCAACCAAATGGCAAATATAAGTATATACGACAATAGACCTCGAGGTCAATCTAAGAATAGTGTAAAATAGATAATATCGTTTCTAACCTTTTTCTTCCATTTTCCTTTGCATTCACTATTAGAAAAGCTCAATTTTAGCTACGGATACACCATGGCCAATACAAGATTTTCCACAGCATAACCAATTTGTGGCCAAATTTGTTGTGGGTCATGTTGAAGAATATAAAGTCTCACATCGGAAACTTGATTAAATAAATTATAACTTATAATAAGTGGTTCTACTCCTAATATCACCGACGTCTTTTGTGATTAAACCTTACACCTACTGGGCTTTGTAAGTGGTTAAGTTAGGGATAATATCGGTGTTGCTAGTAGTGGGCCGCTGACCCATTTCTCTGAATTTAACATAGTATCATAGCAAGCCCCCGAACCAGACCCAATCCAACCACACCTTGATCGGGTGTGGCCACCGACCTGACTGACCAGCCACACCTTGTCATCGACCTAACTAACTCCGCTGCACACTAACGCAAATTATTAACATCGATGTGGACTTGGCTCCATGTATAGCGCACTATGTGGTTAGGTGGGAGAAAGAGCCTGCACACAGATAAATTATTAACTTTGATGTTAACTTGGCTCTACGTGTAGCCAGTATGTGTTCAGATGAATAAGCTTACCACAAAATAGACATTGTTGGTTTGCTAGTATCATAGCGAGACCCCGAACCAAACCCAAACCAACCACACCTTGATTGGGTGTGGCTATCGACCCGACTTACCATGACAGGACCCGCCCAGAATTTCCTGAAACCCAAGACGAATCCTGTGGAAACCCCAACATCACCCCGATGTCGGGCCCACTCACTAGACTATAACCTCCTTTTACAAAAGAGAAGGTAAGGATGCGAGACTTTCTGCCGAAATTTCGGCAGAGTCTCCCCTGTAAATTGAACATTCCCCAAAATTTCCACCTGCATAAAATCACAACTGATATAATCCAACCGGCAGCATGCACAAGATAACAACATGCAATTCATCTAATTGCCCTCCGGCCTTCAAATATTCCGAAATAGAACTGCCAACAAAGTCCTTAAATAAAAATACCTTAAACAAGGCAAAAATAAGTTCAAGCACACTTATGAATGCCGAAAGCAAAGTTTACAACCTCTAACTTTCCCAATCTCTACATACGAGGATTCAACCTCCTAACACGAACACCCCTCGACCTCACCTGAATCTCGGGACCAATGACAAAGTTCGCACCACACTCAAAACACACAAAAGTAAAGTTTAACCCGCGGCTGCACCTAGTAACTTCAGGCTGCCTACGTACCCTTACTGAGGGATCAAGCCACACGTAGTTCTTTCACTAAAACCCTTTTTCTCTAAATCAAATGTCAACAATCTCATATCTCCCCTCATACGTCGGGACGCACCCGGCCACGTATGGGGTCTGTCAACACGCCGGCTACTCCTACGACACGTGTGACCTCATCTCAATATCACATATCTCCCCTTATAAGTCAGGACGCACCCGGCCACGTATGGGGTCTATCAACACACCGGCTACTCCTACGACACGTGCGACCTCAACACAATATCACATATCTCCCCTCATACGTCGGGACGCACCCAGCCACGTATGGGGTCTGTCAACACGCCAGCTACTCCTACGACACGTGCGACCTCAATACAATATCACATCTCCCCTCATACGTCGGGACGCACCCGGCCACGTATAGGGTCTTTCAACACGCCGGCTACTCCTACGAAACGTGCGACCTCAACACAATCACATATCACCCCTCATACGTCGGGACGCACCTGGCCACGTATGGGGTCTGTCAACATGCCAGCTACTCCTACGACACGTGCGACCTCAATACAATATCACATCTCCCCTCATATATCGGGACGCACCCGGCCACGTATGGGGTCTGTCAACACGCCGGCTACTCCTACGACACGTGCGACCTCAACACAATCACATATCTCCCCTCATACGTCGGGACGCACTCGGCACGTATGGGGTCTGTCAACATGCTAGCTACTCCTACGACATGTGCGACCTCAACACAATATCACATGGGTTACATAGGGTAGTGCGTATAGCACTGCAAACTGACATTCAATCCCTTTTTATACCTTTATACATCCACACAATTAAATAAATATCTAATTTCTAATCTTATATAAACCTCAACCAATATAGCATCCCATAAACTCCCCCATTTAAATTCATCAATTAATATCCTAAACCCACAATATCCACATAACTCGATTAACGGTCAAGACTTGTCTCTACTGTCATTTTAAACTTCCTAGGTAGTGTTTCCTAGGAAGGTAACACTACCTAGGAAGTCTCACGGTCAACCCAAGGTCATACTACCCAACCTTGGTCAAACAGGCCCGCGAGGCTAATGACATCCAAATTCTAATTCGAAAGTCCCTATAGGTTCTACAAGGCCTAGGACACATGCCCTGCAAGTTTGGTCCACATCGGACGGTCCGATCGCTCACGATCGCACGATCGGACGGTTATTGAAACCCTAGCCCTAGGGTTGGTATTTCCGGAGTATCCGAGACTCCGTTTTACGATCCGTTGAATCCTACACGACCCTAAGGATGTCTAAATTAACATACTATCAATTCAGGACCATCCAACGGTACAAACCTAGCGAACCCGGATAACGTGCAATATGCGATATCCGTTCGAGACTCTAACGGTATCTAAATTGGGATCCGAGCACACCTACGCACTCGTGACAACCTGAGGATCCCATTGGGATAAAAATGCCCCTCATATACAGTGCCCACGCGCCGCCACAGGTGCCGACAGCGCGTGGGTGTCCAAAGCGATTACCATTCACCGAAAAATCTCCAAATCTCGGCTCAAGACTCCTACCCTAGGTAAAACACCCTATTTGGAACCACTTTTGTTCTTGGACCTACCCCAAAAATTGACCGGAAGTGGCCGGAATCTCCCCTCGAAATCCGGTCGAAACCCAATTCGTAAATCAAGTTGCCTACGCTACAAATTGATCAATTCCTACCCAACAGGCAGCTAGAACTCAGAAAATAGGTGAGAAAGCATACCTTGATCGCAAGATTTGGTAGCCGAAATCGCCGGAACGAGCTCCGAAAAATCTGGGTAAAAACCGGCCATTCTTCTACAATTTCCGGCCATCGTGGTGGCTGTCGGCGTCGGGGTAGAAAGATGAGAAGCTGGCGGTCCTTTTGGGACAGGTCCCGGCCCAATTGGTGGCCGGATGTGGCGGTGGCAGTCGGTGGAACTCACGGCTGCTACAGTAACGGGGGGGAGGGTTTCGCGACAGAGGAGAGAGAAAGAGAGAGAGAGAGAGAGAGAGAGAGAGAGAGAGAGAGAGAGAGTTGAGGGCATTTTTGACTTTTTATCAAAAATCCCTTTTTCAGATAATTACGATCGTGCCACTGAGTTTCATTCGATCGTAACTCTCTCGTTACAACTCCGATTCGAGCCCACTTCGTGTCTACGGACTCATCTCAACGTGCTCTACGCAACAGTACAGCCGGAATTCTCAAATTTCTTCATGATAAGAAATGACCAAATTACCCATATCCTAAGGATAAATTCGTAATTTCACTCAAATTAATTAAAACATGGGATAAATTTGGAGTCGAGGTGTTACAGACCAGCCACACCTTGTTATCTACCTAACTAACTCCGCTGCACACAAACCCAAATTATTAACACCGATGTGGACTTGGCTCCACGTGTAGTTAGGTGGGAAAAAGAGCCTGCACACATATTCAAATTATTAACTCTGATGTTAACTTGGCTCTACGTGTAGCCAGTATGTGTTCAGATGAATAAGCTTACCCCAAAATAGACATTGTTGGTTTGCTAGTATCATAGCGAGACCCCGAACCAGACCCAATCCAACCACACCTTGATTGGGTGTGGCCACCGACCTGACTGACCAGCCACACCTTGTCATCAACCTAACTAACTCCACTGCACACAAACCCAAATTATTAACACCGATGTGGACTTGGCTCCATGTACAGCGCACTATGTGGTTAGGTGGGAGAAAGAGCCTGCACACAAATAAATTATTAACTTTGATGTTAACTTGGCTCTACGTGTAGCCAGTATGTGTTCAAATGAATAAGCTTACCACAAAATAGACATTGTTGGTTTACTAGTATCATAGCGAGACCTCGAACCAAACCCAAACCAACCACACCTTGATTGGGTGTGGCCACCGACCCGACTGACCAGCCACACCTTGTCATCAACCTAACTAACTCCACTGCACACAAACCCAAATTATTAACACCAATGTGGACTTGGCTCCATGTATAGCGCACTATGTGGTTAGGTGGGAGAAAGAGCCTGCACACAAATAAATTATTAACTTTGATGTTAACTTGGCTCTACGTGTAGCCAATATGTGTTCATATGAATAAGCTTACCACAAAATAGACATTTTTGGTTTGCTAGTATCATAGCGAGACCCCAAACCAAACCCAAACCAACCACACCTTGTCATCTACCTAACTAACTCCGTTGCACACAAACCCAAATTATTAACACCGATGTGGACTTGGCTCCACGTGTAGTTAGGTGGGAGAAAGAGTCTACACACATATTCAAATTATTAACTCTGATGTTAACTTGGCTCTACGTGTAGCCAGTATGTGTTCAGATGAATAAGCTAACCACAAAATAGACATTGTTGGTTTGCTAGTATCATAGCTAGACCCCGAACCAGACCCAAACCAACCACACCTTGATTGGGTGTGGCCACTGACTCAACTGACCAGCCACACCTTGTCATCGACCTAACTAACTCTGCTGCACACAAACCCAAATTATTAACACCAATGTGGACTTGGCTCCATATATAGCGCACTATGTGGTTAGGTGGGAGAAAGAGCCTGCACACAGATTCAAATTATTAACTCTGATGTTAACTTGGCTCTACATGTAGCCAATATGTGTTCGGATGAATAAGCTTACCACAAAATAGACGTTGTTGGTTTGTTGTGGCTATTGTCCTTTTTTTTAGTAGTGATTTTTATTTTTTTATTTCTTCTGCAAAGTTAATACATAACACCAGGACAATCTATTTCAAAAACAAAGAATTCAGATACTTCTATAGATAATGATATTTAATACATAACACCAGGACAATCTATTTCGGAGAACAAAAACCACAAATGACAATTGCACTGATATATGAAAACTAGACAAATTATCTAAGTTTGATCCACAATAATCTTGGTTCCAAGGATGGCATCTGCATGCTCTTGCACCACCTTCCAAGCCATGGCTACGTGCTTTTCCTCAGTGAGACTTGCTCCAATGGCGCAACGTAACACATACATCCCTCCAACCACAGCATGGGTCATGTACACCAGACCCGACCCGTTAATCGCCTCCAGCAACTTTCTATTCACCTCGTTAACTACACATTTTACACCATTTAACAACTCATAATTATGTGCCTTAAGCTTACCATTATCATGATCACTTAGGCTTGGATTAGCCTTGCTAACTGCTGATGGAGAAACCCTAAAACAGACCAAAGAGAAATGCCTAGGGGCCACAATCTCAAACCTTTTGTCTATCCCCACAAGCCCTTCAAAAATCTTGGCCATTTTCACATGGCTCCTAAGAAAGTTCCTAAGGTTGCCCACACCATAGCTTCTAAGCACAAGCCATAATTTCATGGCCCTGAACCTCCTGCTCAAGGCTATTTGCCAGTCCTTGTAGTCCACCACTTGCTTCGAATCTGTAGCCTTGTTCGTCAGAAACTCCGGATTCGTCGAAAGTGAGCTCACCAAAGCACTTGGATTCTTAACCCAGAGGCAACAACAGTCGAGCGTTGTGAAGAACCATTTGTGCGCATTGAGACTGAATGAATCTGCACCCTCAACGCCATCAATAAAGTATTGAAACTCTGGACAAATGCAAGCACTTCCAGCATATGCAGCGTCCACATGAACCCACATGTCATGTTCTTTTGCCACCTCGCAGAGTGGCCCTAATGGATCAACGGCTGTTATTGCGGTTGTTCCCACTGTGGCACATAGAAACAATGGGACAAGCCCAGCTTCTATGTCTGAACAAATAGTCGATTTTAGCACCTCAGGTGATAGTGCAAATGATGTTGATGTTGTGGTCTCTATGGCCCTGAAATTCTTTGGGTGAATCCCAACAATTTGAGAAGCTTTTTGAAGCGCGCTATGTGTTTGGTCTGATCCATACACAACTAGCTTCCCAATATTCTTTCTACCAATTTGGCTTAGCATTTGATCCCTGGCAGCCGCCATGGTACAAACAATGGCCTCACAAGTAGTGCCTTGCAATACACCGCCGCCGTTGCCAGAGAAAAGGAAAGACTTGGGAAGTTTGAGCATATCTCCAAGCCAATCCATGACAATGGTTTCAAGCTCAGTTGCAGCTGGGGATGCCATCCAATTGAACCCCACAACATTGAAACCAGTGGTGAGCATTTCGCCGAGGAACGCTGCGGTGCTGATAGCTGCAGGGAAGTAGGCAAAGTGGTTAGGGCTTAGCCAATGTGTTAGGCCAGGGACAATGTGATCCTGAACATCTTGAAGGATGGTTTCAATGGGTTCAGGGTCGTATGGGGCAGATTCTGGCAAGAGTTTTTTGAGATAGCCCGGTTGGACTTGGCTAAGAACTGGGTATTTTTCAATTGTTTTGTAATAATCTGCAATGAAGTCTATGACCATGTGGCCTTGCCTTCTGAATTCCTCAGGGTCTAGAGGGCTAGTGGTCATGTGGGCAGAATTGTTTTCTCGTGGATGCTCAAATTTGATGCTACCCATCACGTGGATGAAGAAACTAGTCAACTAGGAGAGGAACTAAAAGAGTAGTGAAATTGAAAATGGTTGTTGATGAGTTGAGTTTTCCACTTGGAATCGAGGTTTTATATACGAGTGTTGTGTGGAATTCCTGTGGTGGTTTGGTGTGGTATTTAATGCCTACTGGTGTTTTGTGGCACCACTAGACGACGGATAATCCATCGGTAGCATAACTCTTCAATATATATTTAGTTATATACTCTTTCTTGGCATTAGCAATATAAATAAATCCTACACTATTTAATTTTTATAAACAAACCCAAAAAAATAATTCAAAAATTAACAACTTGTCCTGTTGAATTTAATTTTGATTATTAAATTACTTAAATGACATGTTGAGTGTTTTGAGTTTTTTTATGAGGTTTTGGAGTTGGGCTAGTTTTAAAAAATCGATGGCAGTGTTGTAATTTATAGGTAGTTCAAAGCTTCTTTGTTATGTTGTAAATGAGCTTTGGGTGTGTTTTTAAAGTCCAGTTCATGTAGTTTTTTAATAATTAGGCTCCTATCTTAGGCATAATAGTGAATCCTTCAATTTTCAATCCAACAACAGTGAAAATTGGTCGTCTATGACCTTTTTCGCCATTGATGCAAGATTCGAACCGGGATGTAAATTTACCACTATTCTAAAAATTTCAATCGATCCGATCTGGTGATGTACGTTGAGGAGTTGCTTCAGATTCCACTTTTTTATACAGGATGGTTTTTATGAAAACTAAAGCCATGAAGAGTGGAATTGCACTAATTGTTTTGCTTCACTGCTAGCCTTATGCAAAATCGTACCAATCATCAATTGTTTTCTTGTTGTCTGTCCTTTGTCATATTAAACTGGATACCGACCAGTAACTACACGATTGATGCAAACGTTGGTGGCTCATTTTCTATTCTTAGCTCAGAAGTTCGAAAAGTCAAATACCAAGATTATGACCCGCAACTAAAGTGCTTAAGCAGTAGTTAAATCCACCGTCACAAGTCGTAATGGTATTTAACTCTTAAGCTTTCATAGGTTGTTGAGATGTCCAGTTTTCTTAGGGAAAACCTAACTCTCCACATGGGACATTGATTTCATTCTCTCCCTTTCTATCTCTCTTCACATATCTCTCGTCGACACACAAGCGAATTCCTCCACATAGTGCCCAAATTACAAGACTCGGGCTTGATTTCAGGCAAACTAATGCTAAAAGGCCAATTCCATAGGAGAGGAAGCATTTGCCCCACCTTAAAAGGCCAATGTTCAAATCCCTTTGTCCTAAACTTTTAAGATTTTAGATTTTTTAGACCGAGGTTTTTAGAAAAATGGATTATAAACTTCCATTGCTGGTCATATCTCGAATCCAATTTGTTAAATAGTCGATCCTAAGATCAATGATTGCAGGACACTGACGACTGCAATCACCTTTTCTTTTTTTCTTTTTTTTTAATTACTCATTCGTGTTAAATTTAACAATTTCGTAAAGGGGAAATTAGTAATTAATAAGTTCATGAAGCAAGAATGGGATCTGAAATATAGAGGTGAGAAGAGAAGCACTCTTAAAATTTCATCCAAAGTGTCTACGTTGTCAAGTAGATTTTCTATCCTTTTCATAATGTTTACTAATAAAACGCTATCAATATTTCATAAGGCCTAACACTGATATTTCTACAGATGCAGATACCGGCATTTTCATCCGTCCACCTCAAATTTCTCTTGTCCTCAATCGACGTTAAGAGAAACAGGTATTCATCAAGAAACATGGATGTTAAATTACACAAAGCAATATGGAAGGAGATAGATTGGAACAATAAAACAAAAGAAGATCGTTTTACATTTCTGTCATTTTAACACATAAACCATGTGACATGTGTTCAATGATAAACAGGATCCTAGGTTTATATGGTCTAAAATACTTCATAGTTTGCCTTGTCCCTTTTCCTTTGATGAATTGACTGCTAGCTTAACTGAGGACTTTTGGGAGTTACAAAATCCAGAGAAACCGAGGCAAAGTCACCTTTAGCTGTCAGTCTCAGTTATCTTTGGATTCTGATAATGACAAAGTTGGCAGGAACACTAGTCAGAATTAAGCAAATGGAAAGGAAAAGAAACAAAAAACACAAACACAAACTTGCTAAAAGAAAAGTAGAAAAGCAAATAACAAAACAATGAAAACCCAGAATATCCTTCTCAAAGACTATTCTAACTTTTGCCTCCATTACCTGGCTTTTTTATGTCCAAAGACAGAAGGATCTTCAAAACCATCGAGCCTCCTCTTCTGAATGAACTGTAAAGAGATAAAAAGAAAAGGGATCACACATGAAGATCCAGAGGAGATGTAAAATTCGATATCTTACATTTTTTCCTTTTTTTTTTCTTTTTTATTGGCACAATTTCATGTTACATAAACAGAATCGGGTACTCCACTCAAATTCGAAATGGAAAATTAACACAGCTCATACAAGGTCGGAACCCTAAAGGCAGGAATTTATTTTACTTTGGAGTATGCATAAAGTCATATTATAATGCACTCTCATAGAGTCCCACATCATAGCAACCCTTTACATTTGAGACAAACATCGCCATCACAAAAGTGAGTAGATGAAGATCACTCAATCCCTCCCTATCTCTTTATGTAAATTAAATCAACCGTGACACCATTTACCACTTATCACCACCAATAATTGACTGATTACAGCAGCACTAACTAAAGTGTACTTTCAAAGCTAGAAAAATACAAGTGGCACAGCATTTGTCAACTGTTTCTGAAACATCCTACACTCAAACAATGGAGACACACACAAAGTACTGGTAGATGGCCACCCATATCAGGTGCTGTAATCTATTATTCTGCTATGCCTAATTATGTTCATATTAGAGAATGGTAAACAATTGAACCATGCAATCCCTACATGGGCAATAAAAAGAGTCTTGTTCTTACCATATCTTGCTGTTCCTTCAACTGCTCAGTTTTCAAGCCGTAATCAACATTTATGTTCTTAACAGCATCACCACTGTTGTCCTTGTGACGGTTTTTGTGCTTCTTATGATCTTTATCCTTGTCTTTGTGCTTCTTATGCTTCCTCTCCTTGTTTTCTAATTCACTCTTTGAATTCACCACTGAGGTACGGATCCCCTTCTCTGCCTGTTAACACCATACAAAAATGACTTTGTGTCACAGAATTCACAAGACAAAGGAAACCCTCCACCCACCCCCGAAAAGGAGGACTGACCAAACTAAGCAAACGAAGGTGTAGAAAATGTCTTACAGAAGGCAGTTTAACAGGAGTTGTTTCCCTTATTAGAAAAGCTTCACAAAGTACATCCAAATCAAAGGGATGTATATGTGCATTTTTTTCTCTCATATAAAGGTTGCTTTGAAAGAGCTGATCCAATTCCATCCCTTCCCCTTTCCTGATTAATGTATCTCCCACCACATTATGTAAATAATGAGTCTCTGATATTGACAAAGGCAGTGATCTCTTGCAGAAGTACTCATGATGAGGCCAAAGCTTATATAGATTTATGAGATCAGCAGCACCGCCAAGTTCCCTCGGACCTGATAATAATTTAAGGTTCAAGAAAGCACCTTAACTGTTACAGTGATTCACTTTGCATAAGGAGAGACTAAGAATAGATTAATAACAGCACACGAAAATTAACAAGGCGAAACAAGGTTAACTGTCGTTTCTTATTACTGAATTTCCTATCCATATCTCACCTGCTCGGGAGAGAAAATCTATGTATACAAATTCTCAAATAGAAGTCTCCGGAAAAAATTTAGCATATAGTTTTCATATGTTTGAGTGGTAACCTTCTCAGGACTCTTCCAAGTGACCATTTCACGATCAAAAGGGTTGAGTAAAGCTCTAATTGATATATCACTGCGTTTAATCCTCACGTACTACTCCAGACGTGAAGCTCTAATAAACAGTGAATCCAGAAACACTCATCTACAAGGAATTACTAAATACGCATAGAAAACTAGAATCTTTGTTTGAAAATGAGATACCATGCCTCAATTACATGAACTTTTAATAGCAATCAAACACATGAGAAAGCAAAAAACAAAACAAGCCTCTCATCATCTAAAGCTTCTTACTTACCCCTTCCAAACCTTTTGGCTTCAAGATCCATCTGTTTAGTGACACATTAAAGTTCCCAGTCAACTTCCTCTATCATTTGAATTCAAATAAATTTTTATAAATTTTAAATAACAAATAAAGAAGTAACTTTAGCAGCCTTTTCAGCCTAGAGGAAACATGAAACCAATGCACTAGATAAAGCCCAAGCCAAATAACATCCGAAACCTAATATCTCAGATGAAACTAGAGCATAACCAGAGCACCATCCCAATGACTCATTACATATATTATCAGAGACCCATTAAAAAACACAGATAAACATAACATAATAAAATTGCTAGGATCAAATGCATCAAAGCTTCAAAACAAAAAACCATGTTCCATATTCATCTAATATGCTTCGAGTTGAATATATTCTAGTGAAATACTACGCCAATCCAAAATCGAAGCTTTCCAGCAGAGAGAAGAAGAGAGAGAGACCTGAAAACGACACGCCCTAGAGAAAATAGGAAGAGGCAGATTGATAATTGAACGTCGGAGATTGGCGGTTGGCGGCAGAATCGCCGGTAATCGTTAATTTTGGATATAGAGGGAAACTTTAGGTTTGAGTTTTTAGTACCAAGGAGAACCTAAAACTAGAAGTCACCGACTGTAATGGGCTTTTAGTTATATTGGGCTACTTGGTATTCATGGGCTTTTGGTTCATGAAATTTTCCCCAAAATCGTCTTTTGTTTTAAAGTTAAAGATAGATGGAATAAATAAATTGTGATTGGAGCCGCTCTAATAATAGGTTTTTTTTTCTTAATACAAGCGATATTGGAATATGGGGATTCGAAATCTCATGCGTAGTAACCACTCGTTCTAGTTTTTTCATGGTATAAAATGGAAAATTATTTAGATGAAGTGAAAACTCATTTTGCTTGCATTTCCTTATGCTAAATACACAAAGGAATTTAGGTATATGATAATATGAGCATCAAATATAAACTTATTTCTTTCTTTCTTTCATCTTTACTTTTGAGTCCCATAAGGGATGCTCAAAACTCATCTGGCCCAAAAATTAAAATATTTTAAAGATGAATTTGACCTTGGCACTCTGGTCTTTAAACTTCAAAGCTTTTTTGGTTTGGTCTTCAAATTATAATATGATTATGGTAAAAAATTAGAAAGTAAAACCAATGTTACGAAAGTGTGAAGTCTTTGGGGACCATTAACAGTCTAAATGTAATTTTTCCAATTGAAAAGTTAAAGTGTGAAAAAAGTCTAGACAATTCTCCAACCAACCCCAACAACACCAACAGTGTTTGATCAGATAAGTCTTTGATGAGGTTTGGTACGATATGTCACTTCTAGCAACTCAAACAGTTGGTGCCGTTTGTCTTTTTCGTCTAGAAAAGGTGGCCATCTAGAGGTGGGTATGGTCCGATTTAGATTGATTTTACTTTAAAATTACGGTTAAATTAATTACAATATAACGATTTGATTTAGTTTAATTTTGACAAAATTTATGAAAGAAACCAAATCAAACCAAACCAATTTAAGACAATTTGGGTCTAAGCCCAATTATCTTTTCTTTTACATTTTTCAACATTGTTAGCCCAATTATAACCAACAAGTTCACACTTGCTCTATACTTAAATCATTTTCTAGAGTATGAAACCATCCTAAAGCTCAATATGCCATAAAACTTCAAATTTTAATTACTAATATAACTCAATTCAAATATAGGTTTTACCTAATTAAAGTATTGTACATATAAAGTATAATATAAATAAATAAATATACACATAAACAATTTGATTTGGTTTGAGTCAGTTTATAAAATCTCAAAATCAAACCATATACGATCCGATTTGATTTTTAAACCGTTTGATTTTTTCTTGGTCAAAACCAAACCAAACAGATAATTACGATTTAAATAGGCCGGTTTCTCCTAAACCCATCAATGTCTGGCAATTCAATCATTCGGCTGCCTTAGTTTTTCTTGCTAATAAAAATACAGCTTTCGTTTAATTTACCCACCAAAAAACCATTCATTTGTCATTTGCCACGCTATTAATCTATATGAATACAGGGTTTAAGGTTACATTTGTTGATGGAAGGGTTTTGAAGTTATATGGTTTATAAGGGTGGCTTGGTAAGTTTCGATCGTAAAAGACTATTTCAATTAAAATAGACTATTGTTATGTTTCCCGTTCGGTGTTCTTAATAAAAGTGGGACTTTACTTACTAGTGCTACAGTGAATGATTATTAGGATTAGAACCAGTCACAATCCAATAATGACAAGTCCATCTAACGAAGCCTATGAAAATAAACTTAAAAAGTGAGTAATCAATAATACTCAACACCTAGATTCAGAATTAAACATAATATGATAGTAATTATGTTTTGATCATATAATTCAAACAACACAGCTACTACATCATCATATGCCCTTGAACCGTAGCCGAATTGCTAATCACAAAAAAAGACATTTGGTTTGGTCAAGGGCTTAATCACTTTTGATTATATCACACACTAACTATAAGTTGTTACGCCTTAATTATCCCTTAACAACAAAATTAGTAAAACTCTAAGCAAAAATCTCTGGCATATTGAAATTAATCCATACATCACTCTCCACCCTTGGATCAAATTCAAATGACTTAAACTCCATCACGCCAAATACCTCCCTTTCCTCACCCACAATTTATTATCCATCTGAAAGCTACACGCGTCAATTCGTAGGTGCCACATAACTTCACGTGCAAACATTTTCGTCCAATGAAAACGAAACCAAGCAGGACCCCACACAGTAAAACCCAATTACTGTTGTCCACGTGTCAACCAAATTACTCTTTGGATGCTTCAATGCCTTCGACTGTCGGCGATCTCTCTCCGCTTAGCTGTCACTCCACACAACCCTGACGCACCCCGACACGTGTCACGCTGCCAGTGGTCAAAACATATCCCTTGTCATTTCCCCCATGTATTCGAAACCAAACCCACACTATAAAAACCCCCCAAAATGACACCCTGTTTGTGTCGGCAGAAAACAGCGCATTGATTCATGCCGCGGAGAGATATTTTCCCGAGAAAACAGATTCAAACATAAAACCCCAGGATATCTTCCCGGAAAATTCCGCCGAATTTAAAAAACAGGAAAATGTTGAAGCGAAGGTCCAATTCATATGGCAGAGCCAGAGATAGCTCCAATACGGCGCCGTCTTCGACGTCAACGGACGAGGAAGTTGCGTGGGAAATGAGACCCGGAGGAATGTTGGTTCAGAAAAGAGGTGAGAAATCGGACGTTCCGGCTCCGAATTTACGGCTTCGGATTGCTTTCGGTGCTCTGCGGTACGAGATCTCGGCAGCTTCTCAATCCACCTTCGGTAATTAATTCGCTTGATTTAACCTTTCGCATTCTGTATTTTGACACGTCATTCTTTGCTTTCTGTTTGGCTCCCGAGAAAATATATTAATCACATTTTCTCGGTAACCAAACAAACCAGTAATTATCAGTAATTTGGAGGGAAAAAATGATTAGATTACTGTTTTTGCTTTAAAATTGAATTGACTATGTTGTCATCCAATTAGAGAGTGCAATGTTGGTGGTTCTGAGTGAGTAAGCGGTGGTGAAATGTGAGGGTAAAATGGTAAATTACAATGGGGAGTTGACAGGTGTACTGTACAGGGGAGTTGAAGAAGGTTCTGACTGCAGAGACAGGGTTACAGCCTGGCGAGCAGAGGCTATTATTCAGAGGAAAAGAGCGAGAAAACGGTGAGTATTTGGACATGTGCGGGGTCAAAGACCGGTCAAAAGTCATACTGATCCAGGACCCAGCGAGCATCGAGAGAAGGGCCGATGAGATGCGTCGAAATGCTAAGATCCAGAGCGCACATCGCGCCATATCGGACGTGTCCGTGGAGGTCGATAAGCTCGCGGAGCAGGTAAGCAAACCCCAGACCTCACTCTGTCCCTGTTCAATGTTTATTTTATGTTGGCTTGTTTTTTAGTTGGATAAAAAAATTTGGAGTGAGGTCAGCCGTTGGATTGGGAGTGTGATGTTTGCATCAAAAGTGGGTGAGACAGCTGGGCTCGGGATGTAGAATCTTGACCATTAAGCTGGGTTTTAGTGGGGTCCTTCTGGATTGAATTGACTCAGGACTTTGTTGTGCACAGTGGATCATCCTTCTTGGTAAACTTAATCATGAGCAGGGGGCTTCCCTGGGGGCCAACATGGTGATTTTATGAAAGCCCAGTTTCTTTTCAAAACAAAACATAAATAAAAATTTGTGAGAGCCCAGTTGAAATTTGTCAGTGAATCATTGGTTGGTGACTTGGTGTGTGGTTGATGAATAATTGCTTGGTTTGATGTACATCATGAGATTGTTTGTTAGAATGGGTGGAAATTTTGCATGCATAAACACAAATTATATTGAAACTAGAAAGTATAGTTATGTACTAAAAAATGTGGTAGGCTTTACAAGATTAATTATGTATAGATTAAGCCAACTATTTTGGTGTGTAAACTTCTTCTAATCATAAAGTTTTGATCTTGACGTCTTATCTCCCAGCGATACAATTATGCATACGAATGGTATCGAGTAGCTTAGATTCTTTTTTCTTTTTTTTCTATTAAAGGAGATGTTTGGTAGATATTCCAAACCTAGAACAATAATATGGATGTTGTTTTCTACATTTTTAAGTTGCACTAGAGTATGGGAATCTAAATGAAATATTTATGTAATGCGTTGTCCTTTTTCAGCCATCACTTACCTATCTTTTGATTCTTTTTGGTCACATAATACTCATTTAGTAAGTTCCTCTTTCTTTCATAGGTCTCTGCAATTGAAAAATCCATCTCAAATGGAGTCAAAGTAGCAGAAGTTCAGATCACAACGCTGATTGAGATGCTCATGAGGCAAGCCATCAAGCTGGACAACATTTCTGCGGAAGGAGATGCTGTTGCTTCAAAAACTTTGCAGGTAATGTACATATAGTTATCATCTCATTCAGACGTGCCCATTGTAAACATAGAGGAAATGAGAGAGGGGTAGTGCGTCCGTACAGTAATAATGTCCGGACGTTTGTATATGAGAATTTCTGTATATATATATATATATTATAATTGAGGTTTTGAGCTAATTTTAGTGCAATCAGAAGGCTAATTTTGGAAGTTGCTTTTTTCCAGGGCAAGAGGGTGCAGAAATGCGTAGAAAGTTTGGATGTGATGAAGATATCAAATGCAAATGTAAAGCCTGTTGTTGTGACGACCAAGTGGGAGACATTTGAACCCCCTCCAACCACACCCCAATGGGAATTTTTTGAGTGATCTTTTATGATCACCGCCACCTTTTTTTATTTTCTTTGCTCATTCGTGTTATGTAATTAGCTGGAGAGGAGCACAGTGAGCTACCTGTACTTATAGCTCTTCACCCTCCATGAACTTTGCCAATAAGCGTTGGTTATGATATATAGTTAGACAAATGCAGTTTAACCATAGCGCTTTGCTACTATTTTAACAGAATTATGTGGACACTTTCCTCATGAAGGCACGCTCTGTTTAATCTATAAGCAGAGAGAAGATAATGTGGCTCTATTATAACTTATAAAGTTCAAAGTTCAAAGTACTGATCTTTTTGGATACATGACCAGTTTAAGTGACATGGAACAGATCACAAGTTTAAGTGATATGGAATGGATCGGGTGAGATTATAGATTCTCGGTTCAATTTTCAAATAAAAAGAAAAAGAATTCTTTTCATGTTACTCACATGTTAATACAATGTCCCATAATCAACAATTTCAATTCACATTCTAATCAAAAACTTCACCTAAACATTGAATATTTGTAACATTTCAATTAAAATTGGTTAGAATCTATTCTTTTAGTAAAATAAAATGTTTTATAATAAGAATAAAATAAAATGTTAAATACATTGGAGTAGCCCCACTTAACAAACCCAAGGAAGACTTTGGAAAAACACAAAGGAGAGAGAAATTTTGTAAAAGAAGCTAAAATAGACAAAATTGCCCTTATTTATTTTTGGATTTCCTAAGGAATCCTTTACATTTGTATGTCTTTGATTTGAAAGTTGAAAGGTTTTTCTGTCTTTTTTGAAAAAGCTTTGGCTTTTTCCAAAAGAGAAAATTTTTTTTTGGCTAAAACCTAATTTTCCTCAAAAGGAAAGCCCAAATTAACTCTTACATATACATTTTTGCAGCTAACAATTGGAACCCCTCTCTCACATAAACATGATCTGATGCTCCCAAAACAGCCCTCACTCCTCCGCCCATCTTTCCCACATACATTCTCAGCGAAAACCTTAACTCACAACCCCAAAACCCTCTTCTCTTCACTTTCAGCCCCCTCACCAATTTTGCCACAAAACCCAATACGCTACATTCTCCAAAAGTGCATTGCTCTCTTGCAATGCTGTGCATCCTCCAAGTTGAAGATGCAGCAAATCCATGCCTTCTCTGTAAGGCATGGTGTTCCACTCAGCAACCCAGACATGGGCAAACACCTCATTTTCACCACTGTGTCTCTCAAAGCTCCTATGCCCTATGCCCACCATATATTTTCCCAAATCAGAAGCCCTAATGTCTTCACATGGAACACCATGATTAGAGGATATGCTGAGAGTGAGAACCCAACTCCTGTTCTTCAACTTTACCACCAAATGCATGTGAATTCTGTGGAACCTGATACACACACTTACCCTTTTCTTCTAAAGGCTGTGGCTAAGTTGACGAATGTTAGAGACGGTGAGAAGATACATTCCATTGCTCTGAGAAATGGGTTTGAGTCATTGGTCTTTGTTAAGAACACCTTGCTTCACATGTATGCATGTTGTGGCCATGTTGAGAGTGCACACAGGGTGTTTGAGTCAATGTCTGAGAGAGACCTTGTGGCTTGGAATTCTGTGATTAATGGGTTTGCTTTGAACGGGAGGCCCAATGAGGCTTTGACTATTTTCAGGGATATGAGTTTGGAGGGTGTTCAGCCAGATGGGTTCACCATGGTTAGCTTGTTGTCTGCTTGTGCTGAGCTTGGAACTTTGGCTTTGGGTAGGAGGATCCATGTGTATATGCTGAAGGTGGGCTTGACCGGGAATTCACATGCTACTAATGCCCTTCTGGACCTTTATGCAAAGTGTGGGAGCATCAGAGAGGCACAAAAGGTGTTCACAACGATGGACGAAAGGAGTGTGGTTTCTTGGACTGCTTTAGTTGTTGGGTTGGCTGTTAACGGGTTTGGTAACGAAGCACTTGAGCTTTTCAAGGAGTTGAGGAGAGAGGGATTGGTGCCTACTGAGATCACTTTTGTTGGGGTCTTGTATGCCTGTAGTCATTGCGGGATGGTTGATGAAGGATTCAATTACTTTAGAATGATGAAGGAGGAGTATGGAATTGTCCCCAGAATAGAACATTATGGTTGCATGATTGATTTGTTAGGTAGGGCTGGCTTAGTGAAAGAAGCATATGAATACATTAACAACATGCCCATGCAGCCCAATGCTGTTATCTGGAGGACCTTGTTAGGAGCATGCACAATACACGGGCACTTGGCTCTCGGAGAGACTGCAAGAGCCCACATCCGAGAGTTAGAGCCTGGACATAGTGGAGATTATGTGCTCCTTTCCAATCTCTATGCATCTGAGCGTCGTTGGTCAGATGTGCAAAAGGTGAGGAGGACAATGCTTAGTGATGGGGTGAGGAAAACTCCAGGGTATAGCATTGTTGAGTTGAGGAATTGTATTTATGAGTTTACGATGGGTGATAGATCTCATCCCCAAAGTGAAAAAATATACACAATGCTAGCAGAGATCACAAATCTGTTGAAACCAAAAGGGTACGTGCCTCATACAGAAAATGTTCTTGCAGACATAGAGGAGGAGGAAAAAGAAAATGCATTGTCCTACCATAGTGAAAAAATTGCAATTGCCTTTATGATCCTAAATACTGCATCAGGAATCCCAATTAGGATTTGGAAGAATTTGAGAGTTTGTGCAGACTGTCATCTTGCAATTAAACTCATATCCAAGGTTTATGAGCGGGAGATTGTTGTGAGGGATCGCAGTCGATTTCACCATTTCAGAGATGGTTCTTGTTCTTGTAGAGATTACTGGTAACATCTGGAGCGCTTTGCTTCTATGAGTCGAGCTCAAATGATAAAGAGGTGTGGCATGGCAGGGATGAAGCTGCCATTGAAGATCTGCATATGACATGCAAAGTTTGGCCATTTTTTGGCTTGACCGGCCAGTCATTTGTTGCCAATCTATGGCCTCTTCTATGCTTTTTGATAGCAATCCTTGACAAAATATTAATCTCCAAAGAGTTCAATTACAAAATGTCATATCCTTATCTTCTAAACATTTTTGTGTTCCAAGTTCTTAATAGGACAATTTCTGAAAAGTTTTGAAGTATTTGCATGGGTTGCCTCATATCAACGGTCATTACTTTTTGCGGATATTTGATACCACCATTACTCATCCCGCTAATTTAACATATTTAGAAAACTTAAGAGGCACAAAATCAGAAGTTGAACAAAGATGGTTTAACAAAAATGTGTGAGAGAGAGGGTTACCAACTTACCAAATGGCTCAAGATGAACGTTGTCGCATCTTATGCGTTTCATCGATTCTGTACAGATACTTATTTTCTTATTAAAATAAGAAAGGAGATATTTAAATTTTGTCACCTTTGTTTGAATGAAGCTTTTTAAATTTTTCTTTGCCCATTTATTGAAAAACCTATTAGATAATGACACAACAATTTATATGAGAAAAATAAGATATTTAATTGAAATAGTAAATTGCAATTATCTAAAAAGTATCAAAGAATATTAAAATGCAATGACCTATTAGAAAATCCAAATATTATTATTTTTTGTTGGAACATAATATTAAATTGCAATGATCTAAAAAAAGAAATGAGAAATAGCACATTCCAAATTCGAACCCGTTAATTGCCAAACGAGCCCTAAAGTTAAAAATTCGAAAGCCGCGAAGGCGAAAGCGAGGCGCGTGAAATTTTGGCGGGCTATATTTCAAACTGGGGCTTCGAAACGAAGCTTCATCTTGAAAGTATAAAAAAGAAAAAGATGACAAATTAATACACTCCGTCGTCTTCTTCTTCTTCTTCTCGATCTGTCATTCTGTTCAATCTTTCTCTCGGATCAAAAGAAAATGGAGACTCCGGCCCACCTCGAGAAAATGGGCAGAGAGCTCGAGTGCCCCATTTGGTAACTCTATCTGTACCAAAATACTCCGACTATTTCTGATTATTTTGTATATCAAATTAGCTTTGTTTTGTTGTTGTATTCAAAATCTATCAGTGTTCGGAGCTATAATAACTTCTTGGCAGCCAAACAGATCCGTAACTTTATTTTGCATAGAATTCGTATGTGAGTTTTGAAATTTATTTTGATTTGGCTAATGGGTTCAATTTCCTCTATCTGTTTTACAGTTTGAGTCTGCTGAATTCTGCGGTTTCACTTAATTGCAATCATGTCTTCTGCAAGTAATCTCCTCCTTCCTTGCTATTTGCATATAAATTTTAGGTTTAATTTCAGCTGTATGAAAACTTGGAATATACTTGAACCCATCACTGTTGTTTGCTTCTTGTTTACAGCTCTTGTATTGTGAAATCAATGAAATCGGGTTCCAATTGTCCCGTTTGTAAAATTCCATATCGGCGCAGAGGTAGGATCCTTCTATTTTGTGACTAAAACAGGTTCTTGTACATTCCATTGTTCTTATTAATAACTTTTGTTGCAGAGATTCGTCCTGCTCCACACATGGATAATTTGGTTAGTATTTACAAAAGCATGGAGGTTGCTTCAGGAATTAATATATTTGTCACTCAGAATGCACCCTCAACTAAATCATCAGGTATTTTCCTGTACATGTATTTGAGATGTTATTATGTATAAAGTGTAGTCTAACGTGCGAATTCCTTTATTACAGACGGAAAACTGCAAGCCCAAGATGATGGTCATGAAGAGCAAGATATCCCTAAACATTGTCAGGATAGAGATGAGAAACAGAAATCCTTAAGAGGAAAACGATCAGGGAAAACTAAATCCAACCTGAAAAATTCGGGTTCTCTTTCAGTTAAACCTTCATTTCCAACCAAGAAAAGGGTTCAGGTTCCACAGTGTTCTCTTTCAGAAACTCCTACACGCCCTGAAAAGACAGTTGGGAAACTAATGGATGAAAGGTCTAAGCACAGTTCAACAACTTTAAAGGGGAAACCAGTTCTAAATGAAGTGGGAGAACCGATGCTTTCACCTTTCTTTTGGTTGAGAGACAAGGATGAAGAAAATTTGAGTCAGCATACTGATGGTGATCAACTCTCCGATAGTCCTCCAAATGTTCCTACTTTCAGTGATATCAAAGACTCAGAAGATGAATACTCTGCTAGATTGACCCCACCGGTGAGTGTATAACCTGCTTTATACTAGCTTTGAAATGGTTTGTAATATTGTTTAGTTGACCTGGCAGTTATGCAAAATTATTGGGCTGGTTTTTTTATTTTAGCTAGTTGACCTTCCCACTTACTGCTCATTTCTGTTTATGTAATTGAATTCTGTAGTTTGTGAATGAAAAAATTAACTCGATCAAGCTATGAATAATTATGAAGTTTTGCATTTCTTTGAAACATCTTGGCGATGCCATAAAGTTATCTTAAGCATTGATAATCTCATGTAGGGCGAAGTGCATGGAAAATCTTCAAATATTGCAGATTTATTTGATAGTGAGATGTTTGAATGGACACAAAGAGAATGCTCCCCTGAACTCTTCCAAAGTCCTTCTAAGATGCAGGTATCAGCTCATTTTTACCTCATGTAATTTCTCTCTTCTACAAATTCTAATATGTCAAGTCCTCCAATTTTGCACGGGCAAATCATGGCTTTCATTAAAATAAAATTGAAATGTAGGTTCCAGACAATGATGATATTGATAGAGTTCAAGTGAAGGAACTGAAAGAAATCTCACAAAACAAGAAATTAGATGAAGCACATTCTGCTAAAGGTGCAAGGTCTAGAAATTCTAGACAAAGTAGTGGAAATATGTATTTTCTGCCAGATATTCCCCCTGCTGGAACAAAAGACGATAGTCAAGTTGTTAGTAATGAATTGAACAAGCAAGGTAGGCAGACAAGGAATATAAGTAAAAGAAAGTGCGCTACAAGTCATACGGATCCAGGTGTTGATGTTAGTGTTAATGTTAATTCAAAAGGATCTAAAGTATTTTATGAAGAACCAGTATGTAAGAATAATTCTAGTTCTTTGGCCAAGACTTCCAAAAGGAGTAAGAAGGAACATCCATCTGTTGTTGCAATGAAGCCAACATCTGAAAATGTTCATGTCCTCTCAACAGAAGCTGAAACTCAAAATAATGGTGATGACAAGGGGATAACTGAATCACCAACTTCATTAGGAAAGAGTGAAGGTGGTAGTGCACCACCCAGTAAGAAGGCTGGAAAAATCTGTAACGAGGTAAATGCCAAGAGCCAGATGCACTGCCCAGTAAGGTCAAGAAAGCAAAAGATGGTCTCTATGCCAAACAAAATGCTTGAGGAGGTATCGGAAGTACAGAAGCAGGCAAATAAGGATACTACAACTGAGTCGTCTCTTATAAATTTCTCTACAGTTGATAACAAGAAAGCCTCTGAGTTCGGGAACAAATCCAGAAAACTTCCGAGGGAAGCCAAGTTATGTGATCGAGAATTGAAGAATAACAAAAAGGCAAAAGTTTCCTCTGATGGCAACTCAAAGGATGATACTTTTGTTAGGGTTGGAGAGGGTCATGGGAATGTTAATGAAAATGGAAATCAACCCACTGAAAAGATCGAAGGCAATTGTGATGTCACAACTGATCGATCACCAGTGCAGAAGCTTTCTTCATTGACAAACAATTTGGTCTTGCAGAGATGTGAGGCCATTCCTAGTAAAATCCAATGTGCTTTCTGTCTTTCATCAGAAGAATCAGAGGTCTTCCTCACTCCCTTCCCTACATATTTGTTTGGGTGACTCATGACTTAGATTCCTTCCTCATCTGCATATTTTATCTTTAGAATTCAAAGCTGACATCCATTACAATCAAAATCAAAATGACAGGTGTCTGGAGAGATAGTCCGCTATTATAATGGCAAGCCTGTTGCTGTGGATCACAATGGAGGACTCAAGGTTATTCATGCACACAGGATCTGCACTGAATGGTATATAGAAAAGAAATCCTGCAATTTAGCCAAAACAAGATTATGTTTATAAATAAATTTCTGTTTAACAAGTTTTCATGATTGAAATAAATTTATTTACACAAGCATCTTTGCTTTCCTAGCCCTTCAAATTTTATTTGTTTTTGTAACTGTCAATGCATGCAGACATTGCTGTTTATGTATATATGTACAAAAGCTCAGGCTCTTGTTTTTTTGTTTCTTTTTAGTTTTGATTATTGATTTGCATTCCAAATTAACATTTTTGAACCTCAGTCAAATGAGGAGAAGGTGTGATGCAATTTCTTAGCCAATTTCAGACATTATTATTTGTAACCTTGAAATATGAGACAGGGTTGGATGGACTGTGAAAGTCCACTCTAGATTATTTATATACTTACAACTTATAAATGCTCAAAAATATGTGCAGGGCTCCCAATGTCTATTTTGAAGATGATACTGCTGTTAATCTTGAAGCTGAGTTAACTAGGAGTCGTAGAATTAAATGTTCTTGCTGTGAAATTAAAGGAGCAGCTCTTGGGTGTTATGAGAGGAGTTGTCGTAAGAGCTTTCATGTCACCTGTGCAAAGTTGATGCCTCAGTGTCGATGGGATACTGTATGTATAATGAAAAGAAGTTTTATTTTCATTTAATGTTTTTCCATGATTCTATTTTAATTCTAAATGTCTTGAATCAGGATAATTTTGTGATGTTATGCCCCCTTCATGCCTCTTCTAAATTGCCAAATGAAAGCTCTGAATCTCAAGCAAGGAGGAGGAAGAGCAATCCTAGAAAGTATGTAAAACTTTTCCCTGAAGATCTAATGTGTATCACAACAAATTCTGATATTCTAAGATTCTCATTTATGCCTTTTTCTCTCTTGTAGACAAACTAATGCTGAACATTATAAAGCTGCTGTTAAACAAGACAACACCATGCCTCCAGATCGGAAATTTTGTGGATCATCCAAGAAATTAGTTCTCTGTTGTTCATCTCTCACAAATGCAGAGAGGGTAAAGAGCTGCTTAGAGTGTTTGCTTTGTTCCTTGTTTCTTTCTTTTCCTTTAAGAAATTGAAATGGTCTAAAGAATTCCATTATTCCTGGTTGGCTTGAACTGCAGGAATCTGTTTCTGGGTTTGAAAGATTATCTGGACTTACAGTTTTAAAGAATTGGGATTCTAGTGTCACCCATGTTATTGCGTCAGTAGATGAAAATGGAGCATGCAGAAGAACCCTCAAAGTTTTGATGGGTATCTTGGAGGGGAGGTGGATCCTGAGTATGGAATGTGAGTATTATTGTTTCTATCTTGAATGTTCTTCCTCAAGAACAGAGGCCTAAAATGAGTGATTTGTATACATGTGCGCATTGTTACTGATAATCTACTCTCTTTATATGTCTCTGTTTGTACAGGGATTAATGCTTGCATAGAAGCCATGAAACTAGTTAATGAGGAGCCTTATGAAATTAACTTCGACATTTATGGAATCAGGGATGGTCCTCGACTCGGTAGACTAAGACTTCAGAACAAGGTTGGCTTTTCCTTTAGTGTCATAATCAAAATGTTTAGTACCTGTTACAGTGATTGGAATCATTTTTTTCTTTCTAACAAACTGTTTTACATGCAGCAACCAAAGCTTTTTGATGGATTCAAGTTTTACTTTATGGGAGACTTTGTACCTTCATATAAGGGTTATCTACAAGACCTAGTAATAGCCGCTGGAGGAACTATTCTGCATAGAAAGCCTGTTCCAGAGGGCCAGAAAGCCTTTTCAGCCAGTTCCCCAAAATGTCAAAACTTCATAATTTACAGCCTTGAGCAACCCAAGCAGGGTCATCCTAGCAAGGGTACGATATTGGACCGCAGGCAGTCTGATGCAAAGGCTTTGGCCAGTTCTGCTGGAGCCAAGGCAGCAAGCAATTCATGGATTTTGAACTCCATTGCTGCCTGCAAGTTACAAAGTTTTTCTGAATAGTATATATTACAGAAGCCCTGTACATGTGTAAAACTTCTCCAGAATTCAGTTTCATATGTAATGTATTTATTTTGTGGTTCTTAACAGTAAACATAAATGATAATGTCATCCTTGGTGGCTTCCAATAATTTTTAACTTCTAATCCTTTACTAAGTACCAGTCGTATATTAATAGGAACCAGAGTTGCACAAGGAAAAACGTTAAAACTTAGGGCACAAGGCATTAAATTTTGAACCTAAATCCTATGATGTACGACACTTTGTGAATGATGAATAATCTTGTAGACAAACAGTATCTTTCTGTATGTCACAGAGTTTTACAATGTAAAATAATCTTCATTATACAACTCACAAGTGGTACCTATAGGACATTAGGCAATAAATACAGGCTTGTGCTTATCTCGGAGCCTTGGAATGGAGATTGGTAGGGAAGCAACTGAGATTTCCAAAGAGTTCCATTGCAGGTCAGGCCACTGTTCTTGGGACTATGCCTGCAACCATTGTCTAAGGAGGAAGACGGGTTCGATTACCATATTGTCGTATGAGTTTACACTTATGTGCTGTACATCTCTTCATTTGTCAACTCTTTGATATCCAGGACGAGAAGAAAACTTGGAATTAGACAACTCCTATTGGGACAGTGTAGATGCAACCTAGAAACCTGAACTAGTCAATTGCAACATGAACAACAACATTATGCAACATCACTAATCTCTCTTCTACTTCTGAAACATTACAACTGCCTTCCCCTCTTTTATTTATGTAATTCCAAGAAGGAATAGTTGCGTCTTGTCCCGGCAACTAAAAAGAAACAGAACCAACAAAATTGCAAAAGTGGAGAGACCAGGCATTTCTGGTTTCTAGTCACCCTTTGTTCTCATGCAAGTGGCAGGATGCTATTTATGTAGCATCAATTTCAGTGTTGTGTTTTGCAAATTCGCCTTTCTTCGGGTCGTGCTTGGAGATCCTCGTGCTGAAGCACTCAAACAGACGCTCCAATGCTGATATCTCCTCTTCAACATCTGTTGCTTGCTCATTATCACTTGTGGTAATCTTTTCCTTGAGGGCTCGTATTCGATCAAGGCCTTCTTGAACTTCGACCCCCATATCCTCCATTGCCGAGTGCATCCCATTGTTTTCCTTCTGTGCATCTTTAATCTTTCTCTTTAAGGATCTGCACCCGTCAAGGGACTTAAGGAGTTGCTCCGAAAGCTCCTTGTTTCGCTCCTGGAGCGCCACATTCCCTTGAATCTCTACCCCACCACACCTCTTCTCTTTGTGCTCTGCTGCACAAGCTTGTACTTTTGCCAACAACTTCTCATTTTGCGCTCTAAGATCATTGATGTGTTCCTCCATTCCACTAAATTCTTGAACCTTTCTTGCAAGCTCAGATGCAATAATCTCCTTCTCCTTTCCCAAACTGGAACACATAATTTCTAGGCTCTTTCGTGCTGCCAAGCTCGCGCTAAGCTGCCTTCTCAACCTCTCTTTCTCATCGATTATTGGCTCCGTAGGCCTTTTGTCCCTTGGAACATTTGGCCTAAGATCTGTGTTGCAACGCCTCAGCTCTGCCCTCCTGCCAATAGATTGAGATTTTTGAATCCTGGTTTTAACATCGTCGATTATGGTAATCATTCCAGCCACCCTTTGCGTCTTCCTGTCATCATTCTCTTTTGTGCAGGCCTCGTTGTGATCATGGATTAGCTTCAATAATAACTTAACATTGGTGGCAATGCCTAAACAAAGAATTTCACACAGATCAGTACCTATTGTAATGCAATGCCCTGTTTCTTTTTGGCCAAAATTTATTGTGATTGACAAGAAAGGAAAATTCCTTTTTATTCATGTTGGCATTATTAAATGAAAGCAAAATTGTTGCAATTAGAAACCACACACAGAGATGTCATTTTGCAATGACTTTCATGACAAAAATGCAGGCATTGAGAAATGAAGATCAGAATGCATATAATTAGATTAATTACCATCAAAACTATGATCTTCTGGGCGCTCTTTCGGAGTTGTGGAAGAAGCTGGCAATGGCAACACTGCAGGAGATGAAAAAGCTCGAATTCGGTTCATTTTCACCCCGAAAACACGATCGAAAGGATCTTCTGTCTTCAGGGGAATGGAGCTGATAGACTATATAAGATGAAAGTATGAATCTTATGATACAACGGTGGATCAAGATCGAACACAAGTAATTAAAGGGTAGTTTTCTTTTCTTTCTTATTTAATTTGGATAATTAATTTGTTCTAAATCATGCACTAGTTTACTACGATATAATATTTGAGAGATCCAAAAAGAGAGACTGCAAACTGCTTTTGCACTCTCTCTCTCTCCTCTCTCTTGTTGGTGGTGGTGTTGTTGTTAAAAACCTCCTCAAGCTGTGTAATATTGAGAATATGTTTTGATGGTTTTGGCTCGTTGGGAGAATTGTTGGTTCTTGGTTGCAATCATGCGCAATTATTGGTGACAGTTTGACGTTTTCTTTGGCATTGGATGCTTTGACTTTCTTACACCCAAAAAAATGGGTGGAGTGGTTCCCATGCAGTCATGTTTGTTCCTCTTGTTGCACTTGCATAAATCTGAATCAGCTCTCTCTAACCTAATTTGCTCGCGGACAATTTTAAAAAAAAAACTAGAAAATTGTTGGTTTGAAATAGAAACCGAACAGATTGAACAAAACATATAAAAGAAGTAAGGTACTTATAATTGAAACGGTTAAGAGTTTTTACGCACACGAAATGATTTGTTAGATTTTCTCGTTCTTCAATATAACTTATATATATATGGACTAATGACATCCGTAGAACTTTTGTTGGATCCTTTTTTCTTACCTAATATTTATTTTTGTTTAAAATAATAATAATAATAATACTAAAACAGAAGACTCCACCCAAAAGCATGTTACCATATCTCTTCCTTAGTCATTCCTTGTTGACCAGACATGGAATCATATCTCCAATCCCATCCCATGCATGTGGTAGTGACCACCATTAACGCCACAATTACAAGCTCTATTAACAAATAGCATTACCCAGTTGTACCTTTTCTTTTGCCACAAACACACACACACACACACACACTTGTACCTAATCACATATATATTTTATAAGACACTTGATTACTTATTTAGAAAAAGAAAAAAAAACAACCTCTGTAGCATCATGCACACACATTATTATGTTCTACAACATGCTGGTATTTTTTGTTTTTGTTTTTTGTTTTTAGTTTTTAAACGCAGCTTCACGTGTTTCAAATTTTGTGGTTAGGTAGGTAAATATATTGTTTTTGGCTATTTACCTTTAGGTTTGTTTCTTCTTTCGTGCCATCTTGGGCCTAAACAAGCGTACAACCAACCAAACCTATAAGTCATGGTCTGGCCCAATTATCAGTAAGAGCGTTTTCTTTTTTCTAAGGTGCCGCGGATGTTTGATTGTGAAATCATTAGTCTGTAAATTAAGACTCTTTGTTTTAGAGACTTTGTGAACAAAACTTGATCTTTTCGGTTCGCTCCCTCTACGTGGTCGGTCTTTTTACCAGTTTACTTTCCTTTTTTACTGGACTAGATCTGTTGGGTGTTTTAAAAAAAAATATTTGGTGCACAAAATAACAAGCTTTTAAAAAGTACGGATATAAACCTTTTTATATAAATAAAAACCACGGTCGAATGTAGGCCCAGAGCCAACCAAAACGCTTGTATCGCACTTGTTCCGAAACTTCGTATTTGATCAGTGATTTTCCCACTCTCCAGCGGCAAACCCTAATCCTCCATTTTCCCGAGAATCCCCATTTCGAAACTTCGCACAATCCCAGAATCCAAACAACCAAAACTCATGGGCAAGAAAAGAAACAAGAAGACCCTCGTCTGGAGGCCCAAACCCAAATCCAGAACCCCCCCAGCCGAAATGCGAAACTGGCTGGACCTTCCACGGGACGTCACCGTTTCGATACTCTCGCGACTCAGAGCGGTCGAGATTCTGGAGAGCGCGCAGATGGTGTGCATGGCTTGGCGCATCATCTGCAAGGACCCTCTCATGTGGCGCACCATCGACATGGCCAACGATGCCGATTACGACGACATGTTCTACAACTTGGATGCGATGTGCCGCCACGCAGTGGATCGTAGCTGTGGCGGTCTGGTCGATGTCAATATCGAGCACTTCGGCGACGACGATCTGCTTAAGTATATCACTGACAGGTATTCAAAATTTTATTTTGTAGATTGTTTTGGTGTGAAGATTTTATTAATTTCTTAAACTTTGCTCAATAGATTCCCCAAAATTAGTCTTTTTGTGATGTTATATTCAATTCGAAATTAAACATTGCACAGGAACAGAGTAACCCATGTAGATTTGCTTGATCATTTGTTTTGTTCTTTTTGGAATCTCCTTCCAAATTCCAATGATATTATGTTGATGTAGAATTTGTTTGGCTGCATTTCTGTTTCTGTGTAATGGCTATAGTTGCGGTGGGATCAGACGTCTCCGGCTAGTTAGTTGCTATAGCATATCACGTGTGGGGTTGGGTAAGGTGGCTTCGAAGCTTACTCTGTTAGAGGAGCTTGAGATCTATGTATGCAATCTCTCACGTACATCCCTAGAAATGGTTGGGCGCTCTTGCCCTCTTTTGAAGTCATTCAAATTGAACAGGCCCGAATTTTCGGTTTATGGGATCAGTGGGTTTGGTGCCTATGATGGATTTGATGATTGGAATGATGATGAGAATGGTGATGAGAATGGTGGCCCTGTGATTGATTCTTTCGGGAAAGATGATGAAGCACTTGCTATAGCAGGAACGATGAATGGTTTACACCACCTTCAACTTTTCGGGAATCGGCTCACCAATGATGGCTTGAGTAAGATTCTTGATTGTTGTCCTCATCTTGAGTCACTTGATCTGCGCCATTGTTTCAATCTTGATCTGAAGGTAGCTTTGGGAAAAAGATGTGCTGAACGAATTAAACAGTTGCGCCTTCCCAATGATTCCATTGATGACTATGAATTTCGTACTGCACCATGTGAGTATGGATTTTATAATGATTCTGAGGACTTTGACTGTGATGATGATTATCCTTATGATTTTAATGGATACTACTCGGATGATAGTGATTTCTATGATGATTTTACCAAAATTCGATTCTCTGACCTGTTTTGAATTCGAGACCGTCTCGCAGCTGAAATCTGGGAAACAGAGAGTATTGAATTTGGAGGGGAGAGTGAGAGCTGAAACTTTTTGGATTGCCCTTGTAAACTTGCTGTTTTATGAGAACAATGTCAAGTTTTCTATTTTGATCATGGAAAGTTGGTTGATTATATATATTTAGGTTTAAGAGCTTTTTATTATCATGTCCCTGGTCATTGTTGTTTAATTATTTTTATTTTTATTTTAAAGAAACAAAAAAGACAACTTGATATGAAATAATATAGTAGATGAAGGTTGAATCTAGATTTTCATTGACACCATTCAAAAAGGGGTGTATTTGAATGAAAAAGTTGCTTTGAAAGTTAGGAATCCAGTTTTGAAAGTTTTTCTATAACAAGGATTCTGGGAGAATATAGGATTTGTGCTTCTAAAAATTCATTGCTATGAAAGTCTAGGGACCAAAATGAAATATTGATCAAATTTTATAAACTATTTGGTGAAATTGTAGTTTACCTTGTATATGCGGTGACCAAACCAACGAGAACCTTTAAATAAATAAAAAAGTGAGTCCATGGCACGCCCTGTGTACAAAACAAGAAATTCACGGTCCGATCAATGTAGGCCGAGAACCATTATATTTGATCAGTCATCACTTGTTTGCCACTCTCCAAATCCTCCATTTTCCCGAGAATCCCCATTTCGAAACTTTCCCGCATAATCCCACAATCCAAACAACCAAACCAAAACTTGATGAGCAAGAAAAGAAACAAGAAAACCTGCCGCTCAAAGGGCAAACCCAAATCGAAATCCAGAACCACCCCCCACCCCCAACAACCACCACCCCCAGCCGAATTGCAAAACTGGCTGGACCTTCCCCGGGACATCACTGCTTCAATACTCTCACCTGGCGCACCGTCGACATGAGCAACAATCGTGGTTTCAACCTCTGGGCCTCCGACTTGGATAAGATGTGCCGCCACGCAGTGGATCGTGGCTGCAGTAATCTGGTCGATATCAATATCCAGCACAAGTGCACCGATGATCTTCTTTAAGTACATCACCGACAGGTATTCTATTTAATTTTTTTTATTTCTTAAAATTGGTAAACTTGGCTCAATTAATTCCATAAATAACACAACTGTTTTTTAGTGCAAGCAATTGAGGGAGGGTTGTTTATACAAATATTCATGAGGTGCTTGGTGGTTAAACCAAGTGAGCTGTGTAACTAAACTGCAGCTAACATATTCATCTTGAACCTTTGAATAGTTCGAAGGGAATCAAACGCCTCCAACTTGACAATTGCTTTAACATAACAAATGAGGGACTGAGTGAAGTGGCTTCGAAACTTCCGTTGCTGGAGGAGCTTGAAATTTCAAATAGTTTGTTGTCACATGAACCTGCTCTACAAGTGGTTGGGGCCTCTTGCCCTCGTTTGAAAGCATTCAAATTTAACGACCGCTGGTGGTACAGCTGGGATTGGCGAGAGTCTAATGACAATGCACTTGCTATAGCAGCAACGATGCACGATTTACACCACCTCCAGCTTCGTGGGAATAAGCTGACGAATGATGGCTTGCAGGCCATTCTTGATGGTTGTCCTCATCTTGAGTCGCTTGATCTCCGCGGGTGTTTCCATCTTAAACTGGGAGGAGAGTTGGGAAGAAGATGTGCTGAACGAATTAAAAAGTTGCAGCATCCTGATGATCCCATTGATAACCTTAATTTTTTTTTTATCCATTTGCATTTTCTGATATGGATGATGATGTGTATTATGAACTCTTATCTGGGAATGTGTTTTCTATGTGTTTCTATGACTATGACATGGAGTATATTATCATGTTTATTTTTATTCGTCAGAATGATTATGATGTTTATCCATGGCTTTTCTGACTTTTGATGCATTAATGGAAGACCTTGTAATTTGGATAACACCGAAGGGAAGACCAATAGACATCTGTTTTACCAGTACAGGACAGAGAAAGTAGAAATGGCGGAATACCATTTTACCAGTACCAGAAAAGAAGGTGGGAGTAGGAGGAATTGACCCAAAAAAAATGGAGGAAAACTCCAAAAACCCATTCTACCAATTTCAGTCATTCCCTCTCCAAAGGCTATAGCTCCATGTAGAAAATTAGGTCCATCTCCATATAGAAAATTTACAAAGACCCATTTGAAGGAGCTCTACCAAAAATCTAATTAAGTCATATGGCCTTATTATATAAGGTCTTTAGAAAGTTTTTATTAAAAAAACGAAGAAGAAGGCAAGCTTGCAATTTCCAGCATTTATAGCATCGCCCAACAGTAGATGCTATTCAAGCCTTAGCCTTTGAATAACATCTCCAAAATCTCCACATACATGACAGCAAACTAACAGAATTCTTGACGAAACTTGACAGTCTCATGGACGTTTTGTGATGAAAACCCTATGAAATAATATAGTGGATGAAGGTTGAAACTAGATTTTCATTGACAAGATTTAAAAGGGGTGTATTTTAATGAAAAAGTTGCTTTGAATATTAGATACTCAGTTTTGAATAACAAAGATTCTGGGAAAATAGCAGGAACGATGCACGGTTTGCGTCACCTTCAACTTGGCCAGAACCAGCTCACCAATGATGGCTTGAGGGAGATTCTTGACTCTTGTCCTCATCTCGAGTCGCTCGATCTGCGCCACTGTTTCAATCTTAATCTGGAGGGAGATTTGGGAAAAAGATGCACTGAGCAAATTAAACAATTGCGGCTTCCCAATGATTCCAGTGATGACTATGAATTTCCTGCTACGCCATATGGTTTTGCTAATTTTTGGGAGTATATTGGCTCTAATGATTGTGAGGATCCTAATTGTTATGATGATCTTAATGATTACACGTATGAGGCTTATAATGACCAAGGCTTCTCAGATGAGAGTGATTTCTAGGATGATTTAACAATTGCGGCTTCCCGAAGATTCCATCGATGGCTACAAATTTCTTGATGCAGTAGCCAATGACTACGAATTTCCTTATGGATTAACTGATGCTGGTCGTGACTGCAAGGACTGTGACTGTTCTGCTTGATCTGGCGAATTTAATTATGATTCTAATGGAAACTACTCGGATGATAGTGATTTCTGTGAAATTGGATTTTCATTGACAACATTCAAAACGGATGTATTTTTTATGAAAAAAAAGTTGCTTTGGATATTAGAAATCAGTTTTCAAAGTATTAAAAGTTGCTAACAAAGATTCTGGGAAAAGATAGGATTTGTGCTTCTAATTTCATTTTTATGAAAGTCTAGGGACCAAAATTAAATTGTGATCAAAATTGATGGACCGGACCATTCGGGGAAATTGTTGTTTTCCTTCTATATGCTCCGTTGCCGCCAAAAAGAAGCTTCAAAAACGTCTTCGGCCCAATGTAGGCCCACACCAACCAGACCCAGAAGTCTTCGTGCAGCCCAAAACTTCATATTCCATAAGTTGTTCCGAGGCTATGGTGAATCAGAAAAACTTTGTATGAATCGGGGATAATATTGTTTTGCTATTTTTGGCCAATCACATATTTCCACGTGACATAACACAATTGGTCAAAAATAGTAAAATAGTGTTATCCCTTTTTCATGTAAGTGTTTCTCCTAGTGAGGGATTATAATGATGATTAACTTTGTATAATTTTCATTTTGTTGGGTACAAAAGAGTTGAAACAGAATATAATATGGTGAAGAAGAAAAAAATGATAATGGACAATAAAAAGGCAAAAATAGTCTTGTCTCCTCTATCCATTTATTGGAATTTTAATAGCACTTCGATTAAATAAAATACTAAATTAAATCCCTTCATTATGACTCCTCAATATAACCTCTCAATAATTTTTTATTTCTCACTACTTCCCCACTCTCCACCGCAAAACCTACCTCCATTTTCTTGAGAATCTTCATCTTGAAACTTCTCCAAACAATCTATGAAATAAACCAAACCTAGTGAGTTACGCCAGTTAGTTATAATAGGACCCGACTCAAATTTCACTTTGGAATCTGTGTCGAACCCAGTGCGTGACCAACACCTGACAAGTATCGGCACAATTGTCCAAAATACCCCTTCTTGCCCTAATCCAAAAACTACTTTAGGATTTGACTTCTATCGGAAAACCGACGGAGTCTCCCCTGAAAAACGGACATTTACCAAATTATTTTCACTTGTAAAAATCACAGTTTAATATCTTCCAACTCAGCATGCACAACGCTAACACACACTTTACTAGATGGGCCTCCAGCCTCAAATTCAACCTTACAAGGGCAATATCAACGTAATTTACGAATTTGTTTCTTACTTTACAAAAAGCCACAAATTCTAAAGCATAACTCAACCGTTTATTTTGCGGCTGCACCTAGGTTGTCTACGTACCCTTACTGAGGGATCAAGCCACACGTAGTTCTTTCAACACGAAAGCAAATTTCAACCCACGTGTAAGCACATAAATCAAATATTTCTTCACACTTTCCCAAAACCCAAAACCTTCAAATTCTAATCAATCCACTGAAACTTAAGCAAAAGATATTGATTTTAGAATAATCTTCCACTCATCACATAGAGTTATTATATTTATATGTATATATATATAATAACTCATTACAAATAAGTAGGAAAACGAGAAAATTATTAAAATAACATTGGCCACATAAAACCTTAATATCACTATCAATGGTTTGAATAAAACATGCTTCCATCTTTCATATGTAAAAACAAACTCATCACTTAAGAAAATAGTTGTGAATTGTATAAAATCCTTAAAACTTAGAAAACCATCCATTCTTATCTCATACATCGGAAAACATGTATTAAAGATTTTACCAATAAGTACCAAGATAAAATCATCAATTTTAGTTTAAAACATCTCAAAACTCAAATACTCTCCACCTAGGAGTACCCTCATTCACATTCCGTCAATTTCAAGTACCATGTATGTTACAACCTTGCATAACTCAAGGGACGTGTGGTCAGCCCAAGAACACATATCCTTGCAGAACTCAGGGGACACGTAGTCAGCCTGAGAACGCATATCCTCGCAACACACGATTCAGGCGTCCCTGAGACTCGTGGGGCATTATTATAAATGACTAGGCTGTTATTAGCCATTTGCCATGGAAAAATTTACTTTTCATTATAAATGCATAAGTTGTATTGTTTTTGCATTACTCTTGTATGCAATTTTTGTAAATTTTGTTTCTTTTAGGAAATTTGATGATGGGTTTCCCAAAATATTCATATCCAACGCTCATGGCAATTGAGGACACCATGATGCCTTTCTGGCCTCGTTTAGTTCCCCATCAATGATTTTTAAGCAGTTCTCTGTGATTTATGCATTGCTCATATTGTCGTCTCCTCGTTCACGCCTGTCCTTCCCTTTTTTCCCATTATGATTTTTGATATCTGCGTGTGTATTTATTCTAAAGCTGTATATTGCATCTCTCTAGTTGTAGAATTCATCTATAAGCAAATCCGATTTAAGTAGTTCATTTGTTTTCATTTATTTAAAACTTGAAAAAAAAGCGTCTTATCTGATTGTTGGTTGCTCATTGTTTTGAAGTTACATGTATCGAGGACTATACACAACACTCAGTTTCTGAATCTATTAGAGCGGTTCCACCGCTGCAGCCCAGCCCAAGGCTAGGGGGGAAAAAAAAATGGCTTTCCAGCGGAGCAGCCCAGGCCCGGGGGGGGTGTGGGACCCACCTCCTCGGGCTGGCCCGAAGGCAAGTCTTACCCGAGGTCCAAAACGAGGGGGGTACTGTAGCGCTACAGTATCTGCTACAGTAACGCTACAGTACTGATACAGTACCCCCGCTACAGTATGGCTACAGTACTTTGCTGATTTGATTTTTTTTCTTGTTGCCACGTGGCGTCGTCTGGGCTCTCCGATCTGATTTTTTCCTTCAATCCAACGGCAGCCAATTTTTTGCAATAAAATACTGGAAAAAATTCGGAAAATTTTTTAAAAAATACCCAAAAATTAATGAATTTTTTTTCTATAAATACCAGCCTTTTTTTTTATAATTTATCTGAAATTTGAAATTGAAAATTTTATCCGATTATGAGATATGAATAGTATTGACACGTAGGAACCCGAAAATCTTATCCGAAAATATTATCCAAATTAATTATTGAGGTAAAAAAAATTGTGAATAAAACAAAAAAATGAATAGTAACTGCCCTTAGCAAGGGCAACGGGTGGAAACACAAAATTTGGATTTTGCAAGGGCAACCACTATTCACGTGAATAGTAGCTGCCCTAGCTCCCCCCCTTGCCATGGCTAAGGGCAAATGGGTGGAGTTGCTCTTACATAAAGATTTTTTTTAGATGTCACATCCCAGGTGCTTGATTTAGGCAAAATTAAGGCTCATTTGATATTTAATTTCCCACATAATGATGTTGGTGCTTGTTAATATTATTCATTGCCTTCTTGCTTTGTTCTGTTTCTTAATTGATGATATATCCAAACTTTTGGGTGAGCGATAGTTGTTTAAAGTTGGGTCAACAATAGTTGTAGTGTATGTTGTGGTTGGCTTATCTGCTGGTTTTTATTTTGTTGAAGTGTATAGAAATCTTTCAGTGAAGGGGTACGCAGAAATGGTTGGATTCTTCTTATTACTTGATCTTACACCTGAGTTTTGGGGTGTGACAATGGTTACTTATGAGTGAGTTAGATTTGGGTCTGTCTTAGGTGGAAATGATTTATTAATTTGGAGCTGGGGTGTCATGGGTTGATGTGCCTGGGATGGGATAGAAACTTAGCAAAGAGGGGTATGAAAAGAGGTACAGACCATGCAAGAAGCACTTGAAGAGCAAAGGGTGCAAAATGAAGAGCAGAGGAAGAAAAATGAGCAACCTGAAATGGGGATGCCGAGGCTTGGTGCAGAGCAAGTATACTGGACTATTTCATCCAAAATTCTTTTTTATTATTATAAATTATTAAATAGAAATCAATATTGAAAGTGCACTTTTTTCTAAAAACTAATATAGGTGAACGGGGACTGATGGCTTTAACTGTATTATATAAATAATATTATTAATGAGTTAATGATAGAATGAGGGCTGATACCCAACGTGAATAGTACAAGATGGCTAACTCATGCGATTGATACGTCCCTATTTTAAAAGAAACCATTCCAATAGGGAAGGACTAACTCACTAAATGGTACCCTATAACCAATAGCAGCGCCAAACTAGGACACTGATACAACAATGGTGGCTGCATGGTCTCTATTGCTAGTGCAGACAAATAATTTTCTCAAAAATCAACTTAGGGGGGGACAAATCAAAATCAGTAGGTAGTGTGAGTCTTTTTAGTAGTAATTCCAACAAAGTTCCCCACCACCATTGTTGTCACCTTGATAATGATCAAACCCACGATTATCACTCTCGAAATTTAGGCTTGGATTATACAAGAAGTCTTTGGATTCCGATATTGGTTGGAAAGAGACACATTCCGATTTACCCTCTTCCAAAATTTTGTCCCAGAAAGATGTGTTGTTGTCGCCGCCGTCGGTTTTGTTGTTTAGACGATCACACTCAAAATTTGGGGTTGAATTAAACAAGACGTCTTCAGAATTTGCTAGTTGATGAGTCTTATCATATTCCAAAATTCTGTCCCAAAAAGTTCCATCATCGTCATTGTTGTTGTCATGTTGATCAGTAAAAACATTACAATTACTCTCCAAATTTTGGGTTGAATTATGCAAGACCTCTTCGGATTTCGAAATTGGTTGCATCAAGGCACATTGCGCTTTACCATCCTCCCAATCTTTGCACCAAGAAGATCCCTCTCCCCCATTGATGTTACCATGATGAGTATCAAACACATTACGATCACTCTCGAAATTTAGTGTTAAATCATACAAAACGTCTTCAGATTTCAGTATTGGTTCCATCAGAACACCTTCTGTGTAACCATCTTTCAAAATCTCATCCCAAAACCACCTGTCATCGTGGCCGCTGCGGACACCATTGTTTTTGTTCCCAAGACGGTGATCATGTTCACTATCAAGCCTTAGGGTTGAACTAGAACACATGTCTTTATGCCTTGAAATTGGTTCCACCCATACACTATCCTCAAAACTTAGGTTTGATGGTGAGGTCGAGACACATTTTGCCTTACCCTTCTCCAAAACATGTGAACCTTTCATCCCCTTGTCAGTATAGTCCTGAAGAAGCACCAAGTATTTGTCTCTCAACGAAAACATGTCCTTAACTGTTCGACATGATTTCACCTCCTCCGCAAGCTGTCCTTGAACCTCATTATCTTGTTCCTCTTTCTTCCTCTTCTTCTGTTGTCTGACCTTGAAATCAATGGCATTAGTAGGTGCCTGGTCTGATTGCATGAAGCGGTCGAGGATGGTGTCGAGGGAAGGGTTGTCCGGGGACCAGTAAGGCCTGCCTGCTGCAGAGAGCACAACAATGCCGATTTCTGCTTCAAACTTTTTGCAGAAGTCTTTACCCTTGCTAACCAGGCCACTGCGCCTCTTTGAGAAGCTCACGTACCTTCTGTTTTTATATAGCTTCGCTTCTTTCTGCTCCATTGTCAATTCTAAAGCTTTTCTCTTCATCTTGTTACTGTGCTTATAGAGAGGTGCTTTAGGTTAACAAAAAATATATTTAGCTGATGAACCATTAATAAGTGTGTATATATAGTTTGTGATTTTGTTAACCTCGTTGCCTCAGGAAGGTTTGGGTGAAAGGCAAACAGGGAAATAGAACAGGAAAGTCAATAAAGTTTTTCTAAGTAGACTAGGTACATAAATAATTAAATAATGAAATACCCAAAAAAAAAAAGGAAATAGATTTTAGAAAATTAAATATAATATTAATACCTGCTTGCCAAAGGAATCAAAACCCAAGGCATTACCTGTACGTGTGACGTGTCATTCTCAACCAATCCAATCCAATCCAATCCAAGTTAAATCCGAAAAGAAAAAAAAACCCTCAACCAATGCAATCCAACTGAAGCACAAACCAAGTCAAAAACCTATCAACTCCATCTCATTAATTTGACCTCAAATCAATAATGGCAGCAGAGCAGAGAGAGCAGAGCTCATAGGCCGTAAGCACCATGTGCCACAGAGGCAGGCCTATAAATTTGCTCGGAAATCAAAAGTATCCCACTGACAGAGTTTAACAGCCTTGATTAGCTCAAACTGAGAGCCTAAACACTAACCACTAGGGGTATAATAGTCTTTCCATCTAATGTCCCTTACATGCAGGGCACAAGTTACGGTGCATGCTCACCTCACGTGACCCTCTTTTCTTTCCCCACGATTCAAACACGCGGGCAGTGAAGCGATCGACGCCGAATCGGGCAGAGGCAGAGGCTGAGCCACCAATGGGATTTGTTGCCTTGCCTTTCTTCTTCCCTATATCGACACCAGTCGTGGGACCCACTTCCACTCAGACTCGAGAGTCTGATTGATTGATTGATTCATCTTACGCTTACGCATACCTCATCACTCACTCTCCCCCTATTGACTTACTAGACCTGGATTCGTACGGCAAAGATCTCACATGACACTCCATGTTCTTTACGCCCATTCACCAGCCTCCACGTGTACTTCGTGTCGGTCACGTGTAACCACACACACACAAAATATAATTATTTCGAAAATATTTTAAAATAGTTTTCTTACGCTAATAATTTGGCGAATATAAGTGAACCAAAATTCGAATAATTAAACGTCACCGCATAATTTGACTACAAATGTAGTGATCAATATGCAAGGCCGAAACCATCCTTAGATTAGGGTAGGGTTTATCCCAATCCAGTGTAATCTTAAGACATAGTGAAACTTAGTGCTAATTTGTTGGAAATTCACTCAACTTATGTTGTGTTTACTAATCGGGAATAAGAATTCTCATCAGGAATTGAATTCCACTTATAGAGGATTTCTGCGTTTACTTAACATCAAAGAATTGAAAAGTTCTTTGATGTGAAGGACTCACACAAAATTAGGAATTGAATTCTAGATTTTAGAGGATTTCAATTGTTGGGTGGGAGGTGATATTCTAATTCATGGAGAACTAACCTATTAGGAATTCATCTTTTTTATCCATTATATCCTCACATAATTTTTAAAATTCCAAATTTGTCATATACTTTAACCAAATAACAAGGATATTAGAACCATTGCAACCTCAATTCCATGTGGTTTAGTAAACAACTTCAATAGGAATTTGGAATCTAACTCCCCTCAATCTATATGGTTTATTAAACAACTTCAATAGGAATCCGGAATTTAATTCTCCTCAATCCAACTCCTCCTCAATTCAATTTATCCTCAATTCAATTCCTCATAATCCAATTACGGATTAATAAACATGTCATTAGTGAAATTTAGTCCATCTAACCTTAGCAAAAATTGATTTACTCCATCTAAGCAGCTTCCAAGAAAACGTCAATGAGTGACTCACATATAAACAAAGGCAAAAATAAATTGATAGCCGACTCATGTTCTCTAATTATGCCCTTGATCATATGGTTCATCTCATTACAAATATAAAGAAATGAAAAGGGCAGGGCATTATATATAAGACAAAATAATGTGATGAAATTAATCTCATCATAATCACTTTGAAGAAATAGTCATCAATCAAAGGGGTCTAGTCCGGTGGAAAGGGACATTGGCTTGCAGACTAATAGTCTTAGCTTTGCACCCTTATGACACTATGGTAGCATATGTGAGAGAAAAATCCCTCTCTCTTATAATTTAGAGTATTACGTGTACTAAAAAACAATTAAATAAATAGAATCATCAATCTTTTTCCCCAAATAAGCACAATAATTTAGTTGCATGTTCGGTGAAGATGTTCAAGGCTTCAGAGCTGGCCCATAAGATTTAATACATGCTCTGATGTAGCTGGCAATTTTGCTTTCGCAACATCATCTCTCAACTGGCATTTTCTCCCTCTCTTCTCTCTCTCTCTCTAAAGTGGTCGATGACAAAACCTAAATTTTGCTCTTAACCCAACATTTATAAATTATTGCATGAGCAACAATAATATGTTGACATTAGTTTGATTATACTATTCTTTAAAAAGTCGAAAAGTCAAACCATTTAATATTCCTAGACGATTACCTAGTTGGCTCCTTTTTTAAAAAAATAAAAAAAAAATGTTCCATTTAAATTTTATATATATAGTTATTCTCTTATTTAGATGTCTGCATGTTATTATTGTGATAATGTCATTGTAAACATGGAGAAAATCAAGGAGGGAAAGTTCGGATGTCTTCACGTTTATTTTGCCAACTAGTTTTAACTTTCCAATACTAGTTAGATAGAGGTCACTTCCCAATTCCCATTACCTTTGATGGAAAGACAACCATAACAATCCATCTTCTAGCTAATCATAAAACTACACACCTAGCTAGCTATGACCATCCAATCACTCATTTTTTAGTTAGGGTTACTTTTCCAAATCACTTAATTTAATATCTTGTTTAATTATAATTCTAATCTCTATTAAATCAAGTTCAAAATCATTTTCTACGTGCCATGTGGTTTTAGTTTCGAGTTTTGATACATGAAAGGTACGTAGTGTGAGTGAGGGGTCATGCATGCTCATGCACAAGAAACCTTGCATGAGATTTGAGGACTTGTCACGTGGCAGGCATGTTGTCGAGACACGTGGTATAGTTTCATTGGGTAGGTGAAGCATCTGTGGGTATATTTTGTTTTGTTTTGGCTTTTCTATTTTTGTATTCTTTTTCTTTTTGGGTGAGTAATTTGTTTGTTTTGTTTTGGTTTTGGACAAGGAAGGGACAGGAACTTTTAATAGCTGGTAGGGCTGCCTGGTTGGCAGGGGGTCGCATGGACAAATCCCATGTGTCGTCAATGGGCTACTGGGCCTATTGGGCTTTCCCTCCCCCACAGGCCCACCAAAACTTCTGTCCAATATTCCATCGGTACTCCCGTACTCATGGAGCAATCCACACCGTCCGATTCAATACACGTGTATTGATCGGTAAAGTGGATTTCTCGGCTGGTATACCTCTATAATATTACAACCTCGGGAAATGCAAAGACTCTTGCGCTTTTTGAGCATTGATTTCACCTAAATTATTTTTGTCCATTGATTTAAAGTTTGAGCCAAATTAAAAAAGAATAAAAATTTAAGGAAGGGTAGACTAATCTGAGCCGTTAATTTTCGGGTTGTGACCCCACACCATGCTTATTGTCCGCTGTCTAGTGTCGACGCGGCGCATCAGGCTGCCTCTCTTTAGTTAGTTATTTGCACATATGCCTTTTCTTATTTTTTGTTTTTTGTTTTTGGTTTTTAAGGACAATCGTTTACAATAACTTTTTGTAAACTTCAACCAAATTTTTCACCAATTTGGAATAATGTTATCATATGTATGTTCAAATTGTGGAGGAGATAAACTTTACATATAATGGAGTGATGGGACAATTGCATCTATAACGTCCGTTGCATATATATTTAATTTTCTTTCTCAATGATACGTAAGATGTGAACAAGAATAAAAGGCAAAAAGAAGTTATGGTTCTTCACTATAAACACAATTGTCCCACCACTCGGGTACGTAAGTTTTTCTTGACCCGGATGAAGAGTGGGAGGTGGTGGGAAGTTGTGGTTGGTTTGAAAGTCTAATCCAAGAGTGAAATTATTATATGGCATATGCTATGTTTATATTTTAAGTTGAGATGACAGTAGGTCCGGGATGCTCTCTCTTTGTAGTAGGTTTAGGGTGCTTGATGATGGTTTATTTGGTGTATGAATTGATTAAACAAATGTGAGATGCGTGACATCAGAGAAACAAATGCCAGATGCTTAAATTAACCAGAATAATAAACATTTGAATATACATTCACAAAACCTTTCAAGGAGCCAAAATAAACACATGCAATAATAACTTACAGCCCATATTCCGTTTTGTTAATACCATATAGCATGTAGTTTTCTTTCCCTATAAACAAATGAACCGACCTTGGACTTTAGCCATAACCATGGAATTCGAAGCACGCAGTTTTCTTCTGCTTTTCCTAAACCTTCTAGATAAATTATGTAATCAATAATAATAATAATAATAATAATAATAATAATAATAATAATAACGAGAATGATAAAAGTAAAAAGAAAAGTGTTTCCCAGGATCAATCATGGATATTGGCTTTTCAAAATATAGTAATATTTAGGATCCTACTTGCCTTTGTTCTACATCTACTATAGCAACCTACGTGTACATAATGACACCGTAGCAATACAGCTTTTTTCTCATATTCTCAGATATTTACCTATTTATAAGAAAATAATAAAAACAAAAGACAGCTCGAATATACACAACTGTCACCCGTCAGTAACAAAATCTGGCAGGACTGTCTCAACACGTGGCGAACATCACGCCGTTGCTTCTCAGAAGTACTCGAACGCCGTAGATTGCCTCGTATTTCTATTTTTATCAGTCTTCTTGGCCTGGTAAGACGGCGTCGTGTTTTGCCTTCGTATTAGGCCCGGGATCATCGGCGGCGTGAGGGACCGTACCAACGCCAAGTTGATGCCCTTAAAGAACGGATGCTTCTTGACGTCAGCCGCTCCGCGCTTCGACCCGAGCCGGCGCTCCGGGTCCTTGTTGAGGAACCCGGAAATGAGGTCACGCGCGTGGCCTTCGAGCGCGCTCGAGGGCGTGGGGGTCGGGAACGCAAGGGGCTTTTTCACGATGTTGCGCAGGGTGTTCTCGTTCGATGGAGCCGCGAACGGCGTGCGGCCGTAGATCAACTCGTAGAGGAAGATCCCGAAAGCCCACCAGTCAACGGCGTTTCCGTGGGAACTGCCGGAGGCGACTTCCGGTGACACGTACTCGTGGGTACCGACGAAGGAACGTGACCTGGCGGCGACCGGTTCGGCGACGAAAAGCCGGTTCGGGGAGAGGGTCTGGACTTTGCGCGAGCGGAACAGCCGGGTCGAGAGGCAGGAGAATGGGGTGAGTGCTCTGGTTTGCTGCGGGCGGGTGTAGGATGGAGTAGATAGGGACCTCGAGTCAGAGTAGGAGTCGGGAGATTCAACGGCTGGGATTGCGTCTGAGCAGAGGGAGAGGTCAAAGTCGGAGAGCATGATGTGACCGTCCGATCTGACCAGCACGTTCTCGGGTTTTAGGTCCCTGTAGATGATTCCCAACATGTGGAGGTATTCCAAGGCCACCAGAACCTCCGCAGCATAAAACCTGGAAAGTTTTGACGAAATATCCGAGTTAGACCGGGTTGACTCATTCGAGTTGAAACAAAAATTTAGCACCAAATTTTTCGATTCAAAAAACATAAACAAAATCTGGATTGAAGACGACTTTGCAGAGAGATAAAGCAGACAAGATAAGAACATCTCATGATCTTATCTGGGCCTTGTAAGCACAAGAATACAAAAAACCAGAAATTAGAGGCCATATTTAAATTTGTTTTTATTCGTTTTTCGAAAATTTAAAAAAAAAATGAAGAGAAAAAAAAAGAAAATGATGCAATGTCATAGTATCTGAGAAAAATGGAGGAATATTCAGAAATTTCAAATTGAATGTACCTAGCCGAGGTGGGAGAGAAGCGCTTGTTAGGCTGCTTATGGCGGAGAGAGTGCAAGTCGCCGCCGGAACAGTACTCCATGACGATGCAAGAGAAATGCGAGGCTTCGAACTCGGCGTAGAGCGTAGGCAAGAACGGGTGGTCGAGCATCTTGAGTATTTTTCTCTCCATCTCGGCTCTGTGGACCTTCTTCTTCAGCGCCAGAGCCTCCTTGTCGACGACTTTCATGGCGTAAAAGCACGAGGAAGACGAAGAAGACTCGCTATCCTGATCGGCAGGACTAGAACCGGTGCCTCTGAGGGTGCAGAGGTAGACGGTACCGATGTCGCCGGCGCCGATGCGGCGGAGGAGGCGGAAGTCGCGGAAAGTGGGGGCGGTTTTCTTGGAGCGAATGGCTGAGTAGGCGAAGTCGGAGGAGCGGTGGGGCTTGAGGCACAAGGTTTCGGTTGCGAAGTCGGCGGCGGTGGTGGTGGCGGCAGCGTCGAAGGAGAGGCGGCTGAAGCTGCTACAGCTCTCGCTGCTCATTGAGCTGTGGCTCGAGTTCACGACTTCACCGTCCGAGTCACGCTCTAACATCTTACAAAATGAACTCAATTTTCTCGAGACAGAGAAATCTTTTTTATATATCTGTGGAAGAATCAAAGGGACTGTTAGGAGAATCGGATGCTAAGAAAATTGAAAATTCTTGGGGAATTTTTCCGGTGCGGAAAATGAAATTTAATTCAAAGAACTTGGAAAAGGCTTGGTGTTCAGGTCAAAGTTTGAGGCCTGAAGCTTCAATTGGAGCGACGCCATTAATGGAGCTCCAAACTTTTGCAGAGAGAGGGAAAGAGAGAGAGTGTGCTTTCAATGCGAATTTTGAACGTAGGAGCAGGCTTTTTCAGGTCGGGCCTCAAAATTAGGGTTTGTACTCACAGCAAAGCAATAAGAGAGAGAGAGAGAGGTGCTCTGTGGCGTGGTTGCTCCCCACGCTACTCAGTTTGTTTTGAGTCTTTGAGAGAGAGTGAGAGGTAGTTGGAGGTATTTATGCTACGCATTAATGAAGTACGCGGTAAAACGGTAACTTTCTCTGGGGTCCCGGTAAAAATGCCAAGTTGGGCACGTGCGGGAATGGTGCACGTGGAGTTAGGAAAGTTACCGCGCGTGCGGGTTTCACTGCTGGTGCAGTGCAGGGGAGGAGAGGAAGCTTGTGGCTCTGTATTTGTTGAAGTGACGGAAATGCCCCTGTATGGAATTGTTGACTGCAACCGTCAACTCTTATGATATCTGCGGAATCTTTGATCTGCGTGAGCTGAGTGTTCAGAAGTTTCAGCTGGGGAGATGGAAAAGAGAAATTAAGGGAAAATTTAGGCTGTAAAAGTATTTAAGTAAAATAAAATGTACATTAGCACCACGAAGGCGAAGAGTCATGTTCATGCATGCTTATACTTACTCTGATTCCAAATTAACTTTCATATGATCTAGAGATACAATCCAAACACGACACGATTAATAAATATGTCTAGAGTTAGGATAAACTCATTTGACGAATTCAAATGTATACCATTTTATCCGGCTCGAATTTGGATTTGAAATAGCAAGATTGAACATGACATGACACGAATGCTACCCATGCTGAAAACAACGGAGGGGGCAGCATAGGGGAATAGCAATTCATGTACGGAGGAGTGGGCCAAGAAAGGTATCAACTTGAGCTGCTGATCATCCCTTTCAATTTGGCAAGCTTTCAAATCCAAGCACCATATTTGGTGTTGCATGAGATTCTGCAAACGTGTATCATTCTTCAGCCTAGTCTTTCGTTAACGATATCTTAAAATCTTTACCAAGCATTTGAATTTCTCTCCACTGTTTTCGTGGCCCACGTGCCGGCCGCATGCCTTTGTTGTGTTTTTGGGTAAACTTCTCTCCTCACCATTATCATGCTAGTATATAGATAGAATCGAATGGTTTGTATGATTTGTGTAAAGAAAACTAATTTATTTTCATTTTTTATAATAACAGTAAAATTTCATTGAGGTTTTGGGAAACGTACAATAATTGAGAGTCTTTGACGGGAGAAGTGACTTGCAAGTATTTAAATACCCCTTGGCTGCATCCTGCAGCCTTCTAGTAGTAATTTCAAATGTTATTCTTCTTCTAATCCTTTCAAGCAGTGGCGTAGTCAAAAATTTTCTTAAGAATGGTCAATATTATTAGCCTAAGAAAGCCGTGAACATTAACATAATTTTTTTGTTTATATATTGTATAATTTAATAGTTATCTTCCAAAATCATAACCCACATCCCACAATAAATTACAAAGAAATAATTTGACACGAATCAAATCAAAATACATTGCTTAAAAGAGATTTGAATAGTTAGTATTGAGAGATTTACTTGACTAATGGTCGATTCAATAACAAAAATTGTAAGAGAACTCAATAAATGAAATAATAGAAAGATTGAAGTTAAAAATGAAAAATGGCGTAAAGATAAATATAGGAAAAACTATAGAAGTAAAGAATAACAATTAACTAGAGTCAGAAAGTTAGAAGGGTCATTTATAAAAGAAACGCAAGAAAATCAAATATAATACATAACAAATGCATTTTTTGCACAAATTGGACGAGGGTCAACTGACCCTTATGGGCCTCAACTGGCTCTGTCATTGCTTTTAAGATGGACTATTTGAGGTCAAAGAATTTGAATTCGAAGGAATCCTATTCCATTCTCATGGTTTACATAACATTTTCAAACGACGAGTTAAATAGTGTGATCGTGTATGTATAAACTATGTTTATATTTTAAATAACGCGTGTCATAACATGAGCAAATTGATACCACTGCGTATATCAAACTATATGCTAATAATTGAACACGAGGGTATCAAAGATGATGAGCACAAAATATGGCAGCGACAGATTACACAGTTGAGATGCTCTTTACATTAATTGGCATGATTCTGCTGCTGCACAGGGACAGGCAGATGGAATTTTCCAACTTACCATTGGCAATAAAAATTAAATTGGGTTACACTATTTCGAGTTTTTGATTATGACGTGGGAGAGCAGAATGCGTGTAGGGTTTTAAATGAACAACAAATCCCATGTGCACGCCTTCAAATATCTCTCGAGTTTGATCACAGAAGCTGAAGGCAATGCAACTTGCAATGCAAGCAGCAAGAAGGAGACAGATTTAGATTGACACTACAAATTCCACATGGCCTAAAAAAAACATTTGATGCATGACATGTCAGCAAGATTGGAAGCAAGAGAAGGGAGATGGTGCCACTGTTGGAGATGATTGATTGGTGGGTCCCAATTCGGAAAGAACAAGACCCTTAAAAGGGTACATGATTTTTAGATTATTTCATACTCAAAATTCATTCACACTTTTGGAGAGAGAAGTAGATTGAGAGGAAATTGATGAGATGAGTGAGAGGAAAAAAGGGCCCCATGATGGGTTTGCATGGAAACTAAGTGTTCTGGAAAAGACCAGCAAAAAGTGCAGCAAGTGGGGATTGTTTTTTGCATTTTGAGAGGCTTTTTTTTCTTCTCCAAAAGTGCATCCCAGAAACCCACATATTATGTGGTTTTGTTTGTGTTTAGCTCTATTATAAGTTAACAAACTTGAACCCCAAAATTATAGAACCAAACTTTATCTGTTCACTCACATGAACACATGATCACACATGAACACCAACCCCAATAAGAGAAATGGTACTTAAATCAATCATCTTCCATGGTGATGGTGGAGACCATATGTTGTTAGTCTCTGATATATGATTGATTAACCGAGTACTTGATATTAACTTTTGAATAATTTCACATGATATGAACACGACAAAAACACGAGAGAAGTATAGACGCCACACGAGTTTAAATAGTATAAATTGTAATTCAACAAAGATACATCTATTAAGAATGTGATAGCTTTATCTTAATTTGAGGAATTAGCTACCTCATAAGCTAACAGCCACTAGCTAGCTAGCTAGCGAACTTTATCTTAAATAGTCTTGACGAAGAAAAACAAATAATTGGAAAGCTTTGGAGTCACTCGAGAGATAGACAAAATGATCAACTGGTGGAATATTCGATGTATAATAGAGGAAATTATGCACCATAATTAAACATGTAAATCAGTGACCACCACAAGTGGCTAATCCCGCTTTGGAGATCTTGTGGGCCCAAATTTTTTTTTAACTTTTTTCTTCAATAAGAAACCAAATTTTTAACTCCGTCGTTGTCTTTTACTGCCTCTGGTATCTTTATGTTAATAATAATTATTTGGATTCACTTGATCATTTAAAGCTTAAACCAGAAGTAATCAGTGAGATTACAAGATCACCTTTTTTTGATTCACAAAGATCTTCCAATCCAAGACAACTCTACTCTACTTCACTCGATTTGTACTATATGCATATTCTTTTCGAATGTATCATCAATTTCACAGTTGATGCCCTTTCCTTCTTAAGGGAACAAGAAGACAAAATCCAATATTCACATGATATATTTATAATTTTCGTATCACGATTCACGTTTCGCTTATGTACATCTTATGTGACGGATACATTGGTGCTGATATTTGTATACCAACCATCTCCTTAATGTTTTGCTCAACTCTCGCACAGGTCAAAATTAACGTGAGATTTATGATAGAGTTGGAAAAACAACTTTACAAGACTGCAAATCAACACTAATTAATTGGAACCAATATAAATTTTTATGATTCAACTTGTAATTGAGTCGAAACTCATCAATAAAAATCAAAACTATCTAGTTTGGAACAGACCTAAAAAGTATAAAGCGAACAACTAGCCGCAACCATCACATTCAAGCTTTTGATCATTATCCACAGAAAATAAATAAGTTATAGGAGAACTTTTCAATGTATTGAAGAAAGGCTCATGGAAAAGCTCACCTAATCTCTCCCAACGATCATACGTAGTTTCTTCACGACATTTCCATTACAAATAATTATATAATTTTACAAAAAAGTTGCATGATACATAAGAAATGCATGCATATTGCATTAAAATACAGAGATTATGCTTTTCACATCAAACCCCCCTATAAGTTTAATACGTGTAAGGAATGCGTGTTGAATAAAATATTCAATTCATCATGTATAAATGCATGAAATGTAGGAGAGATTATCGATGTCGTACTATCGTAGTATTTTATAATTTCTCGAAATGTAGGGGATAGAAAAATGCAACAATGATAATGGAAAATTAGGCATATAAATTAATGAAAAATGACCATTTCAAGGAAGCACAGCAGGCACAGTGAACAAGCTGCCAATATTCCCGCTGTTTTGATAGGCCGACAAACGGGCAAAATATGTCACACAGACACATTCTTCCTCAACACAGCACATAAACAAACTTGTATTAGGTGAAAATTATGACACCAATTTAATATTAATCTGACTTTTGGGGACAAATATTATATTGAGTTAATTTAATAATAAAATATTTTAAAAATAGATTAAACCCTAATTTGTGTGTGGTACATAATGGCTGTATCAAGAACAACCCAAAAATAGAAGAAGAAAAAAATATATTAGGGTTTGGAATCCGAGTCATCTGTTTAATTTTCTTGGTGCCATCACACCTGATGTTCCCGAAGCTGTTGACGATGCTTCTGTGTCTGCTTGATCTGCTGATAAACTAATAAGTGGTTGCTCATCTAACCGCTAGATTGTGTCCCCACTGTCTAATATTTTATACGTATTTGGATCTTAGTTTATGCAAGTTTTTCATTTATTTCTTTATTTATTGTTGGTTTGGATTTTAATATGATTTATATGTGAAGCCATTTGCTGCTAGCGATTTGGTTCAGGTTCTACTAAATGTTGAGGAGCCCAGACAGGATCAAACTGGTCACTGGTCAACCTTATTTATATATAATCTCAACTTTTCTGTGTAGTTAAGTTCTTGAATGAATGCATTCTACTTTTGTTTCTCTTACGGGTGGGTCCTACGTATTAATTTTTACGAGAGGAACGGTTATATGATGAGAGAGATAAATATATACATGACGAGTTTTATACATAAAGTTTAATTTTAGAGAGGTTTCGCATTTACTAGCAAAAATCATGTGCAGAAACAAGATTTTTCTGTGATCCCAAATCTGCAGGTCATTGTGTCTCCTTGCTAAAATTTAAGAGAGGATTGCATCTACTAGGAAGAATCATGCAGAAACAAGATTTTTCTGTGACTCCAGGTTATTCTGTCCCCTAGCTTTTTTTTATTTGGTTTCCTTTTTTCTGTTTTTTTCCCCTTGAGAATTGTGAATGGTCTGCGTCTGATAACAATGGTTCCAAAACTCTAAAGGAGAGCCACTAAATTCATTTCAAACATCTTTTCAGCCAGTACATGATCAAACTTTGTAGTATATGTTGTTGGTTACCAACAAAAGGTAAAAACAGAATATTTCTAGCTCATAAGTCGATCGCATCTGTAAACATCAAAATCTAAGTTGTAAATGACTTAGAAAAATGAGTTTCCTTGATACGCATAATATATGCTTAATTAGGATTCTCACCTAAATTTTAACTTATAATTCCAAATTTAGAACAACTTTCGTACAACATGATGTTATTATGTAATGGTATTCCAACTCAATCACGGCAATGCATGATTGACTTCGAATGCCACTATGATGGCATGTCCGACATAAGTAAGTTATTCTCATTCTGAATAGTTAAAGAGTACGCTGCTGATTATATATGCCAACTATAATTTCCTGATGAATAATGTTGAATTAATGTAGCTACATTATTGTTTGTGAATCCTGTATAATTTATGTAGGAGGAAGTCGGCACAATAGGCCAAGTTCAGAATAATTTGTACCCATAAGGAGAAGGAGATTCACATAAATTGGATGCTTCACCATTTGCTGGATACCAACATGGACACATACTAAGGCCTACGGCCTGGGAAAAAAGTAGTACATTTAGGTGGTCCAACCCTTTATAATTTAGATGGTGCTACTCTGTAAAACTTACAAAACAGTAATGTTGTAACGTGTATCGTAAATATATAGTCATTGCCTACTTGTTTTAGAGATTGATATATGTGGTACGAACTTATGCGTACGATGCGGCAAATTCGCAGTAAGGACAATGGATTGCGTATGAAAAGCTTAAGTATAAGTTAATAAGTACTTCAGCAAATCAACAAAAAATTAACTGATCATTGCATAGTGTACATTACTTATTTCACAAATCGATAAACCTGAGCTTGCCTCATTTTTTGAAGTTCCATATAGAATACCTGATCTCAAATTATAAGTTAGTTTGTCAGATAATTGGGTCATTTGACAGGGCAAACCGAATGGGTGGGGCTTTTCAATGGACATACACAAAAATTAGACCCAACTTCAAACCACCAGGCTTGACCCGACCCAGAATTGGGCCAAATGTCAAACAAAACACAATTCAGCCTAGAAATCAACATGGGTCCCGGTGGTTTTTAAAGTTGGTGGAGAAAAACACCCCAACAGGAGATGCAAATTGACGAGAAAATCCATCTGGTGAAGAGGGGTTCAATATATCGCGATAAATTGAATGGGAATTGAGTAACACACACCCAAAATCGCTTTATATGGCTGGACTGTACCCGCCACCAGCTTGTGAAAAAAGCTTTCATATTTTAAGTGCCTGGAAGCCTGAAGGTCTAAAAATGCAATGTAGAAATATAGTGCTGTGAGAGGCAAAAAAGCACACTGCCAAAGTAAGTGAGTACACATAATTAGCTGCTTCTCTGAAGCACTTGTCACACTCTCTTGAAAACTCAAAAAAACAGAACTTAAAAAGTGAAAAAGAAGATAATTTCCTTCTCAAGGAACTTCAGATTCCTCATGAACACACTCTTGCATTTATACCACCCATTATTCTCATATGCTTCTCATCACTCTTAAGACACAGAAAGTGGGAGAGAGAGAGAGAGAGAGTAGTGGGTTTTCAGTTTTCTCTAGAGCTAGAGGGGTTTCATTTTTTTTTTTAAAATAAATCTTTTTTGTTTTGTTTTAGTATAGCTTCTGAGGCTGAGGAGAGCTTTGAACATTGAGGCTTTTTGTTTTTTTCCCCCTCTTGGAGAAGCTTGAGGAATATCCACCATGAGAAAGAACATATGGGTTTTGGTTCTGCGGTGCTTGTTGCTCCTGGGATGCTATCTGGGTATGTTCTGTTTCCTTTGCTTCTTCTTGCTGTTCTGTTTTCTGGTTTTTAAGTATTGTTTTTTCCTTCCAGTGTTTTCTTGTCTTGTTCAGAAGTTGGCAGGTTCTGGTCAGGTTTATATATTTGCATTATCTGTTTCCCATGAAATATATAGTTGTATATGAACATCTGAAGCTTGCAAAATAAAGAATGTTCTTTTTTAAAATCTTTATGAAATTTTGGAGAGGAACATTCTGAGATTTGCATCAATAGTTTATGTATGTGATAGAGGGATAGCCATGAAAAGGGTTCTCTCTGAAGGGTAAAAAAAATGAAAAGGTCTCCTAGTTTCATGGCAGCTAAGTGCCTAAAATGGGAACATACATACTGATACAGGCAAGTCCAAGCCAACTTAGTCTTGAGATGGCATTTTGGTAGAGTTGTATTGATGGCAAGTTTGACTTTTCATTTTCCCTTCACTGTGGGCCCATGTTGCCACATACAGGCACATGGTTTCTTGGTATTATTCAGTTTTAGCCATTTGTGATTTGTAGAGATTTGTTCTGAAACTGAAAATGATGGATTGAAACATGTGCTTGAGCTAACTTCAGCAAGTATCTGTCATTTTATAAACTTAAAATGTCTGTGATATTCTATATCAACAATAAGTATTCGTCTGATTAGATTTTGAAACAAGTTAATATTTGATCAATGAAACATCAATCCATACAGTACTGAATTGGTGTGTCTCGATTTTTTTCGATTCTTTACTAGTTTCGACAATGGAACTTGCGGTGGAAGAGAAGGCGGATGGAGCAATCCCAGTAACCACAATGTCACCACCAGAAGGGAACACAACATTCCTTGATGGCACAACATGGTGTGTGGCCCTTCCCGGGGTTTCCCAAGTTGATTTGCAAAATGCATTAGACTGGGCCTGTGGATTGGGAATGGCAAACTGCAAGGCAATCCAAGAAGGCGGAGCCTGTTATGAACCGGAAACTCTCTTGTCTCATGCCTCCTATGCTTTCAATGATTACTATCAACAGAATGGGAATTCTGATATAGCTTGCAATTTTGGAGGAACTGCTGCAGTCACTAAACATAACCCGAGTAAGTTGTACATCTCCACTTCTAAGATCTTTTCATGGATTAGAACAACTTAGATCAATTTGAAGTCATAGCTAACTGGATTTTCTCTTTCAGAGTAAGAAAAAGTACTGCATTCAAGTTTTAGTCCCATGGTACATTTGCTGCTGATTCTATAGCTGGAATTTTGAGTTTATGCACTAAATGATAATCTTCGAATCGATCGAAGTTATTTTTCTTTGCACGTTTAAGAAACATCTTGGTTTCAAAATTTAAGAATATGACATTATGTCACCGTTGGAGTTTGATCAATATTTGCTAATGTTGGCAATTTTCCCAATTCTTTTGATTCCAAGTTATCTCCACACAGCAATAGGTAAACAATACTTTCCTAGAATGAGTTTGTTCTTATAATATCAAGAATTCTCGTTTCTTGGTTCTAAGAAAATTGGAGTTAGATACTAAAAGAACCATCCAGCCAAAATAAAGATACTGATCAGTTTCATTACCATTTTACAGGTTATGGAAAATGTGTCTTTGCTGCAGCTGGGTATGCTTGTTCTTTTAACACGGCTTAGTTTTCGTATCTGAAATACTAGTGTCAAATTTATTTATGCAATGGTCATCGACCGATAACACAATTTTTTTCCTGTTTTTCAGATCAGTAGGCTCTGCAGCACCTCCATTGTACAAGCTTAATCCGAGCTCTGTTTGGTGGCAACTTGCTTGCCTTTTATTGCCTTTGTATCTAGGAAGCTGAAGTTGATGGGTTTGATTAAACTGCCCACAAAGTCAAATTATACCTGCTTGCTTGTACAAAACTATTTTGTGCTGTGTAAAAAAGACGCAGGAGGTCAGAGCATGAATAGCATAGGATTTTGTAATTGTAATATGCTTATCCCTGCCTTTGTTTTTGGGTTAGGAATCTATAGCTAATCAAATCCCTCTGTTCACCTGTTTTTCGGTTCCTTTCAAATTTTGTATCACCTACGCTTTGGTTCTATCTGTCTAGAAGTCATGTGCATGCATCTTTCTTTGCCTCAGCCTTATTCTTGTAAAAGTTTGTTCATGGGGAAACATCATATGAACTTCCAAATCTAGCAATTCCAAAACATAAAATAAAATTATTTACTTTACATCTTTGGTGGAATATGGTTCAATGTGGATTCATGTTCCTTTTTCTTGTCTTTGTTGTATTGAAGATTCATTTTGTATTAGGAGACCACATTTATGTACCAACCCCTATAATAGCCGTGAAACCCTTATAACAGACGGCTCCACTTATTTTAAAGAGGTTGTACATAATGTGGTATATGTTATATAATAAAGCAGAGAAAGATCATCATTTACCAATAATGTGGTATTGTTATCTCTCAATAGCTCAAGGCTCTCTAATTTCTTATTCATCTTTAGTGCAATACTATTTATAGGTGTAGGAAATACTATTTATAGGCATAGGAAATACATCATATAAACTTCCAAATCTAGCAATTCATAAAAATAAAAAATAAAAATCTTTACCTTACATCATTGGTGGAATATGGTTCAATGTGGATTCATGTTCCTTTTTCTTTTCATTCATTTTGTACTAGCGAGACCACATTCGTGTACCACCTCTATACTAGCTATGAAAACCTTATACTGGCCGGCTCCACTTAATTTAGAGATGTTGTACATAACGTGGTATTTTTTATATAATGAAGCTGAGAAAGATCATCATTTACCAATAACTCAAGGCTCTCTAATCTCTTATTCATCTTTAGTATAATTATTTATAGTCATAGAAAATACATCATCATTTACCACCCATTAGTGGTGGTTACAAGGCATAATTACAAATGATAGACAGGTATTATCGAGAGGAATTATGAAGGGCATTATGGTAGCTATTATGGAAGGCATTATGGTGGGCATCTATAACCTATGGATTTACAACAGCATACCCCCTAATATTACTTCCTTTACAAAAAGATTTTAAAAAAAAGCTCTCTCTCTCAATTTGGAGGAAATGCAAACCCAATTTGTTGTTGAAGTGACAAGATTAACCTTCAGTTTCTCAAGAGATATTGAGAAATGATATGTTTGAGGAGAATGAGATTTTAGGGTTACCCCAACAGAGAGAAGCAATCAAATCCCAAGGGAGAAACTGGTTTTAATGTGGGGGCCCACCCACCCTGCATAGTATCTCTGTGGATTGTATCTCTTGTCCTTCCCTCATCAGGTCCTGGGAAACCAAGTTGTCATAAACATAAAATAATACATCTGAGGACAAGTATGCTTTTGGTCAGTGTTCAATGCTAGTTGGCCTCGTATGAGCTTTTTATTCCAATTCTGGTCCATCAATGGATTGGATTGGATTTGAGTTCCCAACCCAATCCAGCCCAATTTGGCCCATTTTTCATCTATTTATATCCAGACAGCGTCCAAATTACATCATCATCATCATCAATCCAATGACAAAATTCTCAAGCACACAAAACCTTATCCAATTGAGTAAATCCAATGGGACAAAGCCAAGTCAGCAACCAGGATCTTGGTGTATCCAAATCTAACATTCTGAAGCCACAAGTTGCTCATGTGGCTGTGGGTGCAGACTTTCTCACTCAAGAGCTTATAATCTTAGGCATTATGGCCTGCAAAAGTTCATAAAATTATCAAAAATACGAGAGAGAGAGAGAGAGAGAGAGAGACATTGCAGCACCTCATCAGCTTCTCACAAAAAAAATCTAGCAAATGGCAGCAGCCACTTTGACCACTTCTCTCCCCCAGTTCAATGGGCTAAAATCCAAAGTCTCATATGCAAATGTACAAAGCCTGGTAAGCACTTCTTTTTCTCCTCATCCATGTTTTCATACAATGCTGCTGCTGGGTGCTCAAGTGAAACTGAAGTCTTCCTTATTGTTTAGGCAGCAGTTCAACCAATGAGGCGCAAGGGCCAGGGTGCTTTGGGTGCTCGCTGTGATTTCATTGGCTCACCCACCAATTTGGTAAGCAAATGTTTCACTAATTATTAATTTAACAGTATTAATAGGTGATTATATTAATTAATTAATCTAATTTGACAGATAATGGTGACTACTACGACCCTAATGCTATTTGCTGGGAGGTTTGGGTTGGCCCCATCTGCAAACAGGAAGGCAACAGCAGGGTTGAAGCTTGAGACCAGGGACTCTGGGCTGCAGACTGGTGACCCAGCTGGGTTCACTCTTGCTGATACATTGGCTTGTGGCAGTGTGGGTCACATTATTGGGGTTGGGGTTGTTCTTGGCCTTAAGAATATTGGTTCCCTGTAATTAATTAAATCAAATTTCCAAGCATTTCAATTTTAAGGTCTTCAATTTTCTTTAACTAATTTGTTCCATGTCCAAATCAAACAACAAGTTCGAATCTCGTCCTTCCTATTGATAAGAACATATTTAAAATAGGCATAATTTTATAGGAATTACACGTTTAGATATGATCTTACTTTATCGACAATTATAATCATGCTAAAAAATAAATTTAACATGGACAAAAGCTGCATTAAAACTACTGGCCCACATCACCACAATTAACCATAAGTCTAAACAAAGCCCACAAATCCAATATAATCAAAACCCTAAAACAACTCATGAGCCTAAGCAAACCTTATCACCACCACCACCTGAAGAAATGACGTTGCGGCTACACCCATCGCCACAACTGTAACATATATGGGGAAAATATGATTTCCAGCGATCTATTTGAGCATAAGAGTGAACAAATAAACAAAAACAAAAACCTTGTCAAATAACAATTGGGTGATTTGCAGAAACTTTTGTAAAAAACGATATAGAATCAAATTTAGATAACATTAGTGGAGTTAGGGAGCGGGTTTTGGGAGAATGATTTGATTGAGAACATAAACTAAATGAGGTGATGGGGAACTTCAATCCAAGCATAGCTCATAAGAAATCACTACAAGAGGCTTATTATTCAAAACGCCCCAATGGACTTATTCACTAAACTAAAAGAAAAAGAATATAAGAGAAGAGGGGGAGGAGGGGCAACGATGCTTCTTCCTCCTCTCCCCCTCTATGGAGTTTTCCTTTAGGACTCACAGAGGGAGAACGACTAGAGTTTCTGTCTATTTCCACTACTTTTACAATTTGTTTTTGGTTGTGAGTGTCAATTTAATAGTACCAATTCAATTAAAAGTTTTTTTTTTTAATGATAAAAACTATGCCAAAATGATGAATTGTAATTGTATGAAATCTTGTGTTATGATAGCGTAGATTACACTTGATTTGAGAATTTGAACTTTAAATTTCATTTATCATTGAGAAGATAAGTAGCACTAAACTAAGATATAGTTATACTATGACATAGGTGTGTTACTTGTGTAATTAGAACGTGAAGTTATTAAACTTTTTAATTATTAATGTTTTATTTTGTGACCTTAGTATACCATACCACAAAATATCCAATAATCAAAATATAAATTTTAAGAGTATGATATAAATGTTGAATTGGTAAAAGAGTATGGCACGCTTTCTATTACATGTATTTTTTTAAAATAACAAAGTACAACTAAAAGGAGGATCCTCAAGGACCCATCCTATTTCCAAACATGTCAAATTATAGTTTATGAGTTACCAAAAGAGAAAAATTACAAACCAAATGCAAGAGCGAACATAATTATGTCATAAATATGCTAAATTACCAACTACCATATTAGCTTATCGATAAATATTTAGCTTATCGATAAATATAATATAGAGTGTAACTCGATAGTTGAGAAAGCAAATGCCAAATGGCAATTACTATATTAGCTTATCGATAAATATGATGTAGAATATAATTTGATAGTTGAGTAAGCAAATGTAAAATGACAACTATCATGTTAACTCATCGATAACTATAATGTAGAGTGTAATTCAATAGTTAAGAAAGCAAGTGTCAGATGACAACTACCATATTAACTTATCGATAAATATGATATACAGTGTAACTCGATAATTGAGAAAGCAAGTACCAAATGACTATGATCCCCAAAACCACCACCACAAAAATATATAAACATCAACAACACCACCCGTTTAAAAAAAAAAAAAAAAAAAAAAAAAAAAAAAAAGGGGGGGGGGGGGGGTAAACAAACTAACCTAATATGCGATAGAATTTTGACTTATTTACAGCTTAATTTTAAATAACAAACCCTAATTTTTGTTCAAAAAGGCTAGATGGTTAATTGGGTCAGTCTGTGGTCGCGCCAAAGTCCATCAAACGGATGGACGCGGATTAACGACGGGGACATAGGCGAAAACGACAGCGTTTCCCAGTATTTATATAAGCGTTTCATTTTTTGTATTTCTAAAAGCTTCCGGTGTGTCTTTAATAGAAGAGAGAGTGAATAGGAAAGAATTAGCCGAATCCGCTCAAAACGAAGAGAGAAAGTAGAGAAGTGAAAGAGAGAGGCTGCTTCTAGGGCTCACTGGTTCGGCGCCATTTCTACACAAAGCAAGAGATTTGCCGCAAACAAATTGGGGCGCAGAAGAAGAAGATGAGTGTCTGGAACTACGTGGTCACGGCCCACAAGCCCACCAACGTCACCAACTCATGCGTTGGCAATTTCACCGGACCTCAGGAGCTCAATCTCATCATAGCGTAACCCTCAATATCCCTCTCTTTCTCTCTATCTGGTTTGCTATAGATTGTGTTTTCGTGCTAGGGTTTTGTTAATGCGTTAGTTACATTAGGCTCTTCAATTCCTCATCCTCTTTCTCGCACTTATCATTTGTGTGTGTATATAAACAGATAGATGTATACCAGATTAATTTGGTTTTAGAAATTCATGTGTGAAGCTACTTAAAGGAATGAAATTTGCGAAAGAAAAATTTCATATGTCATGTCAGAATATTTTGTTTTCCTGCAGAGGTTTTTTTTCTTGAAATTTGTAGAAATTCGAAAATTTATGGGACAAGAATGAAATATTTTTGCATGTAGCTCTGCTTTGAATTCTTTTTCCTTGTATTTCCAAACGCTGTTCTGTTTTTTCCCCCAGAAAATTGTACTCTTTCCTTCACTGTAAAAACACACTAAGGAGGCATTTGGTTCCCGTAAAAAAGGGCTGGGAAATGGGAAATCATTTCGTTTCCGTCTTTGGTAAGTCCAAGCTTGGGAAAAAGTTTCCTGCCTCATGGGAAAATGAAACCCTCTAGTCTATCCAACTTCGGTTTAATTTTCCTTTCCCATGGGAAGATGCAAGCATTAATTATGTTTTATGACCGATTTTTTTTTTTGGGTGAACAAAAGTTTAGGGGGAGGGGAGGCTATCCCATCCCAGGGCCAGGGCATACCTAGGCCTCTTTGAGGACTTACAGAGGGGTCTTAGCCCATTTTTTGGTTTTTACAGATTACCCACCAAGAGAAATTGTAGGCACCGGGACTCGAACTTAGGCCTGGATAGCGAAGAGAACGATCCTTACCAACTTAACCGACCCTCTTTGGTGTTTTATGACCGATTCATGTCCAGTAAAAATTAAACAAATCAAGGAAAACATTAATCACGGTTTTCTAACTTAGGGGTATAATTGAAAACTGAACAAATTTTATTCTCCAATTCCTACCGAAACCAAACATGGGCAAGGAAATAAAACGATATTTCCTGGTTGCTGTCTCAGCATTACCAAACGTGGAAAATAACTTCCATTTCCCATCCCCTTGGAACATACATGGGATCTGATTTCCCATGAATTTATTTCAGCGAACCAAATGCAACCTAATAGTTGTGAAAGGAAGGAAACTAAGGTCTTCTAGTGTCTATAGCTTCAGCGCAACTCATCATTGTTCAGTGCGATACTTTTGGCTTGAGCAATTGTATTTATTTGTGTAGCAAGGTTCATGTCAAAAGTGTTTTCTAATTCATTAACGGCTTCATTTATCTTGTTTTCAGGAAATGTACACGTATTGAAATTCTTCTACTTACTCCTCTGGGCTTACAGGTACTCAATGTATCTTATTGTAAAATAATATATATTATTTTTATTAGCTTACTTGCACGTGTACCAAATCTCTGGTTTCAAGACTTGTATCATCATCGTTTTAAATGTGAAGTGTCCAACGACATTCTTTGGAAAATTATGGCTTTTTGGTATTCCTTTACCTTTTTGTTGGCAGTTGATGTTGTTAATATTTTATGTAATATTTGGTCCAGGGATGTATGTTTTAATGGGAAAGGGGTAGTTACAATCTAAAGCTTCAGTATTTTGTGTGAAGTGTCAGCATCCAAGAATCAAGTTTTCAAACTTTCAACTTGGACATAGTTTTTTTTTGAGAAGAAACGAAATTTATAAAGCAAAAGAACACGGAGGTGGATAAGGCAACCACAGCCGAAGAACAACAACAACACAAAAGAAACAAACAACACCAACCCCTCCAAAACTAACAGGGAGGAACAAAGCCAAAAAACCACTGAAACAACACACCCCCCAACCCTCACATAACCACTGCTGCCATATCCCTCAAAATAGTAGAAAGAGAATAATCTTTAAAATCTTCAGTAACAGAAGCCCACAAAGCTGCCCAGTACTTAACTCTATCCCACAAATCACTCACTCCCACTCCCTTGTAGTCTTCAAAAATTCTCCTATTACACTCCATCCAAATGTTCCAGAAAACAGAGTGAACCAGACAGCCCCACAAGGTTGAGGCGCGCTTCCCCGAACCCCACACTGCAAAATCAGAACAAAGGAAATCAGTGCACCCTTTCGGAATCACCCAAACGGTCCCAACCTCCCTCCACAAAAGCCCCCAAAGACTTAAGGAAAAGGGGCAATGTAAGAAAAGGTGGTCCACACTCTCCTCACCAAGCTTACATAACACACACCACTGAGGAGACAAATACATGAAAGGTCTTTTCCTTTGGACAAGATCCGAAGTGTTAACTTTCCCAAGCGCCACCAACCAAACAAATACTTTGACCTTAGGGGGGGACTTGGCCTTCCACACACTAGAGAAAGGAAGAAAGGTCATAACACTCCCCTTGTTGACATGAGACTTTGCATTGAGCATAAGTTTCCCCCTATAAGAACTATCATCTACTCATTTCACTGAAAACTTAGTCCTATAAAATGATGGTATAGAACTTGTGCAATAAGTTTTTTACTTGAACGTTAAGAAGAGTATGATTTACTTCATGAAGACATTTATCCTGGCATTTGAATTACATTGGTAATGCAAAAGCGAATAAACTGTTATTATCCAATCTTGAAATTACTGTTTGAGCTTTCTTGATGTTCGTTTGTAAGAAAATATCAAACTTTATAGCTTTATATGC